AGGGAAACCCACAGGGAGGGAGACCCATATGAGAAAGGGATCCGCTCCTCCGGACGGACAGGCTAATGATCCAGGACCTAAGCTAGCTACAGAACGTGGACCAGTGGACGCTGAACGTGGACAGGTCCGGTGCAGGACTGAAGCACTCCCAGGCGGGTCGGGCGGGGCAGTCCGCATGGTGTAGATGGAGGAGGCCAGGCTCAGAGATCCCGTCATCGTACCATGAAACAGACAATGGGACAACGGGTGAATAGCAATGAACAAACTACAATCAAAATCCTAAAAATGCTAAACAGATAAAGTAGGAAGGAGGAGAGGATAGTGCTCAAGTTACCATACTTCTCCAGCAAACTGACTCCCTATGCAGCTTGACTGACACTCTGAGGAGTTTAGCCTTCCCTGAGTCTTACCTTCCTAGCCAAATGCTAAACTAAAGAGGACTGTTTTAAACCTAGCCTTGAATAAAGAGAGCGTATCTGAAAGGAGGCGAGACAGCAGCAGCCACGGCTAGGCTAGGCTACAGCACCAAGATTCATGGATTGCACACCAGGTGTGCAAACCGATCCAAACAAACCTAATTATATATTATATATCATATACATCACATATACCATACATACCATATATATCATATGTAATACACAACATAGCATAATATATAACATAATATACAACATAACACAATACAAAACATAATACATATATTGTATAATATATAACATAATATATAACATAATACAGCATATATATATAATATATACACCATATATTATATATTACCTAATTATATGCTAAATTAAAGTAGAGTGCTTTAAGCCTGGCCTTGAATGTGGAGACCGTATCTGCTTCCTTAACATAAATGGGAAGCTGATTCCACAGTAAAGGAGCTTGGTAGCTAAATGCTCTGCCGCCAACAGTGACCTTTGAGACCTTAGGGACCACCAGACGTCTGGCGTTTTGTGAGCGCAACGCTCGACCTGGTTGATACGACACTAACGTGTCTTGGAGATAAGAAGGAGCCAAGCCATTTATGGCTTTATATGTTAAGAGAAGGATTTTAAACTTTATTCTGTCCTCCACAGGGAGCCAGTGGAGTGATTTTAACACCGGAGTTATGTGCTCCCTCCTTTTGGTACCTGTTAAGATCCTAGCTGCTGTATTCTGAACGAGCTGGAAGCTCTTCAAAGACGCTTTAGGGCACGCTGCCAATAAAGCGTTACAGTAGTCGAGCCTTGAGGTGACAAAAGCGTGAATAAGTTTTTCCGCGTCACTTTTAGGAAGGAAATTCCTAATTTTAGCGATGTTCCGTAAGTGGAAGTACGCCGTTTTAGTTGCTTGGCTTATATAAGCCTTGAAGGAGAGTTCTTGGTCAAAAATGACTCCAAGATTCCCCACAGTGTTACTGGGTATAATACTGACATTATCGAGAGTGATTAGTAAGGGAGTCACGCAGGCGCTTCGGACCGAGTAGGATCACTTCTGTCTTCTCCGGGTTGAGAAGTAGGAAGTTAAGAGTCATCCACATTTTAAGGTCCTTTATGCAGGCACTGAGCTTTTCTAGCACAACAGATAAAGCTGTGTGTCATCTGCATAGCAGTGGAAATTAATTCCATGCTTTTTAATAACGTTTCCTAACGGCAGCATGTAGAGAGTGAAAAGAATCGGTCCGAGAACCGAACCCTGCGGCACACCGAATTCTACTCCAGAATAAGGAAACGAGTTCTGATTTACGTTGACGAAGTGATACCGATCTGATAAATAGGATTTAAAGCAGCCAAGGGCTGTTCCTCTAAGACCTATATCACATTCTAGCCTCTGCAGTAGAATGCTGTGGTCTATTGTGTCAAATGCAGCACTAAGGTCCAGTAGGACCAGCACTGACACTTGTCCATTATCGGCAGCTAGTAGTAAGTCATTTGTGACTTTGACTAGTGCCGTTTCAGTGCTATGATGAGCTCTGAATCCTGATTGAAAGACTTCAAACATATTATCTTCCTGCAGGTGGCAGCGGAGCTGCTCAGCTATAAGTTTTTCCAGGATTTTAGATATGAAAGTGAGGTTTGAGATTGGTCTGTAGTTTGTAAGTATTTCTGGGTCCAGGTTTGTTTTCTTCAGAAGGGGTTTGATGTTTTAAAAGCTTGTGGGACATAGCCACATTGTATGGATGCGTTTATTATATTTACGATAGGCTCAATTATCAAAGGAAGTATGTCTTTGAAGAGCCATGTCGGGACTGCGTCTAACATGCAAGTTGAGGCTTTTGAGGATGTGACCACAGAGATCACCTCTGCTTGGCTCACAGCCATGAATTTATCGAGGCCCACTGAAGAGTCTAAGTGAGAAGAGGCCTGTCTCACATTTTCAGGAAGATTGCTCCAGATTTTAGCGGCAAAAATCTGAAAAGCTGCATCCCCATGTCTAGTTCTGACTCTGGGCACCAGCAGGAGACCAGTCCCTGTGCTCCTCAGAGTCCCCCGTGGTACATATGGCTCTAACATGTCTCAGATGTACTTTGGTTCGAGGCCCTGGAGAGACTTTGAAGAGCTGATTTAAAGTCTATTCTCTGAGCCACATGAAGCCAGTGCAGAGACCTGAGAACAAATGTTAATAATCTGTTTAACTAACTTCTTCACACTTTTTGATCAAACACAAAGTTCACGTTTGGGTGAAGTGTTTTGGAAGAATGTGGTCCGTTTTCAATATGCGGATATGGTCCTGAAGGAAACTGAATAAACTTCCAGGAGCTCTGGTGCGCCTCGATCCCATTTCTGTGTGGTTCATTTTCCACACAGAATTTTAAGACAAATGGTGCAAATGTTTAAGAAAAAGAGTAAATCCTGCCTCTCGCCTCAGTCCAGTGTCTCCTCAGACTCTACAACTGTACTCGCTGAAACATGCAACACACCATTAAAGCTCACACTGTCCAGACAAAGGCTCTGGACAAAGACACGGGGCCTCAGGGGACCAGGCCGAGACCGAGACCATAACATCCATCTCACCCATAACTCAAGAGCAATGATAAATAAGTTTTTAAGTTATCAATGACTCAATATAGACAGATATATAAGATAGATACATCAGATAGATAAGCTCGATAGATAGATAGGTCAGTAGTTAGATAAAATATACAGTAGAATAAAGAAATATTGATCAAGTGCATCAATTAACACCATTGAGCCGCTATAGAATATGTCAAACGTGTAGTTAATGCAAGGCAGACTGGGAATTTACAGTAGCTAGAGGCTGGGCAGCTTTACCATCTACAGAGGAGAAAGACCCTCATCTGTAACTACCACAGAGGACTCCAGGCTGTCGCAGGTGTTAAAGGGAAATACACCGGATTGAGTACTGGGGGATGGAGACTTCTGCTCAGTCCTTTCAGTGGTGTGTATGTGATGAAGGTCTTACCACAGCCAGTGTCAACACGAGAGAGGAATGATAGTGTGTCTCCAGAATATGGGCCAAGACACATATTAGTGCCTGTGTGTGTGAAGTTTCGAGCACCACAGAAAAGTATTTATTTTCCAAAGACAGGAAGCACTTGGCAAAGAAAGGATTGTGTTTTGGTGCAAATGTGATGATTCCCCTTTTACTTTAAATAGGACTGAGCAGGACTGACAAGGACTGGTTCATCCGCCGGAAGGAAACCGAGATCTGCTGACACACACTTTACACACACACAGCTTACACACACACACACACACACACACACACTTACAGGCACAGAAACACAGCAACACCCCCCAAACACTTAACCTCTCTCTTCTGCCCCAATAATATCCCCCCGCGTTGCTAGGAAACACTGGGACAGTAATATCCCCGATGCGGGAGGGGCCCGGAAAGGACATGATATGGGTTTTATGTGATTACGGCTGGAGTGGGGGTCTTTGGGGGTTCACTTCTGATGGACAAGACCTGTTAACTCCCCCACCTCTGCAGACTCTGCGGCTTAAAGGGGTTTTAACACTGTTATTATAGAGATTGTGTTAGTTCTGACAGTCTCTGAACCCTCAATTAACACGTTCAAACAAAGAACAGGGGTCCTGCGCATGGATCCAACGACATGGACTGAGGGAGACAGAGATTTCATTTTAATTTGCATGGAGCGTTTAATCTGCATTGATTTACATAACCCCTGTCTCATGTATTTCAGGAGCCAAAGACATGACAGATAATGTGCTGTTGAAGTGCCAGCGTTGGGGACTACAGCTCCTCTCCTCTGGGACACACTCTTAATAATGCTCTGACAAGGTCTGCAGGAGATCTGATGTTAGATAAGAGCCCAGAGCCAAAGACAAGAATCTTTTTCTTCATTTTTGTGCAATGAAAGTGTGTCGAACTCAAGGCTGTGAATCATTTGGTTGTATAAGAGCGACAAGAGCGACTCTCACACATGCTGCAGAGCAGATGCTTTTCTTCCTCCACATTTCATTTCCTGAATGGAATTCACTCAAATCTGTCCCGTTTACAGGATGTTTGAGTTCCTCTAAATGTATATTGTTTCGTTAACCATCGGATCAGAACGATCCTGTAAACAAAGAGCTCTGAGACTGTAGAGGTTCAGGTCGTTCTCAAACCCACACATTAAAAAGTGTCCGTGGCTTTAGACACAGCACTGACTGAGATGACTCATTATCCCCGACAGGTGAACTCAAAGACATCAATCTGATTTGCTTTTGCTTTGCTTGTTTTCACTAATAAATTATTCAGAGCCAGATCAGAGGCGTTTGTTTATACTCCAGGGTTTAAAAACTTAATTTCATAATGTTGGTAATTTTAGTCGGGCTTTAAGGGAAAACCAGCCGGAATTATGAAATAAATCTAAATTATCATAAAAAGCAGATCACATAGTTCTTCACCTGTGTTTATAGTTTGCAAATTTGAAAAAAAGGTTTTGGTTTTTCTGCACCAGACGATAGTCAGTTCTTACTGTTGTCTGGTGCAGAAGAACTTTCTAAACTGTTGCATTTTTTAAATACCAAAGTCAATCCAATTCACTCATGTCTCCCCCAGTCCCTCACTCCCTCATGTCTCCCCCAGTCCCTCACTCCCTCATGTCTCCCCCAGTCCCTCACTCCCTCATGCCTCCCCCAGTCCCTCACTCCCTCATGCCTCCCCCAGTCCCTGACTCCCTCATGCCTCCCCCAGTCCCTCACTCCCTCATGTCTCCCCCAGTCCCTCACTCCCTTGTGCCTCCCCCAGTCCCTCACTCCCTCATGCCTCCCCCAGTCCCTCACTCCCTCATGCCTCCCCCAGTCCCTCACTCCCTCATGCCTCCCCCAGTCCCTCACTCCCACATGTCTCCCCCAGTCCCTCACTCCCTCATGTCTCCCCCAGTCCCTCACTCCCTCATGCCTCCCCCAGTCCCTCACTCCCTCATGCCTCCCCCAGTCCCTCACTCCCTCATGCCTCCCCCAGTCCCTCACTCCCACATGTCTCCCCCAGTCCCTCACTCCCTCATGCCTCCCCCAGTCCCTGACTCCCTCATGCCTCCCCCAGTCCCTCACTCCCACATGTCTCCCCCAGTCCCTCACTCCCTCATGCCTCCCCCAGTCCCTCACTCCCTTGTGCCTCCCCCAGTCCCTCACTCCCTCATGCCTCCCCCAGTCCCTCACTCCCTCATGCCTCCCCCAGTCCCTCACTCCCTCATGTCTCCCCCAGTCCCTCACTCCCTCATGTCTCCCCCAGTCCCTCACTCCCTCATGTCTCCCCCAGTCCCTCACTCCCTCATGTCTCCCCCAGTCCCTCACTCCCTCATGCCTCCCCCAGTCCCTCACTCCCACATGTCTCCCCCAGTCCCTCACTCCCTCATGCCTCCCCCAGTCCCTCACTCCCACATGTCTCCCCCAGTCCCTCACTCCCTCATGTCTCCCCCAGTCCCTCACTCCCTCATGCCTCCCCCAGTCCCTCACTCCCACATGTCTCCCCCAGTCCCTCACTCCCTCATGCCTCCCCCAGTCCCTCACTCCCACATGTCTCCCCCAGTCCCTCACTCCCTCATGCCTCCCCCAGTCCCTCACTCCCTCATGCCTCCCCCAGTCCCTCACTCCCTCATGCCTCCCCCAGTCCCTCACTCCCACATGTCTCCCCCAGTCCCTCACTCCCTCATGTCTCCCCCAGTCCCTCACTCCCTCATGCCTCCCCCAGTCCCTCACTCCCACATGTCTCCCCCAGTCCCTCACTCCCTCATGCCTCCCCCAGTCCCTCACTCCCACATGTCTCCCCCAGTCCCTCACTCCCTCATGCCTCCCCCAGTCCCTCACTCCCTCATGCCTCCCCCAGTCCCTCACTCCCTCATGTCTCCCCCAGTCCCTCACTCCCTCATGTCTCCCCCAGTCCCTCACTCCCTCATGTCTCCCCCAGTCCCTCACTCCCTCATGCCTCCCCCAGTCCCTCACTCCCACATGCCTCCCCCAGTCCCTCCCTCACCCACAGAGGGGTCAGAGTCACAGAGCAGACCAAGGCTGAGCACAGAGATGTTTGCTGCAGTTTGACAGATCTATAATTGTGTTCGTTCAAGACCGTTGTGTTTCTGAGGAAGTGGAAACATCAGCTGGAATATTGTTTTTGAAAGCACTTCCTGTAACTTGGGCTTGTGAATCAAATGTCAATGTTGTTTTGAAGAAATACTCGTCATCCAAATGGACTCAACCTTCACACTTGAGCATGGTCCTGCATTGAGTAAAGGCATTTCAGATTCCAGCTTGGAGCTCAGTGTGTGAAAAGATAAACACCAAATATAAGTATTTTGACGGAAAACTATAGGTACGCACAGGTTTAGCAGAACACAGAATCTTCACAGCTGCAGAGGGAGCAAACAAATATAATGCAGCTTATAAAATTGTGTTTTCAATTTTAGATTCCTTGAAATTAAAAGTGAAACACGAACAAATAAACGCACTGGAAAACAACAATTAAGGTCAAAGCACAGTTTCCTCCATCTAATCCTTTCAGACATTTCCACTTGTTTTGTTCTCACCAAAGGCTCTTCAATCAGCTCCGCACACACTCATGCTACTCTTACAGCATTGTGGATTTGGTTGTTGCAAACTCAGGAAAAATAAGTATTTTTTCCCCCACCAGTATTATCACTCCCCGTCTCCTCCATCCGCTGCAATAATCCAGACCTTTGTTTGAATATAATGTCTGCAATAACCCACAGCAATAACCCAGGACACTGCCCTCTCCCCGCTGACAGCTCTCTACATCCTCCATACTGTCTGTGATCCATGATCCAGCCTCACCTGCATCACCGCCAATCAAACAAGTGCTTTCAACAAGTGGCGTGGATGGACTGCGCCCCCTGCTGGAAAGAGGCCACAACGCAAATACTGAGAATATAAGCACAACTGCTGTTACTTCTGATGTTATTAAAGATCTATGTATCATTAATATTTACAGTCTATGTTCTATACTCACTGCATGTGACACAGCAAATAAACCCTGGATGTTTCATTAGTGAATTTAGATTTCATTTGTATATTTGTATGTATATACATGTACGTGTGTGTGCGCGTGTATGTGTGTTTGTATGTATGCATGTGTGTGTGTATGTGTGTATTTATGTACAGTGGGGCAAAAAAGTATTTAGTCAGCCCCCGACTGTGCAAATTCTCCCACTTAAAATAATGACAGAGGTCTGTAATTTTCATCATAGGTACACTTCAACAGGAAAAGCTCAGTGCTGCATAAAGGACCTTAAAACGTGGATGACTCTTAACTTCCTACTTCTCAACCCGGAGAAGACAGAAGTGATCCTACTCGGTCCGAAGCGACTCCCTTACTAACCAGATAATTACTCTGATAATGTCAGTATTATACCCAGTAACACTGTGAGGAATCTTGGAGTCATTTTTGACCAAGAACTCTCCTTCAAGGCTTATATAAGCCAAGCAACCAAAACGGTGTACTTCCACTTACGGAACATCTCTAAAATTAGGAATTTCCTTTCTAAAAGTGACGCGGAAAAACTCATTCACGCGTTTGTCACCTCAAGGCTCGACTACTGTAACGCTTTACTGGCAGCGTGCCCTAAAGCCTCTTTGAAGAGCTTCCAGCTCGTTCAGAATACAGCATCTAGGATCTTAACAGGTACTAAAAGGAGGGAGCACATAACTCCGGTGTTAAAATCACTCCACTGGCTCCCTGTGGAGTACAGAATAAAGTTTAAAATCCTTCTCTTAACATATAAAGCCATAAATGGCTTGGCTCCTTCTTATCTCCAAGACACGTTAGTGTCGTATCAACCAAGTCGAGCGTTGCGCTCACAAAACGCCAGACGTCTGGTGGTTCCTAAAGCCTAGTGTACATCGACAGAGTAACTGGAGACAAATAGTTGCAAGGCGGCTTTTGGCAACTGAGAGGAGATGGTGGGAGATGAACAGTCGTTCTCCAGTTTCAGTCAGTTGCCCGTGTTCTACTTTTCGGCAACTGGTTGTCCTCAGTTTTTGAGACATGACCCGATGTGCGCGCTCCATGCGCCGCTCCGTCAACGTGTGTGTATTGCGTGTATTGCGAGCCCGCAACAGTTTATGTCAGAAAACACACTGTAGTTGAGGCCAGTTGCTGTCGATGTACGCGCTGTTATTCCTGAGACTGGTTTGCTACTGGGAGTTGCCCGTTTTCGTCAGATTGTCGATGTTTGCGGGGCAGAAACTCATATGCGACGGATATGATCAGTTGCCAGTCCGATGTACACTAGGCATAAGGTCTCAAAAATCACTGTTGGCGGCAGAGCGTTTAGCTACCAAGCTCCTTTACTGTGGAATCAGCTTCCCATTTATGTTAAGGAAGCAGATACGGTCTCCACATTCAAGGCCAGGCTTAAAGCACTCTACTTTAATTTAGCATATAATTAGGTAATATATAATATATGGTGTATATACTATATATATATGCTGTATTATGTTATATATTATACAATATATGTATCATGTTGAAGAAGATGACATAGTCTGGGATCGCGTCTTACATTCAGACAGAAGACATGTTTTATTGTCGATGGTAGAGACAGCACGAACAAAGCACACGATCACAGATACAAGAGAATGCAAGTGTATTATACAGAGCGGAGGCATGGAGACCTCCAATCAGCAGCTGCCACGGTGTGCTTGTAGCTTGGCCTTCAGATAGACAAAACAAGGGAAAAGTACTGGCTTCTGCACATTGATAGATTGATGAGTTTAACTTTAACAAAAGTTGCTTCAAAGTGTTATGAAATCTCATAATGTTGTGTATTGTGTTATGTTGTATATTATGTTATATATTATGCTGTATGTTATGTTGTGTATTACATATGATATATATGGTATGTATGGTATATGTGATATATATGATATATAATATATAATTAGGTTTGCTTGGATCGGTTTGCACACCTGGTGTGCAATCCATGAATCTTGGTGCTGTAACCTAGCCTAGCCGTGGCTGCTGTTGTCTCGCCTCCTTTCAGATACGCTCTCTTTATTCAAGGCTAGGTTTAAAACAGTCTTCTTTAGTTTAGCATTTGGCTAGGAAGGTAAGACTCAGGGAAGGCTAAACTCCTCAGAGTGTCAGTCAAGCTGCATAGGGAGTCAGTTTGCTGGGAGAAGTATGGTAACTTGAGCACTATTCTCTCCTCCTTCCTACTTTATCTGTTTAGCATTTTTAGGATTTTGACTGTAGTTTGTTCATTGCTATTCACCCGTTGTCCCATTGTCTGTTTCATGGTACGATGACGGGATCTCTGAGCCTGGCCTCCTCCATCTACACCTGCGGACTGCCCCGCCCGACCCGCCTGGGAGTGCTTCAGTCCTGCACCGGACCTGTCCACGTTCAGCGGCCACTGGTCCACGTTCTGTAGCTATAGCTTAGGTCCTAGATCATTAGCCTGTCCGTCCAGAGGAGAGGATCCCTTTCTCATATGGGTCTCCCTCCCTGTGGGTTTCCCTAGTTCTCCTCCAAGGTTTCTCACTTTTTCCCACTGGGTTTTTTAAGAGTTTTTCCTTGTCGATGCAGGAGGGTCTTGTTGGACAGTTAGTGTCCAACAGAAAGGATTGGTGATGATCAGGACACTTTAGCATTCTACAACATGTATGGACATTTTCTTCTGTGTGTGCTTTATACTGTATTCTTCATGTGTTTTAACTGTTGATTCTCTGACCTGTGTTGGTGATTTCAATGGTTTTGTTAAGTCCTCTGAGATGACTTCTGTTGTGACCTAGGGCTATACAAGAATAAATTGCATTGTATTGTATTGTATTGTACTTCAACTGTGAGAGACAGAATGTGAAAAAAAATCCAGGAATTCACATTGTAGGATTTTTAAAGAATTTATTTGTAAATTATGGTGGAAAATAAGTATTTGGTCAATAACAAAAATTCAACTCAATACTTTGTAATATAACCTTTGTTGGCAATAACAGAGGTTAAACGATTACTATAGGTCTTTACCAGGTTTGCACGCAAAGTGGCTGGTATTTTGCTCATTCCACCTTGCAGATCTTCTCGAGAGCAGTGATGTTTTGGGCCTGTCGCCGAGCAACACGGACTTTCAACTCCCTCCACAGATTTTCAATGGGGTTGAGGTCTGGAGACTGGCTAGGCCACTCCAGGACTTTCAAATGCTTCTTACGGAGCCACTCCTTCGTTGCCCGGGCGGTGTGTTTAGGATCATTGTCATGCTGGAAGACCCAGCCACGTTTCATCTTCAAAGCTCTCACTGATGGAAATCTCACGATACATGGCCCCATTCATTCTTTCCTTAACACGGATCAGTCGTCCTGTCCCCTTAGCAGAAAAACAGCCCCAAAGCATGACGTTTCCACCCCCATGCTTCACAGTAGGTATGGTGTTCTTGGGATGCAACTCAGTATTCTTCTTCCTCCAAACACGACGAGTTGAGTTTATACCAAACAGTTCTACTTTGGTTTCATCTGACCACATGACATTCTCCCAATCCTCTGCTGTATCATCCATGTGCTCTCTGGCAAACTTCAGATGGGCCTGGACATGCACTGGCTTCAGCAGGGGGACACGTCTGGCACTGCAGGATTTGATTCCCTGTCGTCGTAGTGTGTTACTGATGGTAACCTTTGTTACTTTGGTCCCAGCTCTCTGCAGGTCATTCACCAGGTCCCCCCGTGTGGTTCTGGGATATTTGATCACCATTCTCATGATCATTTTGACCCGACGGGATGAGATCTTGCGTGGAGCCCCAGATCGAGGGAGATTATCAGTGGTCTTGTATGTCTATTTTCTGATAATTGCTCCCACAGTTGATTTGTTCACACCAAGCTGCTTGCCTATTGTAGATTCACTCTTCCCAGTCTGGTGCAGGTCTACAATTATTTTCCTGGTGTCCTTCGACAGCTCTTTGGTGTTGGCCATAGTGGAGTTTTGAGTCTGACTGTTTGAGGCTGTGGACAGGTGTCTTTTAGGCAAGGCGAGGCAGGGCAAGTTTATTTGTATAGCACAATTCATACACAAGGCAACTCAAAGTGCTGAACAAGAAAGCATTAAAATCATAAATAATCACAGAACATTAAAAAGAAAGATAAAAACATAAAATCCCTCAGTTGTATGCACAGCTAAACAGAACTGTTTTTAACCTGGTTTTAAACATTGTCAGAGAGGAGGCCTGTCTCACATCTTCAGGAAGACTGTTCCAGATTTTAGCAATATGAATCTGAAAAGCAGCCTCCCCATGTTTAGTTCTGACTCTGGACACTAACAGGAGTCCAGTCCCTGTGCTCCTCAGAGTCCGGGCTGGTTCATATGGGACTAACATGTCACTAATATATTTTGGTGCGAGGCCATGGAGAGACTTGTAACAAGCAGAGCTGTTTTAAAGTCTATTCTCTGAGCCACAGGAAGCCAGTGCAGAGACCTGAGGACTGGACTAATGTGGTCGTACTTCCTGGTTCTAGTCAGGACTCGAGCTGCTGCATTTTGAATGTACTGCAGCTGTTTTACAGCCTGTTTGGACAGACCTGTGAGCAGGCCATTGCAGTAGTCTAACCTAATGGAGACAAATGCATGGATAAGAATCTCCAGGTCTGCTTTAGACACTATGTTTTTGATCCTGGCAATGTTTTTTAGATGGTAAAAAGCTGCTGATGTTACTGATTTGATGTGGCTATTAAAATTTAAGTCTGAGTCCAGTATTACCCCTAGATTTCTGACCTTTTATACAGATAACAAGTTCAAACAGGTGCCATTAATACAGGTAGCGAGTGGAGGACAGAAGAGCTTCTTAAAGAAGAAGTTACAGGTCTGTGAGAGCCAGAGATCTTCCTTGTTTGAAGTGACCAAATAATTATTTTCCATCATAATTTACAAATAAATTCTTTAAAAATCCTACAGTGTGAATTCCTGGATTTTTTTTTCACATTCTGTCTCTCACAGTTGAAGTGAACCTATGATGAAAATTACAGACCTCATTATTTTAAGTAGGAGAACTTTCACAATCGGTGGCTGACTAAATACTTTTTTGCCCCACTGGGTATGTATGTTTGTATGTGTGTGTGTATGAATGAATGTGTGTATGTACGTGTGTGTATGTATGTATGTATGTATGCATGCATGTATGTATGTATGTGTGTGAGTATGTATGTATGTGTGTGTGTTTTTTGTGTGTGTATGTAAGTATGTATGTGTGTGTGTGTGTATGTATGCCTATGTATGTATGTATGCATGCATGTATGTATGTGTGTGTGTATGTATGTATGTATGTGTGTGAGTTTTTGTGTGTGTATGTATCCTACATACATACACATACATACATACATACATACATACATAATGTATGTATGTATGTGAGTATGTGTGCATGCATGCGTGTATGTATACGTGTGTGTGTGTGTGTGTGTGTATGTATATTGTTTTATTTTATGTTATTATTATTATTTCCAATTTTGGTATGTTCACGTGCTGTTGTTGATGAATGCGCATGTTTTTCCTTTCGCACACTCTTAATAAATAATAAATAAATAAAACTTCAGCTTCCTGCTAAACAAGGAAGTGATTTTGTGACGCAGCGTGACGTAACGGGGGCGTGCGTGACTCGCCCAGTTGTTATGCTGGGAAAGTCTTGTGCTGGAGTCATATTCGTGCAACTGTGCTCGCTCTGCTTTCGGGATGAACTGGTGAGACTCCCGCGGATAATCTTTAGACACAAAGTAGATGGATTTACATTTAGATGAGACACGGTTTGAGCTTTGTCAACTTGAGCAGGAAAGCCAGGAAATGACCTTAATGCTCAATGTAGATTTATTTAACTCGGACTAAAATTGGATATTGTTTCTATTAGACTTCAGCTTTACCCATCAGGATTTGCCAACCTAATGTAACTATGCTATACCTGCACAAACTAGAAACTGTTTCATGATCCAGTGAGCTCAGATGTTTCCCAGTGAACTCACCCATGGACTCCTCCCATTGTTAATGTGTCATCCACCTTCATGATTCCACGGAAATAGACAGTTTAACCCTGAGTACTGCTGTTGTATCTGAGTGATGTGTTTGTTATTTTCAAAGGAACAACTCCACCAAATATGAATGAACTCCTGATTCACTATTGCTCTCATTCCTCCTGGTCTTCCTTCATATTAATCCTTACTTCTACAGAATAAAATGAAAAGTCCAGTGGTCCAGGTCAGACTTTGGTTGACAACCTTATATTTTGTGTCCAATGTTGGGTAAGTTACTTCAAAAACGTAATACATTATGTATTACTTGTTACTGTTATTTCAAAGTAATGTGTTACTTGTGTCAGCCAGCGCTAGTTCCATTCATTTAAACGAGTGCCTTCAAAAAATCACAGATAATAAATTAGACCACAGAAAATTCACCCCCCTCAGCATTGACACACATGTGGAACGGAGCTACGGGCGACAGTAGCTCCGTTGGTAGAGCATTGGCCTTCAGGCCTGAAGGTCGTTAAATTCCCACCTCTACACCTTCTCCACCGACTCCCACTGATGACTGCTGTCGTTGTGTCCTTGGGCAAGACACTTAACCCGACTTTGCCCAAAGCCCCCACTGAAAGATCAAGGCTATGCTCACACTCAGAGAGCAGCCGTCCTCCTGTGGACTCACCACCTGCAGAGGGTCAGTGAGGGGCTGGTGCTATGAGACTTGGGTGGCATCTCTGATTGCCACCCCCCTGACCCAGAAATGGATTAAAGGGAAGAAAATGGATGGATGGATGGATGGTGTTACACTCCATTATTATTGTCTCTGAAATGAAAAGCATTACACTACTGCTGCAAGTACTTTTAAGTTACTTTTCTCCTCTTCTGAGAAAAGTAGCGGCATAGTATTACACAAAACACATTTTAATTTCAGTTTAAAATGCAATATAACCCTGAGCTTTTGTACCGACTAAAATATTACCTAGGTTTTTATTTACTGCGTTACAACAAAAAGAAAAACATTACAATTACATTACTATGTGTTTCTCCACACTGATTGTGCTACTTTCTCCATGCTAGGCTATTTTGAAACCAGTTTAACGTCTTTCTTTGACACCGTTAACTTCCTTGTTGTATTAATAATTAACACACACTTCTGTTTCTCATCAGTGACATGAGCCCCACTGCCACAGTGGACCACTACAAGGCGGCCATGCTGCTCAGTGGTGTGGGGGATGCAGTGGGGTATAAGCACGGCGACTGGGAGTTTAATTTCTCTGGACCAGACATCCTTAAGGTTGGTGTCGGAGCGATCACTGACGGTTTGTGGACTTTGTTGAACTGCTGGACTTTTTACAGGAGCTCAAAAAAATGGGTGGTCTGAAGAAAATCAAGGTCAACCTCCCGGAGTGGCCCCTGAGCGATGACACTATATTACATCTGGCAACGGCTGAAGCTTTAGCCACAGGTGAGGGCCATGAAGTGTGTTTACCTCTGAACCTCCTCACTCTGCTTCTGTTTACATGAAGTTTTCTTTGACTGATGGTGAGACCTCATCAGAAAGTATTGAGAAATGAGACCGAGGCAGCAGCGATCTCACACACCTGTAACCTGGAAGTTTATTTCACTGTTTTTCAGATAAACTGTAGAAGACAAAGCATTTGATATGATGTGTAGGCATAGACGTCGGAACTAGGGGTGCGGGGGGTGCGGCCGCACCCCCTCCGCGTGTGCCGGGAGCGAGAAGTTATCACTATCCTGCGTTCCTTGCAGCCCAAAACCCGCTCCATGCTGTCGGAGAAGCTTATGAAGCTCTGTCTGGCTAATATCTGTCGCAGCCTCTGAGCGCTCTTTCTCAGCCTTGCGCAGATTAGAGACCTGGCTACACCAGTGACGTGCGGTGGGGGATCAATCATGTGTTCATATGATTATACATCATATAAACCAACAGGACCTACAGGAACAGGAGCGGCTTATACACAATTTGTTTGGCTACAGCAGAATATGATTTAATGTCTGCATTGTTTTCTCATACAAAACGCAAACGTTTGTAAATAGTACAAAGTGTGTTATGGGCCTTACCTTAGGTATTAATGAACAGCACAGACCACTTCAGTTAGGACCAGTTTCATGTTTAAGTCCAGATAATAGTTTGAGCACAGACATGTAATCCTCCATTTGGAAATAAGTTCAATGAGTTTTAAAAAGTAAAAAAACGGGTGTCTCCTCCGTAAACTCCGAGTTTTGCTGCAGCCGACTCCCGGGTAAATCCAATTTCTAAATTCAACCTTACCCTTCACCTCCTTTTCTTATGATTCATATCATCATTGGAAGCAAAACATTACTCTAAGTGCATTTTAAATTATCTTAAAATGTATTATAGGTATGTTAGCCAAACCTGTAGCTGCCCTTAGCAGAAGAAGAACAAGAAAGGAGCTTTCTGATGGAATTGGATGCAGCCAAAGTTTGGGCTCAAAAGCGCCCCCTTGAGGCTTTCCTCACTTACAAGCTGTGGTTGAGCGCGATTAAGACCCATATTTGCTTCAAAAACACAATTTATGAGCCATCCTCTTAAATGTAAACATGTTGATTGTAAATTAAATATTTTTGAACTTTTTAAACTGTGATAAACAGAGAAAACAGTTTGATAGCACCTCACAGGACTCTCCCTGTGAGCTGTTACTTTTTACGTCTCCCAAGAGAGGCTCGCCTCACAGCACCGCTCTGTCAAATCTGCGATTTCAAGGTATAAATAAATGAAATAAGGCACAGCACAAATCACTTGATAAAGTGACCAAACATTATTGTATCCATTTTATTACTTTTCTTTCTATGATCTTAGGTGAAGGCCTTGCCTGCCTCATCTGACCGCACGTCACTGGGCTACACAACACAATGAAGCCACCGGAGAGACTGACGCATGAATGCGTATTGAAAAAAAAAAAGTTCAGTTTGATAAGTGACTTCCTTGATATATATTGTTTATTTTGTTTTTCTTAACAATTAAGATGGTATGTTATTATCCAGTGTAATCCAAGTATGAGTCTCTCCCAAGCCCCGGCGATCCAAGATGGCGCCCTATTCAAATGAATGGTTGTGCTCAGTGGCGCTTTGTGACGGCATGGGGGCTGAAAGATTAGCGGAAGTTGCCTGAAACTCGCAAAGAACTATGGGAAACTCGCCTGTATTTGGGCATCGTCTGGTCCTCCCGGTTCTGCGCAGTGGATGATCTCCCATAATGCGTTGCGCCAAACACGCGTGTGTGGGTCTCACACCGGGTCTCACGCACGTGCACAGAGGGGCTCGGCCGCGCTCTGACCAATCAGAGCAGTTCATCAGAGCGGGAGTTAGAGCGAGAGCCAGAGAAGCAGAGTTTGTGGCATTAAAGTGTGGATTTAAACAAAACCGAAGGATTTAAGAAGAAAAAAAGTTCAGGATGACAAGGGACACTAAAATCCCCACAAAATCCAATCTTTATTAAAGCTGAAGGTTCTCTGTCAGCTGAGGTCGAGCTGTTTTAATATGCATTGAGTTCTATGGGGAAAATTTCTGGGTAGCCCACGTGAATTTAGTCTGGTTCAGTCTGCAGTACCGCGAGAATCCCCTGAGCACGTGAGTTATTCAGCTACAAGCTAGTAATACCCTATCCAGTTAATATAATACATCCATGGTCTCTCCCTCGACTCTCCCAACAAAAACCCGCCCCCCCTCTCAGAAAATAGTTCCGACGTCCATGTGTGTAGGGGTGTGCTTCAGAACAGAGACATCATCACTAATAAAAATGTTAATGCCACGGATCCTTGAGATATTGATACTAGTATTAATGTGTCAGAACCAGCGGGGGCGGGTCCCGGCTCAAAAGTGGCCAAAATGACGTGCGCTGACATGCTGCAATACCACCCCGGGCCTGTGGGGGGTGGACCCGGAATAAGAATTAGCCAATGCTAACATATAGCATCTTCTTACCTCTCGAAAACGTCTTTACAGGATTGTCCAAAAGCTGGCTCTTGGCCCAAAGCTCCGTCCCACATGTGTGTCGATGCTGAGGGGGGTGAATTTTTTTGGACCAGTCTAATTTATTTGATGTGATTTTTTTTGAAGGCACTCGTTTAAATGAATGGAACTAGCGCTGGCTGACGCATGCGCAGATGCGTTTTCACATTTTCCAGCCCCCGCGGCCATTTTGAATCACTCCATGAAAGCCCAATTTTTGCCCCATTAGTTAGAACGACGGAGATAAGTGTGACTACATCCGTTAATAGTCTATGGTCAGAATAAAGACGCCAATTTTTGAGATATACATTTTTTGTCCTCAGAATTTAAAAAAATCTCCATAGTTTAAATTCTATGTGAAATCTGAATCCTTGAATATTCTTTATGTCTAGGGTTAAAACGGGTCCAAAAGGTCAGATTCCACACATGGTTCACATTCTTTTTGGCATTATTGACCCAATGCTGATGGTTCCAAACTCGCAGAATTTTTAGTTCAAAGGTTTTTTTTGTTTGATTCATTTTGAGATTTAAACTTTGTGTCGACAGGAAAAGAAGGAGAGAGTCTGCTGCATGAAGTGGCAGCGCTGTATAAAAAGGGGATGTGTGACATGTCGGGCAGGGCGCCGGGACGCACCACCGTCAACAGTGAGGAAACAACAAGTATTTTGGAATCATTTGTCATCTGTCATTTTTGGTCAAATCTAATTATTTTCCATTAAAGGTGCGTCTCAGCTCCGTCCAGGACAAGAAGGAGGGTACCGCGTCCCCTACTGCCCCAAAGCAGGAGGCTGTGGAGCCGCCATGAGAGCCATGTGTATCGGGCTGAGGTGAGGACCATATGGACTTTTCACACTTTACTCTGAGCCATGTCACAACATCGCTCCCTCACTCCGCTCCATTTTAGAGGTTTATTATAAAAACGTGATGTAAATTCGCCCTTGTGAATTTCTAAACTCATTAATCCCTTTTTACAGTTTAATTAGTTTATTTCAGAAGTCCACTATTCAATTTAACTCATTGACTGCCAGCCCATTTCAAAACAGGTACTCCCATATTGCCAGCCGTTTCTGGTGGTTTTTACTGATTTTTCAAGACCCACAGAATATTGTGTACTTTGACTATCTGAAATCTAAAACTAGATTCTGAAAGAATGGGCTGTCTACTCTCACCAGCAAAAAGAATTTTGTTTCTATCTTGTTTAGTTCTTCTGTAATCCCCAGTTGAGTAGAGGGAAGTTTTATTGAAATCACCAGAAAGCTGAGAAAAAAGGGCCACAAACAGTGCATCTAGCTGTGTTCAAACCATTCATAGCGCAATGCTGCCATCTGCTGGCTCCATAAAGTATTGCCTCAAGCCAATCTCCACATATTAGATTCAATGGACAGCTGGGAACGTAAAAATAGCGGGAAACGCAATTGACGTGTTAACACGTCATTGGCAGACAACGTTACTATTTAGTTTGACGTGTTAACACGTCAATGGCAGTCAATGAGTTTTAATTATCACACAAAATGACTTCTTGTCTCAGTCCCCTCATCTATCACACTAACCCAGACTTGACTAATACAGGAGTTTATAAGTAGTTTCTATTTTCTGACAGAAAATTAATATCCAAGTAAATGATTGGCAATTATTGAAGGTCTTCACAAACACAAAGGGACTAAAGACAAAATCATTTTGGGAAAATGTGTCGAGTTTATTTCATCAATGGAACACGTCTTTGGTCGTATCGTCGCAGAAGCAGCATTTACTCGTTCCAAATAAGATGCCTCAGTTTTTTCATAATTTTTTTTAAACTTCTAAAAAGATACAAGAAATGTCAGTTCTTTAAATAAGACTAAATGGCTTTGTCCCGTTGGAAAATCTTGTCAGAATGTGCTCAGATTAAGACAAGCCCCGGTGATCTAAGATGGCGCCCTGTTCAGATGAATGGCACTGACATATCAGAGGAACTCGCCTATATTTGGGCATCGTCTGGTCCTCCCGGTTCTGCGCAGTGGATGATCTCCCATGATGCATTGCGCCAAATACGCGTGTGTGGCTCTAACACACGTGCACAGAGGGGCTCGGCCGCGCTCTGACCATCAGAGCTGCTCATCAGAGCAGCAGCAGAGTGGAGTCAGAGCGGGAAGGAAAAAGCAGAGTTTGTGGCAGTAAAGTGTGGATTTAAAGAAAACTGAATAGTTCAGGATGATGAGAGACAGTAAAATCCTCACAAAATCCGATCTTTATGAAAGCTGTAGGTTCTCTGTCAGCTGAGGTCAAGCTGTTTTAGTTTACATTGAGTTCTATTGGACTTTTTTCTGGGTAGCCCACGTGAATGTAGTCTGCAGTACCACAGCACCCCCTGTGCCCATGGGTGGGACAGCTGTAAGCTAGTAATACCCTATCCAGTTATTATTATAGATCCATGGATTAAGATAAAAACCTCATATTTGATCATGTTTTACTGTGTATGTGTTTGTACTGTATGGATCTCTGACACTGCAGGTATCCGGAGCCGGCGCAGCTGGAGACTCTGGTGGCAGTGGCCGTAGAGATGGGCAGGATGACGCACACTCACCCCACAGGGTTCCTGGGGGGTGTGGCTGCGGCCTTGTTCACCGCGTACGCCGTCCAGAGGAGGCCCCTGGAGTCCTGGGGCGTGGGGCTCCTGAACGAGGCCTGTCCCGTCGCAGAGAGGTTTGTGAAGAGTGCGGGGTTCGCTGTGATGGAGACGGAACGCGACTGGAACTACTTCAGTGAGAAGTGGAGGAGGTGATTGTCAGTTTCATGCTTCTTTTGTACTTTATATGTATTTTTGTTTTCATAAATCCATTTTCCCCATTTCCCAAACTAAACGAGTCTTTTAAAAGCCAAGTATTGTGAACAAATCCAATCACAAAATGCGGTCCGTTTTATTTTTGAATAGCCCAGAATCACAACAAAAACACAGATCAGAGAATCAAACAACACAATAAATGCAAATATTAATAAAAAACACATAGTCTGGTGGCTGAGTGGTTAGCAGTCATGAAAGGTTTGAATGAACAGGGCCTTTCTGAGTGGAGTTTGCATGTTCTCCCAGTGTCTGCATGGGTTTCCTCTGGTTTCCTCCTTCACTGATAACATACAGTTGGTCAAATCCTCTCTCTGGTCATTGTAAACACTATATTTTAGGTCACTTGTGAAAAAAATAAAAATCATATACATTTTACAACAAGACAAAAAGAACTCTTAGCATTTTAGAGCTAAAAACTGCCTGCCCGAATGGAGTTTAGGCTGGAGTTGAGACTCACCCCTTTTACAACTGTGACACTATGTCCAAAGATGCCACTTTTAACAGATTAGACAAATGATTGCAACATGGAGCACAAAACTTAAACTCCAACAATCTCAAATATGTTATGAAAGATCAAGTTCAAGATGACTCATAGTTTCTCACATACCAACGGAATATGAAGGATGAGTCAAATGCAGTGGACACATTTCCCAATATGGACTTTAAGTATCTATTTGATGCTTTGGGCTGAGAGATCATTTTTCACTTTTCTGACTTCTCTAAGGCAAAAATACATGCATGTGAAAACCAGTGCTCAAAGTTAGGCACCCTGGCTTTAATGCTTTTAACCTTCATCCTTTTCTTCACAGCTACCTGGACCTGCGTGGACTGTCCAATGGCGTGGGGCCCGTGGTGTGGCCTGAGGCGTACGGCCCGGCGGAAAGAGACCAGGCCTACAAGAGCTTCAGCTTCAGCGGCTGGGGAGGCAGCAGCGGCCACGACGCTCCCATGATCGCTTATGATGCTTTACTGGGAGCAGGAGCGGACTGGGAGGAGCTGATTAACAGGGCGGCGATTCATGGCGGTATGTCCCTCTGCCTTCAAACTGTCACCACAGCCGCAGCACCTGTGTATGAAGTGCACCTGTGTATGAAGTGCACCTGTCTATGAAGTGCACCTGTCTATGAACTGCACCTGTGTATGAACTGCACCTGTGTATGAACTGCACCTGTGTATGAACTGCTACTTATTTACTCCTGTTACTTTTGAAGAGAAAGTATACTTGATATTCAACAACATTTATGGACATTGGTCATCTGCCCCTTATGGACCAATGGCTATAGATGGATGATGGATAGATAGATAGATAGATACTTTAGAGGAGAAATGGAAGTATCCAGTAGCATCAAAAACACATCCATCCAAACAAATGAGATAATGAAATGATCATTCTAAAAAGCTAACAATAATAAACAGAACAAAACCGTTTTCTTTTCGATCTGTTTGATTTTCTGATCTGTGTCGGCGAATCGACAGCTTTGTAAAGTCCTCCGAGATAACTCCTGTTGTGATTCAGGGCTATACACAAATATGTAATTGAAAACATGTCCACATCTTGTTCACCTGGAAAACACGAGAAAGTAAATGTTATGTGTGTGTCGTAGGTGACAGCGATAGCACAGCTGTGATCGCCTGCTGCTGTTGGGGCGTCCTGTACGGCACAAAGGGCGTCCCCGAAGGAAACTACGCCAAACTGGAGTACAGGGACCGACTGGAGAAGAGCGGGGAGCAGCTGTACGCCCTGTCACACTGAGATCTTGTTTCTGTGGGGGAAATATTATGTTCAGAGCCGATGCACTATATATACTACTTTCTATAGTGGTTTTTAGAGACCAATAGAGCTGAAATCAATAAGTTTGATATGTTTTTAAAAGTGTATTCCATTCCTTTTATGCACTAACACACACTGTATGTTCATATATGGGGCTGGTCCAGGTTCTGCAGCTGTAGACTCCTGAACATGACGGCCCACATTGAAATGAAGCAGAACTATCGCAGCGTGATTGTTAATGCGGCGTGTCTGCAGAGTAATGACTTCATCTGACGCTTCCTGTGCCTTAAATGAAATGTGGAATTGAATGTTAATGCAATAAATAACAAATTGCTTTTACAAAGTTTGTTTCGAAAAGACAATGTGATTCTTAATGCTTGTGAATGAGTGAGTTCTATCTCCTGCTGTTGTGCAGTCTGTGTAGAGATCACAGTCTCTTTGGCACATGGGGGGAGGGGGGGCTCTATATTTGGCCCGTCATTCTCATTCGCATCCCATAATACCATGTATCTATGCATAATACACAGGTGTCAAACCCGAACCATGTGTTGATTCAGATGAATAATAAATGTGCAAACATAATATTTAGTCTTTGGTGCAAACAGAAGAATGTCGGCTCCTTTGGTCACAGCTCAGACTGTTTTAATGACACATTCAGCTCCACTCAGAGACAGACATGTCAAACTCAGGCTCGTGGGCCAACTCCAGCTCAGAAGACCATTTGTGTCATTTTTCAATTAGTATTATTTACTTCCAGCATTGATGGCAAGACATGTTTAACATTATATATCTTCTCAGGAAAACAACGTAATTTATTACATTTTAACACATCAGTAGAAGTGAAATATAAAACAATGTTTAACATTATATTTTAGTGGAACACATGTCACATAAAAGTCAGGTCTTTCATAATGAAAACACAATTATAAGAAAAGGAAATCTCTTCTATTCTTTCGGCCCCTGACAGTTCCTATTATTTGTTAGAGTTATTTCTCTCTTCCTGGTCCACAGTTGGTCAGAGTGAACTTTAGAGGGTCCAGAGGGTCCTGGGGGGTCACGCTGCTTTTTATATCCGCCTCAGAGCGGCTGTCCCGGGCCCATGTGCGCCTCTCCTGCTCCACACTGCGGGCCTCACACTGCACTGGAGCGGGGTGTGTAGTGTCTGTTGTGGCCGTGAACAGCGTGTGAAGCCCCGGGGTCTGCTGCAGCCTGAGGCCGCCTGCAGGAGCCGCGATGTCCCGGTGAGAGCCGCCTGTAGCCGCGTTAGCAACTTTAGCATCTGTGGCAGTCATGTCTGTGCTGAACCAAAGGACTAGAGAAGGATTGTGGCTAGTGTCATAACTCATAAGTATAATAAGTATATTACATGTGGTGATGTCGCAGGGCTCCTGTCTCCGTGGACCACTTCAGAGCCGCCATGTTGCTGAGCGGAGCAGGGGACGCTCTGGGATACAGGAACCAGCTCTGGGAGTACAACGAGTCAGGACCAGCCATCCACCAGGTGTGTGCACCATATGTCCTGTGGTGTAGGGCCTCCGGGTTCATGGTCCTGCAGTAATGACATGTGTGTGCAGGAGCTGCAGGAGCTGGGAGGACTGAAGAGCATCAGAGCAGAGCTCCCAGACTGGCCTGTGAGCGACGACACGGTCCTACACCTGGCCACAGCTGAAGGGTTGGCCACTGGTGAGAGTCCTGTTGTCATTGTGCCTTTGTGTTGTAGTGAACTTTAAGTCATCATTCACTGCTGCTCTGCAGCCTCTGGGCACCTGTGTGTCCCTGGACTCTCTCTCAGACACAGAGAGGATTTGTGAACTCCACAGAGCCCTGGTCCTGCTTCACGACCTGCAACTTTCTCTGTGAGGCTTGATCTTTGACCACCCACAAGAACTCAGTCCTTTGACTTCTTTAGCTCCAAGTAGTGCCACACACAGCAGCAGCTACACTGTCACTGAGGATCCAAATACATAAATCGGGATGATCTTGTCCATCAGACACACTGTACATTTCTGTAAATGCATTGGCAAAGCCAACAGTATTATTTCCATTGATGCATGAACCTAAAGCAGAGCATTAGCAGCATCTGTATCCAGATACATTAAAGCTGTCTGCAGGTAAAGTGGGAGAAGAGATGCTCCATGAAGTGGCCGGTCGATACGTGGAGGGGATGAAGGACATGGAGGGGAGGAAACCAGGGCCGTCCAGTATTCTCGGTAAAAAAAGAGTAATTGAGTAGAGAAGAAAAACAAAAGTATGAAACTCATAATAATCTTTGTTCAGGAGTATCTCAGCTGCGGCCGGGCGAGGAGGGTGGGTACCGAGTGCCCTATAACCCTGAGGGCACCGGCTGCGGAGCCGCCATGAGGTCCATGTGCATTGGTTTAAGGTGAGCTGGTTTCTCAATTTGAAAATGCTATTTAAATTATTTAGTCCCACTGTCTATGGTATATCAAGAATTTAACATTGAATTTCAAACTTTATGAATTCTTCCAATAATTCTGAACAATACTAGAAAGAAAGTCACACCATTAATTTCGATTTTTTTCTCTTTTACGTTTCTCCCAAAACTTCAGACACTTTCAGCTCATTATAAATGTTCTAGAAATTGTCTCCCTGCTCTGGTCTCTCTGCATGAGCCTGAGCCAGGCCCCTGCTGCAGACACCTGCCTCACAGGATTTTTTTGTTGAATAACAGTCACAGGAAACATCTATCAGTGTTATACAGAAAAGGACTGTATTCGATTCCATAGTCTCTGTGGCGTCTTCCCTGGTTGGAAATTCCATTGTTGTGAATATTTGGAAAATCAGGTCCCCCAGCTTTAATCTACTTATTCTATACATCAGTATATATTGTATATATATATTGTCTCTTTTACTGAACAGGTACCCGAAACCTGACCAGCTGCTGTCATTAGTGGCCGTTGCCGTGGAGACAGGCAGAATGACCCACCCTCACCCCACAGGCTTCCTGGGGGCTGTGGCGGCGGCTCTGTTCACAGCGTACGCCGCTCAAAGACGACCGATAACAACGTGGGGTCTGGGTTTGATCAACGAGGCCTGTCCCATCGCAAGGAACTTTGTCCAGGGACGAGAATACGCTGTGGAGGAGACGGAGAGAGACTGGGACTACTTCTGTGACAAGTGGCAGTGGTAAGACTGCGATGATGCTGGATGGTATTTCAGAGTGACGTCCGTGTTTCTCCGCAGGTATCTGGACCTGCGTGGCATCTCTACTGGGGTGGGGCCTGTGGTGTGGCCTGAGGCGTACGGTCCTGCGGAGAGAGACGAGGCCTACAAGAGCTTTAGTCTGAAAGGATGGGCTGGACGCAGCGGCCACGACGCTCCCATGATCGCATATGATGCTTTACTGGGAGCAGGAGCGGACTGGGAGGAGCTGATGAACAGGGCAGCTTTTCATGGCGGTATGAATCACAGCTTTCAAGTATTCCTTAGATCAGTGGACATTAGAGAGCAGGTTGGCAAAAGGAAGTCTTGGTCAAAATGTGTTCATTTAAGCAGTAGCTACAAATGGGGAAACTTAATGTTCAATGTTGCAAAGTAAAATGTACGTATGACCTGTACCATATGAATGTGTCGTAGGTGACAGCGATAGCACAGCTGTGATCGCCTGCTGCTGTTGGGGCGTCCTGTACGGCACAAAGGGCGTCCCCGAAGGAAACTACGCCAAACTGGAGTACAGGGACCGACTGGAGAAGAGCGGGGAGCAGCTGTACGCCCTGTCACACTGAGACACACTCTGCTACTCAACAAAACCTGCTACTTTTTATAAATGAACAATGTTTCAGCCTTTAGTCCTCAGTGGTTCCCAAAGTGGGGGTCGTGAGATGATGTCCAGGACAAGTACTACAGCTAACATTTGTTGATCGAGTAATTCATTTCATAATTAAACTGTTTGGCACTTTACATTATTACTTGTATTCTTCAGTGATTGATGATTATATTACATTGGATAAATAATTTACTGAAACTTTAAGCAAACACAATTTTTAAAAGTGTGGGGAAACGTCCCTAAACCCCAAAAGGAGTCAAGTAATGGCCACGATCAGATCCCTGTAACCTCAAAAACAAAACAAAAAATATTGTGGACCAATAGAAAAAACTCCTGAGTGTTGGATTTTCTGAAACACTAAAATGGCTCAACAGAAAGTGGCAATTTCCCATTTCCCACCCACTCACCCTGTGTTGGCAAAGAGAAAATCAAGATGAGGAAAAGGCGACGTATAGGACTCAGCCAGGGCTCGAGTCAACATCGGACATGCTACTGCTAAGCTAACCTGAATCCTTTACTGCACCTTTAAAAGAGTCTTGGCCTGAAAAGTTTGGGAACCCCTGCCCTGACCTCTCAACCATCTCTGCGGACCACACATGTTCACATTCATCAGCAATTAACCAGTAAAACCAAAATGTGTAGTTGAGTTAAACTTTATTTTTTTGTCATTGTTTTTTGTCAGTTTTATTTTAAATTTCCTATAGAGGGGTGACAGGGTGTTTTTATTTGACTGCAGAACTAATTAAAAAAATTCTAAAAATCCTCCTCTCCTCTTCAAATCCTGTCGCTTGCGTTGAAGCGGTCCCCGGTCGTCATTTTCTCATCTCTCGAAAAAACGCGTTGGAAGATGGAGCTGTGGTTGTTGTGATTTGCGTCTGCGTTCGGCTCCTGGAAAAAGGGGGTGGGAGTTGGAGAGGAGAACGGGAGGCTGCCTGCCGTCTTCTTCATCAGCATCACAAAGGTACATCCTTTTGAGATTCGGGTCGAAGAAATGTTGTAGCAGAACAATAAGGTGCTTGATAAACGGGTCCTCCTCTCCGGGTTTACCGTCCTGACAAACTGATTTAGTGCGAGTCACATCCAGTTGGCAGATTCAAGATTCAGTTTCCAGGTGGATGAAACTGTGCTGGGTGTGTCTGCATTTGCATCGCTGTGGGAAAGTGAAACTCAATTTAGCATTTGTTACTCGAGACACCATAACAAGAAGCCATAACAAAGATTCTTTTCCCTGGACAACTTTGATGCTTTAGTGAGAAATATTTCTAGAAAAATATATAAGATGGAAGAGCTGAAGGCTTATTGACAGATACTCCAAGAATTAAACCAACCATGTGTAAGTCAGCACATACACCAATGCAAAGAAACCCGAATACTATAAATGTACATAATTGCCGTTTTTGATTAACTTTTCTCTGTAAAAAATATCAGTTTAAATCTATTTTTTGATCACCTTTTCTAAATATTCTGTATTTTCTTCTGTATTAACTATAAAAACTCAAAGAAATAATAAAGAGAAAGAATAAGAAAGACGGGGCTGCCTCACCTTGTGGATGTCCGATATAGAAATGTTGGTGAGCTCCTTGCTGGCCATGCTGCGGGTGCTGCGGCACTGCACCGGGACCTTGCTGAGGAGGGGGCTGTAACATTACTAACTGGGGCTGTCCGTGGCTGCCGGAATGATGGGGACCAGACATGGCTCCTTGTACGTGTGCCTAAAAAAAATAAAAAATTAAATAAAAAGGATCGTCAATATTAGGGGGAAATCATCTGCATTTTGCCAAGACAGAAAATCCTGTGGGAAGCGTGACCGTACCTGTGCGATCTGACCCAGAGGGTACGTGGCAGGGATTCCTTGGTGAATGCTGTAGCCCTGGATGGGATAGGATCCTTGTGGAGAGGTGTGGCCTGGGGGCATGTTGGGAGGGGTGGGCGCAGACAGAGGACCAGAGTGGAACAGGGACTGAGGCTGAGGACCAGACTGGGCATTCTGGGAGGAAAACAAGAGTAAATTTTGTCTGTCACTGCTGAAACACACGTTGCGTCACATGTTTAAGCTAAGATCATGTTTTGGGAGATGCTTTGTTCCTTCGGCTGTAATATCACTGTCGGGAGTTGAACATGTGCGCTATTGTTTATCAAAGTTACTTAGTTCATGTTTATAATTGATGTACTTATGTGTGTGTTTGTATGGATGGATCAATACTACGCAGGATTAATTAAGTATGTATGTGTATCAAGCTTCATTAAATGTAATTAAATTGTTACCCATGTCAATTACCCACAGTATATTTGTTCATGGATGTTGTACCTGTCCAGGGCTGGGAGCAGCGTGTTGCGGCTGGGCCTGGTTTCCTGTCGGGGTACTAGAGGGCTGTGGCTGATGCACTGGACCCGAATGATGAGCGAAGGACTGTGGAGCTACATGGACACGACACGTCAGTCAAAACCATCAAGCACACATTCATTCAAGTTATATACACACCATAAATCCCTTGCTGCGGCCCCTGGGGACCTTCTCCTTGATTTTGGAACTGGGGGGCTCCTGGGGGCCCCAAGGCTTGTGCATGAGGACCTCCTCCTTGTCCGATCATGCGGGCTCCTCCTTGTATCATGTGGGAGTACATGTGCTGGCTGGCGTAGGGAGACATGGTCTGGATGACCTGCTGCTGCCCGTACTGCTGGGGGCTGTACTGCAGGTAGGACTGGGGGTACGGCGACGCCACCAGAGGAGCTCCAGCTGCTGAAGCAGGTTGGATTAGGGGCGTTCCAGACGCAGTGTGCTCCGAGCGTGGTGCTACAACTGAGCCTGGACACGATAATGAAATATAAATGTCCTCCCCCCCCCAACGCAAAAAACCTCCACGGTAGGAAGAGCATGTTACCTTTAGTCCTGGTGAATTTGGATTGGTTCACTGTCGACATGGTGTACTGGTACATCTGTGGGGCCTGGAGAACAGTCAAGATGAAGTCTATGTATTTGTGTATAGCCCTAAATAACAACAGTATTTATCTCAGAGGACTTCCTAAAGCTTTGCAAACACATATCAGAGAATCCAACCCATGAAATGCAGTGATAAAAAAACAGATCCATTAGTCCATACGGGGCGGAGTATATCTATCTGTTTATTGTTTTTGTGAGAATTGTGATAGACATACCGGTACAGAGTGGATCTGTGAGACGTAAGAGAGGTAGGGAGCATTGTACAGTTGTCCTTGTCCCGCCGCGGGGTGTGGCAGGAACCCGGGACTCGAGGGTGTGGGCCGAGGCGGCGTTGGTGCCGTGTTGGGTTTTGTCTGAAAAGTCAACATTTTCCGTTCTGACTCTTTATCTATTAAAATCTCATGTTTACAAAGACACCTACCATAGGCATTTGAACTTTATTAGGGTTAAACTCCTTAGCGTTGGGATTCAATGTAGATTTCTTCACTTGTCTAAAACACGAGACAAAACAATGCATTAAAAAAGATAATGTGTGTTTAAAGCACTGGGGATATTAATACTCACTCAACTACTCCGTCAGAGCGCTCAGAGTCAGACCTGCTCTCGTCGCTCCTGGGAGGCTGAGGCGTGGCTGGGGACTGCCTGTCGGAGCCGGTGGCCGTTGTCGAGGCCCCGGGAGTGGCGGCGATGTCTTTAGGCTCCTCTCCTGGGATGGGGGACGCTTGGGGCTGCGGGTGGGTGGAAGGCGTCTGTGATTTGGTGTCATTAGTCATGTCTGATTTTCCTGAACTCGAGGAGCTGCCGTCAGAGACAGTGGGAGCGGTCGCTGTGGCAGGGGAACCAGGCGCTTGTAGCTAGAAATAAGTATAAGACCATAAAATACAATCCAACTGAAAATACATGATTCCCATTCATAGACTGGGAATGTGTTCTGTAGTCCTTACCCTGAATTCTATACCAAACTTGCGTAGCTCCTCAATTTGCGACCTTTGTTGAACTGATGGAACTAATAACATAAATAATAATGCGTGATTATCAAAACATTTGAAAATGAGGTTGAGCAAAACAGTTCATACCTTTATTACTTTTGTTCTCGTCTGTGCTGCTCGGACTCTCAGCAGAGCGTTCCTTTGCAGCGGCACAAAGGATCTCGTTCACTGCAGATAAAGGCTTTGTTAGAATTATATAATTGGTTTTCCAGAACTGACGCGCTGTAGTAAAAAGAAGAATCTCTAGTCATTGTTGAAAATCATTTTCATACCATCAACAGGGAAGAGAGGAGCTGGACCAGATGTCTTCTGGGCAGACAAGGAGACAGACGAGGTGTCTAAATAAGGTGCGTCTTGTGAGGACCCTGATTTAGGAGAACGAGAAGCTGCACACGCACAAATGGGAAAACGTGATGATGTAATGTACATTAAAAAGCTTAATTGTGAGAGGTCTGTACCTGAGGATTGTGAGTGAGAATTTGGAGTGCGAACAGATCGACTGGACTGTGGAGGTCTTTGGGCTTTAGGAGAAGTTCTTGTAGACACTACAGAGAATATATATTTCATTAACTACAACTCATCATGTTTATACTCAGCCAACACTTGATTGAACCTTACCCCCATTGACAGGCCGTACAGCGTCCGACAGCGAGTGAGGAAGTGAGTGGGAATGAGAAACTGTGTTTGAGTGAGGGGCAGGAGGGCTGGCAGGAGAGGGGGCTGCAACAGTGGGTGTGGAGGGCGCTTGTCCTCCAGGTGACACTGGAGTGTAAGGACTGGCAGGTCCAGAGCCAGGGCCAGGGCTGGGACTGCTCTGAGGATGGTGGGAAGCATAGGCTCCACCACGGTTCGACGAAGGGCTGCTCCTCTCTGAAGGGGAGGTCCCAGGCTGCGCTCCTGTGGCTGAAGGCAGTGGGGGTCTGGGAGACGAGGACGAAGGGGTGGAGCGGTATCCTCCACGATGAGACTGGGGTCCTCCAGCCCTTTCCCGGTCACGGTTCATCTCCCTCTGCCGCTGATGCAGTGGGATGTACTTGCCCTCCCTGTGGGGTAGAGAATACACTCAGTACTTTCACATATACGTGGTGTCGTTGTCAGGACAATAACATATGTAGACAGAATATTACCTGCTACTTGCACCTGGGCTGTCCCTGCCCCGCTCACGCTCTCGAGGGCTCTCTCTGCCCTTCTCTCGGTCAGTGCCATCCCTCACTACAGAGCTGTACTTGTCTTCTTCACTTTTTCCTTCGTCATTTTCAAGGTTGGTGCGATGGCGATACTGAGGACTGGACTCTATCTCACTGGCGAGTCGAGCAGCACGGGCCTCTCTTTGACGAAAATTCTCAGAGTTCCCCCTTTCCAAAGGAACCCTAACAACCAAAACAAACCCATTACATTCTTCTTCTTCTCTTAAAGTAACAGATTAGACACTGAGAAAGTCTGACTTACGTATACATCGAGAGACTGGCATCATATGTTGAGGTTACCCCATACTTTACTTCGTTGTAACGAAACATCTCATTGGCATCCCAGCCATTAGACTGTACAAGGAGAACACATTCATGGTCAGACAGTGTTTGGTTGTAAAGAGCATCAAACTAAATAATAAAGATAAAAATGGCCCAAACTTACAGCATCGTTTTCAAGGTCATAGCTCTCTCCGTTATTGTCCCCAGCGTCCCATCTCTGTAAGACCTTTTCTTTGTGCTCTCCATTGACTCGAGTCGAGCTGATTGCGGTGTCTGTGAAAGTGTCTAAAACATGGATGACACAGATGTAAGAAAGAAGAACACAATCACGAACCCTCTACAAATAAAAAAGCATCTCAAAGCATCATGTACCTCTTGTGGCAAAGTTCAGGTCCACATCTCTACAGATCATAGTAACGAGATCCTGAGGGCTGAAGATCATGGTGTCAGTGATCTCTTCTCTTCGAGGAGGAACTGTTGTGGAACTCTCATCCTCTGTGCATTTATGTACCGCATCCACAGCTATCTCACACTGAAGAAACACATCATTTAGTACAAAACAAAACTTTCTCTACTGTATATAAAGAAACAAAAACGTTTCCAATGCAATCATAGGTACTCACTCGAGAACTTAGGGTCTTAAAAATGCCCTCAAACATGCTGCCATTCTTTACTCTAATGTCACACGTGGAGCCCTGTCGGAGATAAAAATAACTGTAATTTAAAACTTCCAAAGAGTCAAAATGTGGTTAAACATGTTCCAGGCTCACCACAACGGCTGTGAGAAAATGCAGCATTCTGGCATTATTGTAAACACCCTCAAACACCTGATTGGAGGGAATCAAAGGTCACCACAACAGGTATGGATTGGCATTCCCCTGCATTCTTGTGGGGGAAGTTTTGTTATTGTTTATGTACTTACTGGAGATGACTGAAAGGAGGGTTTGGCAGAATTCCGGTTCCTACAAAGGACAGATAAAGCGCGATTGTCAGCTATGAAATAGAAAAACAACTGGTTCTTCGTGTATGACCTACCAAGTCATTAAAATGTCTCCAGTTTGAGTCAACTTCATTAGGTGAAAGTGTTACCTCATAAAAACTAACTAAAATCCAATTACGAAACAAATATGAAAGACATCGCACAAAACAATGCCATATTATGTTCTTGTTAAGTGTATTTACGGTGCATAAAGTGGTCGTCTATAACAGGGATCAAAACAAAGCCAGCCCAGGCGGCCGACGCTTGGTAAACACGGCCCATAAAGACCAAACGGGACAATGCGTTAATCCAAACAAATATCTTTCATATAAAAGTCACATCTTACCTACGAGATGGAGGGCCGTTTCCGTGTTTGTTAGTCATCCTGCTTCCCAGACTTAAAATAATTACGATTGACACCTTTTATTAACGCTATGTTCTCGGTTCTACAGCATTATCACGAGTCCACCTCCTGTGTTTATCAGTCCAGCATCGCTTTGTAATTGGTTCAGTCTACTGTCAATCAAATTATTCTTAATCTGATTGGCTAAGAGTAAAGTCATTTCAACAGCCACGCCCACTGTGTGCATAGCGTCTGACCGGTAGGCCTCCGGGTCCCAGGGCAATCCCCGGACTGTCCTAAACACGAATGCGGAGAGTCTTACCTCCCAGCGGGCGTCCTGTTGCCGCTGTTCCCGCCGCTGACAGGGGTAGACATCCCGGGTGGATTTGTGGTTCCGTTTGACGTCTTCCTCCCGCCAGAACCAGGTGTCTGCTGTTGTTTTAGCATTGATGCTTAGAAGGCGACAACTTTAAGCTAATGTATTAAACACAGACTAACCCCGATTACAAGTTTGTGAAGGCTTTCCTACTGGAGGCTAACCACAGATGCTAAAGCTAATGTCGCCTGTGGCCTATAATGCAAACGCAAATCACTCCGATTTATAAACATGTAACATTTGATTCGATTAAACGACTCGAATGTATCTTCTGGTTATTGTTCTACCAAACCAGGCCCAGTAAATTAGCACAAGTTACAATATAATATTTAGCAGTAGCTTCGGCTAAGTTAGCTTATCCGTGTTAGCATTAGCTCAGATCTACAGCGAGATCTCATGGATTTAGCTTCTCTCCTCAGCCTGTCCTGTGGCTTTGGCTCTGATCTCCGCGGCTGCTCCCGGTCAAAGTAACTTATTAGCGTTTCTTTTTGTTAACTTACAAAGTTTTAGCCTTAAGGTTTCTAGTGGAAAACCTGCTGCGGTCGGTCAACACCACCTCTCGGTAGGTTCGCTTGACTCAATCCGCGCGTTGAGGACTGCCAACCGGCACAAGGCTGAGGGGGAGGGGGCGTTCACGTCCGCCTTTGACCCACTCCTCAACATGTCCCCGGACCCTCACTGCACACAAGCATCACACTGACACGGCTTCATTACAATGTGCACATACTGACATTGACGAGGAATCAGCCCAATGCACTGACTGTTGTGCTGATGTGGCTGCACAGGACACGTGGCAGAGCAAACACACAAACTCAGGCGATGTTTTAATGCAGAATACAGATAATGGTTCAAGTGTGTCCATATCGTCTGTGGTTGACTTTTATGTTGTTCTTGTTTTAAAATACTTATACAATTATTTTCATGCGCCTATAGTGCACTTACTACGGCTGTAATCTGAGGGCAACATGGCAACCCCCGTGTAGTACATCTGCGTTACATCCATAACAGTCTACATGACAAGGCAAGACCAGAAGATTACGCTCAAACTGAAGAAGTAAGTATGAAATCAAACTAACCAACACAATGTACGCTGACAAAGAATACTGTTAATTTAATTGTGTTTAGCCATTGTACTTAATCCCAAACCAATGACTGTTATGAAATGTTGGACATGACTTCATTTGTTTTACTTATTCCAAACGTGCACGAGGTATACAATTGTTCACAAAAATAAAGGCAAACAAGAACACCTGTCCATGGTTTGACAAGGGATTGGTTGAAGCACAAAAGCTTATATTAATACAATCACCTCCCACCCATTCAGACACACACAATACAATATAAAACAAGAATCAATACCCTACAGTACCCTTCAACAAGACACATGACAGCAATAACACACTTACACACACATGATGAGATAAACTTGAATAGATTAAATATCGACAAGACACTAATGATATATGTACTTATTTCCATTTCTCTTGTCTTGTATGCAGCCGTTCACGCTGATGAAGAAGTTCACCTCCCTCAGACACGCCTCCCTGGTTTGCAGACAGTCCAGTCACTTGGCCACAAAGCACTACGATGTTATTGTTGTGGGTGGGGGTCATGCAGGCACAGAGGCGGCAGCAGCATCCGCCAGACTGGGAGCTGAAACACTTCTGGTCACACAAAAATTGTCAACCATCGGTGAGAGACTGTCACATTCTGTATCTCAATTATGATTTGTTTTTGTAAATGGGGAAAACTTTGACAACATTGTTTGACCTCTTTGTAGGAGCCCTGTCTTGTAATCCATCTCTGGGAGGAGTCGGTAAGGGCCATCTCGTAAAGGAGGTGGATGCTTTAGACGGCTTGTGTGGAAGAGCCGGAGATTGGGCTGGAATTCATTTCTCCATCCTGAACCGAAGGAAGGGTCCAGCTGTGTGGGGGCCCAGGGCACAACTCGACAGACAATATTACAAGAAATTCATTCAGGTAAATTCTTCAGTCCTACGTGCACTAAAACCTACTTACTATGAATTGCATTATTTTTATATTTTATAGACCGAACTGTCGAATACACCCAACCTATCACTGGTAGAGGGTTCTGTGGAGGAGCTACTGGTGACTGAAGCAGACCCAGAGAAGCCCGGTCACCACAGAGTCACTGGGATACAATTAGGTTCAGATTTATGTCTATTCATATTTGCAAATGTGTTTATTGGTGAGTTTTTAACACCGAACTTAATATTTCTTTAGCAAATAGTCTCAATCCCATCTCTGCCAGCTCTGTCATTCTCACCACCGGAACCTTTCTGTCTGGTTCCCTCTTTGTGGGCCGTACCACGTCCCCTGGGGGGAGAATAGGAGATGCTCCGTCAGCTTCTGGACTATCACACACTCTGAAGGAGATTCTGGGGCTGAAACTGGGCAGACTGCGGACAGGGACACCGCCGAGGATCATCAAGGATTCAGTGGACTTTTCTCAGGCTAAACGCCACGCCCCCGACAGTCAACCAACACCCTTCAGCTTTCTCAATTCAGAAACACGCTGCAAAGTAAAGACATGAATATGACAAAATCATAAACTGGTCTCTCTCTCTGGTCTCTCTTGCCTTTCTCTCTGGTCTCCCTCTAGTCTCTCTCTTGCCTTTCACTCTAGTCTCTGTCTCTCCTCTCGCCTTTTTCTCTCGCTTTCTCTAGCCTTTCTCTCTGGTCTCTCTCTTGTCTCTCTCTCTGGTCTCTCTTCTCTCTCTCTTGTCTCTCCCTCTGGTCTCTCTCTCTGGTCTCCCTCTAGTCTCTCTCTTGCCTTTCACGCTCTTGTCTCTCCCTCTGGTCTCTCTCTCACCTTTCTAGTCTCTCTCACTTGTCTCTCTCTTGCCTTTCTCTCTGGTCTCCCTGTGGGCTCTTTCTGGTCTCTCCCTCTCTATTCTCTCTGATGTTTTTGTTGTGGGTGGAGGTCATCCTGGCACAGAGTCTGCAGATATAAACATAACAAAACCCTAACCATTGATGAACTTTTAAGAGCGTTATCAAACTATTTAATCCCAAACAGCCAGAAGAGCAGCTGCCGTGTCACCTGACCTACACCACTGCTGCTGTGGAACAAGTGGTGCACGACAGCCTCCAGCTTAATCACCACATACAGCAGGACGCCAAAGGCCCCAGGTGTGATCTCTTATCGATCTCTTACTGTCTGTAGTCTGAAGTAAAACGATTGTACCCTCACAGATATTGCCCGTCCATTGAGTCTCGTGTGCTGCGGTTCCCGGGGAGGAGTCACCAGGTTTGGTTGGAGCCAGAGGGGCTGAACTCTGAGCTGATTTACCCACAGGGCCTGTCCATGACCATGCCTCCGGAGACGCAGCTCCAGCTCATCAGAGAGATACCCGCCTTACACAGAGCTGAGATTCACACTCCAGGTACGAGGATCCAGGAGCACACATGACCAGGACTGGCTACGATCCTAACCATAGACTGGAGTCCAGAGCTGAAAACCTGTTTTTAGTTTACTATTTTATTTGGTTGGTGGACTCTGGGATGGCAGTGTAGAAAGTTATTGTGAGATTCAGCCCCGGAAATGATGAAAAACTCATTGTTTAATTGTTGAATGGGTTAGACATCAATAAAAATAATCACATCTTTCTCCCATAGTTTATTTTTTTGTACCAAAAAAGAATTAACGCCTTAAGAGTTTTTCAAAATGATAACTCAGAGACGTGATGTTTTAAAAAACCTCCAACATTTGTTATTAACTGGGTTCAGCGCTTACTACGATAAGGACAGACAATTAATGTAGTTTCCAATCTGAAAACAGCATAAAGGTCTGCAGCTGAATGACTAACATGATGTTGTTTCTTGGACAGGTTACGGTGTACAGTACGACTTCGTCTGTCCCACTCAGCTCAGCCCTTCTCTGCAGGTGAAAAGCACTCAGGGACTGTTCCTGGCCGGACAGATCAATGGAACCACAGGATATGAAGAAGCTGCTGCTCAGGTAGGAACGTCCAGTAAAGGATTTGTAGATCATCATTCTGTGACATCGTTTCCAATGAATCCACTGATTAAGTTATTACTTAACTAACTTACTTATACTTGTTATACTGTTACTGCACTTTGCTTGATTACAATCCTCACATGCTTTAATTCCTTGTGTTTCCATGTTGCCTTCTGTAGGGACTGTGGGCTGGTGTGAACGCTGCTCGCTCTGCTCTCTCCAAACCTCCAGTGGCGCTGTCTCGCACAGAGAGTTATATCGGAGTTCTGATCGATGATCTGGTGAGTCGTGGAGTCACTGAGCCTTACCGAATGTTCACCAGCAGAGCAGAGTTTAGAACATCATTACGGCCGGACAATGCAGACATCCGTCTCTCTCTCAAAGGTACAGACACTTTGGACTAAGTGTTTATTGGGCGTTCATGAGTTTTAAAGTCTGTTTGTCGTCAGGGTTTGAGGAGGTGGGCTGTGTGTCGCTGCACAGATACAAAGCAGCAGTGAGAGCTCAGGATCACCTCCAGGAGGGACTGGCTGCTCTGCAGGCTCTGACTCAGTCCTCTCACAGATGGAGACAGACACTGCCCAACATCAACATGAGTGAAAACAAGAGCGCTGTGATGACGTGAGTCATGTGACACTTCACTGACAGTTCAGTGAAATCATCTTTATAGAATACAATGTTTTTGTTTTTTTATAGTGGCCTTGAGCTGCTGCAGTACAGCGATGTGTCCTTTGAAATGCTGTCTTCAGAGTTTCCACAGCAACTTTCACCTTTCTTAGAATTCTCACAAAGGCTCAAGATCGAAGGTAACCACAGATAAGTCTCTGTTGATTGATTGATTGATATGTGACAATAGAACCCTCTAACGTCGTCAACAGCTGTTTACAGGCCTCACTGCGACGAACAGAGGAAAGAGATCGAGAGGATTAAAAAGGAGGAGAACATGGCTCTGTCTCCAGACATGGACTACCTCTCTCTGCCTGTGTCACTGTCTCAGGAGGTCAGAGAAATACTGGACAGGATCCGCCCTGCCACTGTGAGTGTCAAGTGTAATGTTGATGGTTTTGTATTTGAACTATATTTAATCTGTGTTCTCTGCTCCTCCTCCAGCTCGGTGCTGCGTCACGTTTACAAGGTGTGACGCCTGCTGCAATAGTCCACCTCCTTAACTATGTCCAACCCACGGGGGGCCACAGGGGAAAGAGACACCACCTGCTTCAAGGTCGTACACAGGAACCAGGCGCTATGAAAAACACACAATGAATACTTTTCTGTAATGTATTTATAAAAGTGAACAAATAAATTATCTTTACATTGTCATAAAACTGTACAAAACCATGTCAGTAGGATCTCGGTTCAACTGAAAGAACCGTGTCCATCGACCTCAGCGATGCCTCTGGTGAAAAAACCAAATGGAAATCTCCAGTGCAGCTGAGGTTCTCCTCGTGGGAGGTCCGGGTGAAGAGTCGTGTCGACAAACGTCACTTGATTGGACAGAGCCAGAGCTTCTGTGAGAGGACACTGAAAAGACATGTTTAAATAAAGATGAGACGGATTTACATTTTTCCATTGTGAGATCAATACATTTTATCTTAAAGCCCTGTTTCCACCATCCCTTGCTCTTCTCTACCTGGTTGTGTTTTTGTTATCTAGTACCATATCCTTGCAACCTACCCACAACAACCCAGTATGTATGTACTGTGGCCAATCACTGTCAGAAGACTTAAGTGTGTAATACTGCAATTTCATAATGTCCACTGACACTTTATCAACTAATTATCCTGCCAGATATTTATTTAATGACAACCAGCCATTGGTTTTGTCAAATCAGAAACTCTCTGGGGCATCTCTCTCGCTCTCTCTGGCCTCGCCCTTTCTGGTCTCTTATGGATATATTGATATTTACTTACCTGCTGTGGTACTCTGGGTAGAGTAGAACTTGTGGAAACGGGGGCAACAGAAATCTACGCACCTTGAAGACGCCGCAGTGGAACACATATTTGACGCCCAGGATGTAGGCGTGGGGAAGTTCCAGAAGTCCTTGTCGAGCCCAAAGCACTCGGACGGAGAGGGAGTGTGGAAGCGTGCAGCCGGTGTCACAAGACTCCTGGGAAACCATTTCACACAATAATATCCTAAACCTTGTTCATGTTTCCGTGTGTGGTGGACCCTTTTACCTGGGGACTAACGAGGCATTCTTCAGCGATGACCCTCGTCCAGTCCGGTTCTGCCCCAGAGTTCATGGCCACGGAGTCCGGGATAGCAGCACCACGATGAATGTTGTACATCTCAGTGCGCAAATCTGAACAGTTTTGAGCAGTGGAGCTGGAAAAATAAAACACTATATTGATTTATGTTGTAGTAGTAGTAATAAGATCAATCTTTATATTTCCTGTATATTTTGTATTAGGTCATTATGAACATTAGATCCTAGGTCACACATTTATACATTTTAAAATAAGAAAAATTAAGTATTAAAATTGTGTATGTGTGTTTTATGTTGTAAGAATTTGGTAACTTACGTAAACGAGCAACCACTTATTGAGTTGTGTCCAAAGAGAATGGATTTTCTCGCGTGTGTGTCAGAGCATTCTCCAGTGTGGGACACGCCAACAACAGTAAGCTATAAAAATTAAGTTAAAAAAAATAAAAAAAACAGGCATATTATTGTTTATAGTGATAATAAAGATGATTCTGCTTCAGTGAAATGTCCGTTCCTACAGGTTTCACATCCTCAAAATGGCGTCCAAAGACCAGAGATCCCGGTTTGAGTCCCACGGCAGCTGTTAGGGCTCTTGGTGCTGGAGGTGTTTGTGTGATGAGCTGAGAGATACAAATGCATAATCAAGCTTAATTCATATTTACTCTTTGATTATTGTTTTACCTGAAATTGCACGGCGTGTGTCTGCAGCAGCAACTGTTCCAGATCCACGTTAACAACAACAATATCGACGTTTGCGGACGATATCTCTCCTCGCTCGGTGTAACCAATGACAACGTTTACCTGATGGATCCAACAATTATTACGTGTCATGGTTTAATATAATGCCTCGGGTTTAAATAGGGATTTTTTTCACATCTCATTCTTTCACTCCATACACGATGGTGATAAACTATTATTGTTGCCACAGCTGCCCTGGGGCACACTGACAGATACAAGGCAACCAGTCTGTGCCAATATGTGCCAAATGCCCACAACTGTAAAGCGCTTCGTGACTCTGGTCTGTGAAAAGAGGGAAACCAGAGAGAGGGGGACCAGAGAGAGAGAGAGGCCAGAGAGAGGGACCGATTGCTGTTGGTTATTATATAAATATATGGCAGGATAATTAGTTGATAAAGTGTCAATCAGTGGACATTATGAAATTCCAGTATTGCAGACTTAAGTCTTCTGACAGTGATTGGCCACAGTGCAGCTGGACCGTAAATAAAGATTACTACTACTTACTACTACATTGCCCCCTCCGACCACCGCCAACCATTCACACACACTATACTCATAATACAGGCAATATGGGTGAAGTGTCTTGCCGAAGGACACAACAGCAATTTGGTATTTTACAGCCACAGCCGCCCCACTGTGGCACCTGGTGTTCCCGACCGTCTCACATCACAGCGCTAACCCAGCCCTCCCCTGCTTAGCTTCAGAGGTCTGACAGAATCTGGTTTTTCACATGCGGGTTTGTCCATTTAGAATTACCCTTTTCACCACATTGAGACAGGAGTTGTTTCGTTCGCTCGGTGCAGTCCAGTTTGACGATGGCATGACCGGGATCTAAAAGCAAAAATGACAATATTGACGTAAATTATGAAAGAATAAATGAATTCAGATTCGACACGTACGAGAAGGTCAGTCACTGGATCTGTAGGGAGAATGGGATGCTGCAAAACAAAAGAAAAAAGAAAAAATCAGAACAGACACAGACAGATACTGAACTACATTTGGTGCAAGGACCCGGACCTTGATCAAGTTCAGATCGTGGATGTACGACCGGGCGTTGAGGGCGGGGTCCGTGATGCAGGACTGAGCAGATATCACACGAGAACAGGAGAAAGTGGAAGACCTCAAGAACTCTAAAGAAACGGAAATGATTACATTTGTATGAGTCACCAGATTGCTTTGTAAATGTATGTCGAATATACACGCTGTAATTGTAAGCCACAACTTTCTTTAATTTTTTTTTAACCCTACGGCTGATTTAGTAATATGGCTTTTGTTAGAGCTCCCCCTGGTGTGCAGAGAGGGAAATGGAAACGGCTCTATCTGCGGGTGATATCCAGGACACATTCCTGCTTCAGTGTATTTATGTGAACAGCAGAGACATAAAGACGTGCAGGGAAATATACAGCCGTGTATAAGAGCAGTTTTACTTATTTTAGTAGTAATGGGACACGGCTATTGTCAGAATACCAGATTTGCCAGACTGCTTTGATCACCACAAGTCAATATTACGTTAATACACTTTTCACGTTTCTATCTACTTCATACAATGTTGATTAAGTTACATTACAACATGAAAACCTGCGGCTTCTACCCTTTGAAAGGGGGTTGGATGAAGCAGACTTGATTTGGCTCCGACCCCTGAGCTTATAGTAATTATTTAGTTGATTTGAGTGTGCATAAGATCAAATTAGTTTTATCCTACTGTGTAGAAATCGATGGCTTACTTGCAGGATTGCGATTGTTGCATAAAGCAGACGCAGCACCGGGGGACGGCTGACGAAGGAGACCCCGAGATGATGTCAGGGGATAGTATGCGAGTATGACATCATCGACCTGTAAAGTTATACACATATATTCATTCATCGGCTTCATTCAAGTGAGAACAACATCATGATTGAGTGAATACCCGGTAAAAGTCTCTGGTGAAAGTGTTTGCCATTTGTTCTGGGGGATCGAAGTGGTAAGACAGTCCCAAGGCAGGGTTTGTAGGTGAGGCCTCTCTAATGGAAACAGATTTAACTATTGTGGGGGAGAGAAAAACAGAAGTAAATCCTTCGTTTGAATCAGTTCCGTCAGAAAATATTTGGTTAACGTGCCTGCAGGCTGGACACAGAACAGAGAGTCGGTGACGGAGACATGAGAGGAATCCACGTTTGCCCGAAACATCAACCATTTCTCGACACAGACTCCAGATCTGTAAGAGATTTTAAAACGACCAGAGCTTTGACTGTGCATGTGTTATGACATTAGGGAAAAATATGAATCTTTGAAGTGTTACTTTGCTTTCTGTGGACATCCAGTAAAGACGGTGCTCAAGTTGGCAACACCACAATCTTCAGTGTCGCAGCAGCAGCCGATGTCACAGAACCCAGAGGTCAGGTCGCACAGACATCCTGCAGAGTCCAGCACAAGATAAGATCAACTTTTATTCGTCCCACAGTGGGAAAAATTCCATGTCCTAGTTGTACATCACAGCAGAATATGAGGAGAGAATAAGAGCACTCAGGTTATGCACACATCAAACACAATCTATTATTTAAGAGAATAGATAATTAACCTCGCTCCCATCTCTGTGTGGAGTCAGAGACAAAGGCCCACAACAGCTTTAAAGCACTCTGTGAAAGGCACTACTGACTCATTTATAAAACTCTGGAGCTATAATTGCACTTGGTTCAAGGATAGGCCACTTGTGGAGAACTCAATGTAGTCAGCGTCATCATGATGTATTTACCGATGTATTTTATTGTACTTTAGCAGCAGAGAATATGACCAGAATAAACAATAGTAACAATAGCAGCAGGTAAAGTGAATTATCAGTTGAATGGAAGGGTTTATAATGACAGTGAGGTAGTAATGTAGCAAGTAAAGTGACTAGTACTGGAAGTGACAGTAGGACTCAGCAGTTCTCATTGTACAGTCTGACAGCGGAAAGACCTGAGGAACCTCTCCTTCACACTGTGATGGTGGATTAGTCTGTCGCTGAAGCTGCTCTCCAGACTGAGTGTCCTGCAGGGGGCGAAAGTCATGGTCCACATAGATGTTTGCCCACCCCCACCTGCTGCACTGTGTCCAGGGTGTATGAGCGGTGTGTTCTGTGTGGACCATAGACAAGAGTGTACCATGTTCGTCCAGAGGCAGGACCGCGGGGGCGTCAGTAACCGCGGACGGTGGGGTGGTCCCCGGGGTGTCCACAGTGGAGCCGTCAGTGGGACTGGAGGTGAACTCTTCCGTGGCATTAACGTCGGGAGTGGTCTGTGAGCTGGTGTTAGACGGCTCTGTGGGTGTTTGAGCCAGAACCGCGCCATAAGAGAGGAGAGAGAGAACGTAAACGAGCGTCACATGGAGGAGAACGAGCCGCGCCATGACAGGAACATGTCCGGATAAGATATGAGCTAAACTAATGTAAGTGTTCAACAAGAGCACTCTGAGGAGGGTCTACAAAAGATTAAAACTATCCAAACACAGTAAATATGGCTGACGGACGCGGGAAGTCGTTACTAAGGAAGTCGTCACTCAGCTTCCGGTTGTCATTACCGTAACCCACGTAAACGTCACGCACGTGCTCATCGCAGAACACCGTCTACAGCGGGGGCGTGATGCTGCATTTACAGTCTATGCACAGTTCAACATCTAAATGAAGATAAGTGAGCACTAAACACAAACCAACAGCTGTTAGACTGAATCAGTGGCTCCGCTTCCGTCAGTCTGCCCCGGGACAGCTGTGGCCACCATCGTGTGGGCGTACCTACAGTAAACTGTTTATGTGACTCCGAGAAGCGCTCTATAAACAAAGATTGCTTAGTGGACATTACATATGTATACATGTATATGTTTACTGTGTTTGGATATCCTTACAGTCTATGATAAATCCAGGTTAAAAATAGTTCTGTTTAGTTGTGCATACAACTGAGGGATTTTATATTTTTATTTTTCCTTTTAATGTATTGTGATTATTTATTCAGCACTTTGAGTTGCTTTGTGCATGAATTGTGCTATACAAATAAACTTGCCTTGCCTATAAATATGTAACTCGTGGGAACACCACAGTGGGGGTGGGTCCCGGCTCAAAAATGTCCAAAATGATGTGCACTGACATACTTGCAATACCACCCCGGGCCGATGGCGGAGGACCCGGAATAAGAATTATTCAATGCTAATGTACGTATCTTCTGCCTCTCGAAAACGTCTTTACAGGATGGTCCAAAAGTTGGCTCTTGGCCCAAAGCTCCGTTCCACATGTGTGTCAATGCTGAGGGGGGTGGATTTTTTTGGACCAGTCTAGTTTACTCGCTGTGAATTTTTGAAGTCACTCGTTTAAATGAATGGGGCTCATGCTGGCTGACATGTGGCTGACGCATGCACAGATGTGTGTGTTTTTTTTTTCACATTTTACTGCCCCGCTACCATTTTGAAACTGCCCTTAGAGGGCAAAAGTGGTGGCACATTAGTTTGAACGGCAAAGACGTGACTATGGGCCCATCCCAATTCTTGGGGCACTCGAGTTGTGAGTGCCCTCAACAGAAGAGTGCCCTCCCATAGGGGAGTGCACATGCTGGATATTCTCCCTCAGAAATGGGATGCCCACCCCACACATCTAGGGGACGATATGCAAATCAACGCAGCAAACGTGTTCCACGTTACACATCATCAATGTGTCTGATTTCACCTCAGATAAGATCTGACACAGATATGACTTTATGAAACATGGTATTTCATATGAAGAAAATAAGCTATCATTAGGTACAGGACTGCTCCATATCACGTACATACACGGCACAGAGACAGACACGCGTACGCACGCACACACACGTAGATACACGGCACACAGAGACATACACGTACGCACACACACACACACACGAGTACGGACACAGAGACAGACGAGTAAAGCCGCAGATCACAAAGCAAACTGTGTCAAAGCAATGATTCAGTCTCTGAACTACATCATGGAATGACTCGCCCTTCGAAGCTTCCTCCCGTTCAGCACAAACTTGCCCCCAGTTGTTTCATGTATGTTTTTTTTCTTTCATTGTGGCACGGCTTTGCCCAACATCTACTTTAACAACTATACTAATGCATCATGGGATCACCCTCGCACGCTCCGGACCTCACTTGCGCGTGAGGGTGGTTTTTAAGGGCGTGAGGGTCCTCGCCTCTTCCCCCTAAGTATTGGGACCCTACACCCCGACGGGCACGCATTAAGGGGGCTTTTTAAGGGAAAGGGCGAAAATTGGGACAGGCCTTAAGTCCTTTAATATTTACAGTCTATAGAACACCAGGTGCCACAGTGGGGCTGAGGCTCCAAAGTAGCCGAGTATGAGTGAGCACTAACTTCTAAATGTCTCACAGCCAGAAGGTGCTTCTGAGTTTGTGTGTTCTTTACCATGTCTCCAGTCTTTCCTCTGGGCACTCAAGGTCCAACATCAACGTGCTCCATAGTAAATGACAGATCAGATGCAGGAAAGAGAAAGCACATTTCTCTTTCTGATATTGTGCACATACAGTAGTTTGTGTACAATATCAGAAAGTCTCTACATCAGTGGAGACCTATGTCAATGGTCTGTTATTTACACAGGGATCTTCAAAGGTTTCTATTCAAGGAGAAAACAATTAGAGACAAAACAAAAGCTTTGACTCCAAAGTTCCTTCCATAGTGCCTGCTGAAATGAGTGCACTTTGAACGTCAACTAAACGTGTTACATAATCCCCCTCTACATAAACATCTGTGTGTTGTTAGCCTATATCTGCCCTTCCTCTGGAATCCGCTGCAGCTGTGGCTCCTTGTCTGGACTTTTACACATGAGGTAAATGCACAAACATCACTCTTTACGTTATCACATGTTATAGTGGGAATTTGGAAATTAGACGTTGTCAAAGTGCTCATAGAAAAGAGGAGAGCAGCTCTGTAATGTGTGGCTTGGGATTCCACACAGAGGATATTTGGAGCTTAATGTGTCTCAATGTGATCAAGTCCTCACCTGTAGAGCTCTGGTGGTAAGAGATCCGCCAGGTCCCGTTTTATCTGGCTTTGCCGTTTTAGGGATGAATGTAGTGAGTCGCTGTAGGAAACTGTTTGTTGCCTCTGGGCCCTCTCTCTTTGAACAGCCGGCTCTGGCACATGTGCCGGGCCCCTTTGCTGAGGCCTTACAGCGGTGCCACAGGCCGCCAGAGGTGAACTTGTGCCCATCACGGTGCTGTCAAGGTACGGGGTCTATGGGTTCTTTTTGAGCTCTCAGACTCTTGTCTCTCCCTGTTGGGTGCGTGTCGAAGGAGGCACAGGTTTAAGTGGATGCTCTTGTGTCAGCCTTGGACCCCTTAGTTCGGCTGAGGTCTCCTTGCAGGAGGTACAGAGGTAGACGCCATCACAGCCGCATTATCATGTGGGCAGGGTGGATACAGTGGACTTGTCAGCACTCAACCAGAGGAACAAGCAGCAATCCCTGCTCCAGAGGAAACAGGTGTTTTCTGCATATGACGGTGACCTCAGGTCCACAGGTGTCCACAGGTGTCCACATGTGATCACCCGTGAGACCCGTGTGGGCGAAGTGTCAGTTCTGTAACAAACACAACAGGCGTATTGCACCTGCAATACAATACAATTTAATCTTGTATACAATTTTTTCTTGTATAGCCCTAAATCACAACAGTAGTCATTTCAGAGGACTTAAAAAAAACCATTGAAATCACCAACACAGATCAGAGAATCAGGTCCAGAGGTCCCTCATCGTACCATGAAACAGACAATGGGACAACGGGTGAATAGCAATGAAAAAACTACAGTAAAAATCCTAATAATGCAGACAGATAAAGTAGGAGAATATGAGGCCGTTAAGGCTCCTCGAGGCACAGGTGATCAGGGAGAGTAGCAGTCCCTACACTTCCTCCTTTGTTGGAGTTCATAGGATGAGAGTCTGCCTCTCTGCATGCTCTCTACAGAGGGCCACCGCCTTCTGAACGCCAGGACAGAAGGCACATTGTCAACACATTGTCAAAAGCCTGAGCACATTGTCTGGTGCCTGCTGGTTCTCAACCATTGGTCTGAACAGTGGATATAATCAAGTCCCTGTGGCAGAAAAGGACAAGCTGAAGACAACCTTCTGACAATGTTTGGCCACTTCGACTTCTATTGAATGCCTTTTGGATTGTGCAATGCTCCAAGCACATTCCAGCGCTGGATGCAGAGGCTGTCTGAAGACCAGCAGTGTTCGTTGTTGTTGCTGTATAATAGCATTTAGACTAGCTGTAGCAACCATGTGTAGCATTAAGACCAACAGGGGGTCAAGTCGGCCTCTGGTTGAGGCGTGGACCCCAGTATGTGAAGAGAGCTTGCTGTCACCCCCTTTAAAGGAAACTGTTGTTTTGTCCTTTTTAGTACATTCTCAGCATAACCGCTCAGTGTGCAATTCAAATCATTGTTGCACAGGTAAATCCACAGATTTACATGAACCGCTACGGTCCTAAGGCCAGACTCGTTGCGTGCCGTGGTGGGTATTCCTCCCTAAATGAAGGTCTTCACTGCCCGTGTCATACTTTATGCCGTCATTTCTAGAGGCATTAAATAAACATTTGGAGTCAGAGCCGCTCCACTCCTGTTTGCACTGATGCAGGAGGAGCAGAGAAGACACCTGCTGCTGATGCTGCTGCTGCTGCTGCTGCTGTTTCAGAGTGTGGAGGAGGAAGGTTATTGACAGGTTATGGCATCGTTATCACCAGTTTAACAATGAGGTTTATAGAAAAGACACAATGAGCTCAAGATGTTTGAGCTGCTGTTTATGGCAATCCCGACACACACACTTCTAACAGACTAAAGGTGGGAGTCAAATAACCTCAAAGAACAGGTGGCCAATGTTCAACCAAAATGTTCAGGATAATGAGTTTTCTTTCTGGTTGATGACTGATGTGAAGCACCATCACAGGGCTTCATGTTTACACAGATTAGGCAGATGAACACATTCCCCAGTGTAGATCAATTATACCTTACCACATGACACAGGTAGAACATGCAGATGTTCATTGCACTGCAGGGCCCTGTGGCTTTTACTGACCACCTGGAAAGTCCTACTGAAATTTCCGGATCTCAATATCAGGAGAGTCCTGCCCCCAGTAAGAGGGGAGATAATGTTTTAGTGGTTGGGGAAACCGGAGCACCTGGAGGAAACCTACACAAACACAGAGAGACTACACAAACTCCAAACAGAAAGTCCCCGTCAGGAGGTGGAATGGAACCAGGATCACAAGCGACATATTTATTGACAATGAAAATACCAGAAAACTTTGCATATTGTATTTGAGGACCAGCAGTGGCTCCGATACTGCAGTCTTTGGCTCAGTTTAAAGGAGCTGTGTCTGAAAACATCTGACTGAAACCTGCTATTTGAGAAGGATTTTGTAAATGAGAAAACATGTATTTTATATCAAGATTTTGAATCATGTAGAATGATACAAACATAAATGTGACAGACTAGGGCTGTGATGAAAAATAAGTCAAAAATGGCTCAAATTGGGCTAAATGTAGCTTAATTTGAGCACATTCTGTCCGCCTTCAAACAAGCCAATGGGACAAAGCAAAATGATCTTGATTTAAAAGATACAAGAAATATATGTATTTATTTATTTAACACAGTGTTTTTTGTAACACAGTCAGAATGTGCTCAGATTAAGATAAAAACCACTCAATTCAAGCATTTGTTTCCTCATTTCCTTTAAACTATTTCCTGATGACCACATGTTCTGGAGTATTTGATGACCGCGCAGGAGACTACAGGAGACTCACAGAAACAACACAAATGCTGACGAAAATTATTGTTGATGCAGGAAGCTAACACATACACTGCTAAAATGATCAAATAGAATGTAATACAGTTTTTCTCAGTCGCTTTGGTGCATTTTTCACATCACTCTTCACATTGGCACAACAGTTGGTGCATTGCACAGAACAATTACTTCAAACTGCAAACCCTGGTGGATAACCTGCAAAAGTGCATCACTTTCTCAAAATGATAAGTGAATCCCTCAAAAGCAAGTCTTCATGATAATGAAACTGTCTGTGTCGTCAAAATAATAAGTCCTGACACCAGTGTTTATGAACAACACAGTCACATGACTTGACATGTCATGTCATGTTTTCATTGTGAAAGTTTACTCTCTCTGTGTTTTCATCGTAAAAAAAAGTTATATCTCGGTTACACTTGGTGAGCACTATACACTGTGCAGCCAAAAACTACAATAAAGTTACACATGACTGTATTTAGAGACGTAACTGAGCACAAGACATGTATGTATCTATGTATGTGTATGTATGTGTACTGTATGTATTTCACATATTTACTGCACTTGCTCTTTACAATTCTACAGAATTGTGCAACAAAAATACAGTCACATACATGTATAAATAGAGCAAACATACAGAATATCATTCTGGAAGAACTCTGACAAATGTAAACAATAAAACACACACCTCATCATGAGTGAAGCTGAAATTCACCCGAGAGAAATTGTTCAATTTAGGAAAGATTTACAGAAAAAAAATTAAGGAATGTATGAAATTAGCTCGACAAATATGATTTTGAACTAGTTCAACAGTTTTGTATGTGACCAAAGTGATGAAATAAGGACTATTGGTTTTATAGAGAAAGATTATTCAGAAGTCATAAGTATGTTTCATTCTGACTGACAGGACAGAAGCAAATGATAATGTTAAAAAAACAGCAGAGTATTGTATGAAAGTAACTGATACATGAACAAAAGCATTTGTAAAGTGTTCAAAGGAGAAACTGCTGCGATGATGTCACACATGAGTCAGTGTTGAGGTTGAACTAATAGTTTTGAGAACTTTAAGTTGTGAGAAATGCACGCTCTGGGTGGAACAGGTTGGAGACACCTGGTTGAGGCTTTCTGAACACATTTGTGCATATGTCCAGAGATACTGGAGGAGTGACTGAGCTCGCAGTGGGACCAGCAGAGCGGGGGAGGAGACTTCTGGTACAAAAGAAAAAAGTCTGTCTGGATCTGCCACAGACTCACTCCGGCTCATGCAGACACCTCTCTCTCTGTCTCCCTGCTTTCTCTCTTGCTCATATCTCCCCCGTCATGTCCGAGGAAGCAGACCTGGACTACTACGCGGCCATAAAGGAAGCAGAGTTGAAGCTTTGCCGCTTTCCCCTGGAATCAGTGAGGGGCGTTCCTCTCATGCGTCCCATCGCAGAAAACTTTGACAGCATCTGGGAATTCAACCCGCACCCTCTCGACCTCCTCATCGCGACTTATCCCAAAGCAGGTAACTGTCCACCCAATTCTATGTCACAGAAGACAGACATGTGTTAGTTAATAAGCACTGCTGCATACATGTTTATAACTGTGACCACAACCGTCTTTGTCTGATTTTCTTTGCTGTAAACTCATAAATTAGGAACTATTTTTCACGAAGACTTTTCCTGTGAAACAAGTAAAGCATCATGTGACCTGTTTTTAAAGCTCTGAGATGAGATTGCAAAAGAGGAACTGTGTCCAGAGCCAAAACAGACGACTCTTTATCAGTGGAACTCACTGAGGGATCATTTGGTCTCGAGTTGAATGTTTTCGTTTTTTTGTGGTTCTTTTGAAAGACAGCACTGTTTTGAAGATATGGCTCACAGCACTGCAAAAAATGATCAAATATGAAGTAATAAATGCGTAAATTGAGTGGTGCACACTGAGGTAGTCTTGCACAGTTTTTCCAATGTGGTTTTACTGCAAATGGTAAAAAAATAAATTCTTGTTTTTATCTTAATCTGAGCACATTCTGACTGTCACAAAACCAGATTCTCCAATGGGACAAAGCCATTTAGTCTTATTCATTAAATGTTGCTTTATTTCCTCATTCCAAGTGAGACTTTTTCTGTATCTTTTTAAAACAATATGATTTTGCTTTGTCCCGTTGGTAAATCCTGTTTTAAGGCCACACAAAGATACACTTTTAGCCGTGCCGCCGTAACACATTGACAAGGTAATAATACATCTATGTTGTATTTTAAAAGAAACACAAAAACTAGTTAACTGTTTATGGAAACGCTTAATGTTTATCCATGTGGCCCAAAGTGCACGATCATCGTCTAGAGTGTACTTCATAATTAGGATGCAATTAAAAGTTAATAAAGGTTCATTAGTATTCCCATTTTTATCTAATTATGAGTCTGGGCTGTGGGTTTAGGAATAAAACTCAGAAAATAGGCCAAATAATAATAAATAAATGATAATGTGTGTGTGTGTGTGCATGTGTGTGTGCGTGTGTGTGTGTGTGTGTGTGTGTGTATATGCATTAAAAATAGTTCTATAAGTGGTTTTAAAAGCTTTCGCACCAAAAACCAAATCTCCAAACTTTTTGCGTGGATCACTGAACGTATGTAGGAGCGGCCCGACAGAGTGTGACATCACCACAGTGTTAGCCGAATGCAGAAGAACCCAATTTGACCACACGCTAGCTTGAGCCAAACAGCTCATACAGAATGTTTAATTTTTCTCTCCGATGGCGTTGGCTTTGCGCCATAGCAAGGGCAGACGTGTTGCTATGATGGTTGCTAAGGCAAGCTGGCGTTTGATTGGTCAGTCCTTACAAGCTCATATCTGGATTTACAAACACAGTATCACAAACGGTGACTGAGACAGAGGATTTTACTTTAACATGTGTAAGTCAATAGGAGCCAGAGCAAATGGAGCAAAACTTTGTCCATGAGCACTTCCCTATTGGGCTACATGGAGTTAGTATTGTCCATCTGTTCACAGTCTATAGGAGATGACAAAATGCTACTAAAACTGTGTCATCAAAGAATTGTGTGTTTCCGAATGACTGCAAATGACCCTAATCCGAGATTGTTTTACAAAATAAACAAATCAAAAAATTAAATGAATAAGTTTGTGTGTAATCGTCTAAAAAAACTTATGTATTTGATTTTTAGGAACAACATGGACTCAGGAAATAGTCGACCTTCTTCTACACAACGGAAATGCAGAGTTGTGTAAGCGCGCCCCCACTCCGGTCCGCAGCCCCTTCCTCGAGATCGTCTCCCCCAAACCCATCCCCTCGGGTCAGTGCCAGGACCAGGACATCCGCATGAGACAGGAAGTACAAGGCCAGGTTATTTGTTTAGCACCGTTCATACACAAGGAAATAAATCATCACAAAACATACAAAAAGAGAGAAGATATAATCGCTCAGAACTGTTTTTAACCTGGATTTGAGCATTGTCAGAGAAGAAGCATGGCTCACATTTTCAGACCATACTGTACAACTACACTGCAAAAAATGATAAAAATATGAGGTAATAAAGTGTTTTTATCTTAAATTGAGTTCATTCTGACTGTGTTAAAATAATATTTGCCAATGAGACAAAGCTATTTAGTGTTGTTTCAGGAACTGTTGCTTTACTGAAGGCTTTGAAGGTTCTTATGTAGCACTCACGCAGTAAGTAAGAAATCAAATAATAATAATTGAGTTCATGATTAAACGAGGTGCTGTTCAGTTATCTGAAGAGTAACGCAAGAAATAAATAGCCAGACAGCTCTCCTTTTGCTCCAAATTATATTAGAATATTACAGTGATACAAAAAACAAAAATAAAAAGTCCACTATAGGTCCCCTTTAATGTCCCGAATGCACGGCACGGGCACGCTCCCGACCCTGAGTCTGTAGTGATCCAAAACGCAAAGAAATTCCGGTATTTTCCGCAACCGAAAGCACTTGTCCCGTATATAAGGTTAAAAAAAGAAGGTTTATCTAAAGAAGTACGCGTCTTCGTGTCGGCACAGATTCAAAACACGCTTAATAGAAAAAATATGTTGAGTCTGTACTGCTTCCTTTCTTGACAAATTTTGACGCCGTTGTCTGCAGTGAAATTCATTTTGTCGTCTTATGTGACAAAAGCTGAAGTATGTTGCCGAAAATGTCATGTAATGAAGCAGTTCTAGCTTTCTTCACATTTTTTTGTCTCAATAAAATAAACTTCTAAGCCTTAAACATAAAAAAACAGAGTTCACTTTTTACATTTGTTGCTTTAATTTCTCATTCCAAGTTAGACATTTATTGTATCTTTTTAAAAACAAGATAATTTTTGCTTTGTTTTCAAGACCCACAGAGTATTGTGTGCTATTGTGAGGTGAAATATGAAACCAGATTCTGAAAAACTGGACTATCTCCTTTCAAAAGAAAAATTAAGATGGGTTCTTGCTAGTTTTGTTCTTCTGTAATCCCCAGTCGAATAGAGAGAAGTTTGACAGAAATCACCAATCTCAGACAAATACGTCAATGGCAGTCAATGAGAGATACATTTGGCCAATTTTAGCAATTTTTACGTATTTTTCATCACCTTTTGCAGTATGTTTCTGTCTGTTCTCACATAGTTTGCCTGTCTGTGTGTAATCAGCTCATTACTGTTGTTAAATAATTATCATGTGTTTAGGTCTCGATCTGTTAAACAAAATGGACCCCCCCAGAATGATCAAGACACACCTGCCCATCCAGCTGGTGCCTCCGGGCTTCTGGGAAAACAAGTGCAAAGTGAGTTTTTTGTTCTATATCCGCCTTCGGTTTATAGCAGCGTGACCCGTGTGTCATTGTTCTTATAAATGTCTTTTATGTGGTGCGCAGGTGATATATGTGGCACGCAACGCCAAAGACAATCTGGTGAGCTACTTCCACTTTGACAGAATGAACCAGACTCAGCCGGAGCCGGGCCCCTGGGACGGCTACATCAGCAAGTTCATGAGAGGAGAGTGTAAGCAGATTAGTACACATTCCTCAGGTTCCTTTTACACGCTAATCAAACGGCAGGGTTCACTCCAGGAGATATAAGCTTTCATTGATTGTTATGGTGTTGTTGCTCCGGCAGCGCGGGTGAACCCAGGGCATTGCCAGTCAGAGCCTTTGTCGTGTGGCAAACTGTAAATATGGGAGTTAAACACTAGACATCAAAAAGCTAGCATCAAAATGTAGCTGTGCACTGCAAAAAAAAGTATATTCTGTCTGTCTTAAAACCAGATTTTTCAACGGGACAAAGACATTTTTCTTATTTCTTCAACTTTTTTTTCCTCATTCCAAGCGGGACATTTCTTGTATCTTTTTAAAACAGCCTCTTTTTGCTTTGTCCCATTGGGAAATCTTGTTTTAACGCAGTCAAAATGTCATATTTGAGAAATGTTTGACTTGTTTTTATCACTTTTTTCAGTGTAGTTTCCGTCTTTGAAACTAATAATACTTGGATCCTGCAGGTTTGTTACAGCCTTAGCCATCCGTAAACTCCTGTCGATCATAATTTCCCTACAAAATGAGTACGATGGTACAGTAAGACCAGGCTCGGTTTGTGATGAAGTCGGCCAAATGCCAAGAGTAATTTTTCTTGGTTTTTCAGGAAATATCAAACACTTCATTCTGAAAAGATATTGTGCAGATGGAGAGGAAACAAGTTACTGACAAGGGACACTAAAATCCCCCCAAAAAATGATCTTTTTGAAAGCTGTAGGTTCTGTCAGCTGAGGTGGAGCTGTTTTAGTTTACATTGAGTTCTATGGGGAACATTTCTGGGTAGGCCACAGGAATTTAAGTGGTCTATTCCTTTAAGAATCTGCAGTAACACGGGAGGCCCCAGCGCCCCAGGGTGGGACAGCTATGAGCCAGACATACCCTATCCAGTTATTATTATAGATCCATGGGACAGACGTGTTGCTGCGGGCTGGAGTTTCCCTCGTGAATGAAGGCCTCTGATTGGTCAATCCTTATATGGCTCATGTCTGGATTTACAAAGATAATATCACAGCAGAAACAGCAAGATCCACAGAGAGAGAAACCACAGACACAGTTTCATCTGGAGGAGTCAGCTCGGTCACAGCTTTTCACACAAGACTCTGTTGGAGAAAGTGCTTTGACAACATCGTCCTCCGTAACAAAATAACAATAACATAACGCAAAGCAGGAGCAGGTGGAGGAAGCTCTGTTTGCTATTTCAATAAGGCCCAAAACGCAGAAGGGTCGACACTTTTACAGTCTTTGAGGAAGTTTCTCCATAGTTTCTTTATTGTAGTTGTGCATTAACAATATTGGTCTTTTTGTAAACAGTAAATCTGTCTGTGTTGAACCTGTGCACTATTGTTAGTTAGACACTTTTAGAATGTGTTTGTATGGATGTGTTTCTGCTGCTGGACACCTGATGTTCTCCTACAGGGGATCAATAAATCTGTTCTGAAGAGGTTTTTTCCATTATGCCCAGTCTGATGTTCCTGTTTGCTATGACCGCAGTGGCCTGGGGCTCCTGGTACGACCATGTGAGGGGCTACTGGCTCCAGAGGGAACAGAAGAACATCTTGTATTTGTTTTATGAAGACATGAAGGAGGTGAGACTGAACACATTGCACTTTGGTCTTGTGGAAGCACCAAAGTTAAACAGTTATTCCCGTGTGTGTGTGTGTGTGTGCGTTTGTGACTGTGTGTGTGTGTTTGTGACTGTGTGTGTGTGTGTGTGTGTGTGTGTGTGTGTGCGTTTGTGACTGTGTGTGTGTGTGTGTGTGTGTGTGTGTGTGTGTGTGTGCGCGTGCTCAGGACCCCCGGCGGGAGGTGGAGCGCATCATGAGGTACCTGGACCTGTCCCTCTCTGATGACATCATCAGTCGTATCGTGGCGCTGACGTCGTTCAAAAACATGAAAGAAAACCCCATGTCCAACTACTCCTGTATCCCAACTCATGTGTTCAACCAAAGCATCTCTGAGTTCATGAGGAAAGGTCAGGCAATATGAACTCTAATATGCTCTACTGTGCTCTAATGTGCCCTACTGTGCTCTAATGAGCTCTAATGTGGTCTACTGTGCTCTAATGTGCTCTAATGCGCTCTAATGTGCTCTAATGTGCTCTGTTGTGCTCTACTGTGCTCTAATGAGCTCTAATGTGGTCTACTGTGCTCTAATGTGCTCTAATGAGCTCTAATGTGGTCTAATGTGCTCTGTTGTGCTCTACTGTGCTCTAATATGCTCTACTGTGCTCTAATGAGCTCTAATGTGGTCTACTGTGCTCTAATGTGCTCTAATGCGCTCTAATGTGCTCTAATGTGCTCTGTTGTGCTCTACTGTGCTCTAATGAGCTCTAATGTGGTCTACTGTGCTCTAATGTGCTCTAATGAACTATAATGTGCTCTGTTGTGCTCTGATTTGCTCTACTGTGCTCTAATGAGCTCTAATGAGCTTTAATGAGCTCTAATGTGCTCTACTGTGCTCTACTGTGCTCTAATGTGCTCTAATGTGCTCTAATGAACTCTAATGAACTATAATTTGCTCTAATGTGCTCTATTGTGCTCTAGCATGCTCTAATAAGAGGTTTAAATGTAACATGGCTGTAGTTTGTGAATGCTCTGGCTGAACCAACACAATGAAGCCCTGTTTCCACCAGCCCAACTTGGCCCTACTCTACTCTACCCTGTTCTTGTTTACTCTACTTGACCCAACTCTACCCAATTTAATTAAATGTATGTTACCCTACTCTACTCTACTTTATTCTAGCCTACCCTACTGTACCTTACCGTAACCTACTCTACCCAACCCCTCCCTACCCTACTCTTCTCTACCCTACCCAACTCTACCCTACCTGGTTGCTTTTACATTACGCTTTAGCATCTGGTACCATATCCTAGAAACCTACCCATAACAAACCAGTAACCAGGGTCATTTCTTAGTAACCATGGCTTCCAGCAACACTCTGGCCAATCACAGTCAGTTACAACACTATAGTACCAGCTCGGCCTGGATAGAACCTGGGAAGGTACTGGAAACGGGATAGGGTAGAATAGGACCAAGTCAGATGGATGTAAGTTGTGTTTTTACTATAGTATGTTTTCTTGCAGGCGAAGTCGGCGATTGGAGAACCCACTTTACTCCCGACCAATCAAACACGTTCGAAGAAGATTACAAAAACCAAATGAAGGATGTGGACATACCATTCCGTGATTCAGTTTAACACAAACTTACGGTCTCTTTAGATAAAGGGTCATCGCAGCTTTCAATACCAAAGAGAATCGTTTTGATGTCAATTCCCGGGTTTTTGCACAACATAACGGAACAATAAAGATGGCCGCCGTCTCTACGCTCAGGAGTTGCGCAATTTTATACCAAACAGAATCTGAGCTTGTTTCCTCTATGATTGTTATTATATCTTGTAACTGCACAATAAACATGTTTACACCAGTGAGTGAATTGTAATCATCAATTTATTGCAGTAGATCACGTAAACAATGTATAAGACCATCAGTGTTGTGACTTTGTGTGTGTGGGGAGTTCTGGGAGCACTGGGAAAACTGAACGCACTGAACCTGAAAAGTCCGTCTCATGAAACGGGGACACAATAACACAACTACCGACCATTTCCAAGTTTAACAAAAAAAATCACCTTTAATACATACTTTATTTCTCAGAATAGAATCTTAAATATTTGAATAATTAACAGGGATGCTTCCACTCCATCCCGTCCGCCATCTTCTTTTTTGTGTTTTTATTTTGTTTTTCCGGGACTTTTTCGTGGGTGTTTCTCCCGCTCGTCCGTCGGTGGGTTGGCACGCACACACACTCACGATTCCTCGACTTCAGATGTGAACTCCACTTTGGTGTGTGTCGTCTCCAACCGCTAAGATCTTCCTCTTCATGAACTTATCTCGCTTCTCCACCTGGTCACAAAACCAGATGTGAGAATCGGGGGAAAAATCTGGAAAAACTCACACGACTATCATGCTTTTGAATGCTGATGCCATATACCTGCACTCTGCATAAGGATTCAGCATTCCGGCTCACAAACTAAAGTCTATAGAAGCAAACAGACCTGGCAACATTTTAGATTAGCCCTCACTCATTAACAGCTAATTAGTTTACCAGAACCCTAGCCTCAGCCCTAGCCTTAGCCCTAGCCTTAACCCTCTACCCCAGACATGTCAAACTCAGGCCCGTGGACCAAATCCGGCCCGCAAAACAATTTTTTGTGGCCCCCTGGAATGATTTTCCATTATCGTTATTACAGTAACTTGCAGCATTGATGGTAATGGGATACTATGGCATGTTATACATCATTTTAAAGGCTATTGTCTCAGGAAAACAACCATATAATTAAATAAGTTCTAAAATGTGAACTAAAATGCAATTAGAAGTTATAGTTAGTTATGGTTGAATCCAAATCTACTAGAAATTGTCCAAACTCATGTCAAATACAGATAATTTGTAAAAAAAATAAAATAAAATAACCAAAATGAGTTTGACCCCTCTGCTCTACCACATGGTAAAGCGTCAGTGAGTGGTTAGCTACATGTTGAATAAGACTGTGTAGAATCAGGACAAATAAGTGCTTAAAAAATACCAATTAAGAGCTGATTAACCATAAATGACACAATAATTAGCTGATAATTAGTGAGGGCTGAACTAAAGTGTGACCACAGACACTTTTTCTCATTTTACTATTTCATTCTAAATAAAAAACATCTATAATATTGTTCAAAAGTCCATTTAATTCAACTTGATATGATACAGCCTCATTCCATTCCAGCCTTTGATAGTGATAATGTTGATGATCGGTCACAGTGATAAAACTAAATAAAACTGTTTTATATAACAGTATTTTGAGAATGAACTGTAAACCAGAATCGTCAGCATCATAACAGGTAGTGAGACTTTATCATGGATTTCATATTTTAAGTGGAATTACAGAAATAAATGGACTTTGGGACAATATTTCACCTGTAAATACTGATGCACAACTACCACAGCGTCTCATAAAGTCAGGAAGGGACCGACACTTACACCAGGCGTCACACGTACACCAATGTGAACAACATATATAATAATAATAATAATAATAATAATAATAAAAACAGACAATGATCAAGACACACAACAAGAGTAAAGGGAGGGTATGTTTTTACTAGAAACTATGATTTTTGTCTGTTTTATTCCTTCTTCGTACAGAGAATCAGAGGTAGAACTGATTTTTGTGACAATATTTGGCAACCCTAAGTCTGCTTCGAAATGGTTGATCATAAATTGCCTTTGTGTGTGTTTTAGTTATGCTGATTTAAAAATATTGTGAATGATTGATTGAATATTCTGCCTCCTGATTGGAAAATTGTCCGGGAAAAAATACTAAGTTTACATAACCACTTGATGTTTTTGTGAAAGAAAATATACCTTGAAAACACCAATATATTTATAGGATTGCACATACCCTCTCTTTAATATAATTGTTGATGTAAGACAGACACAAATACTATCGTCAACAACTGAAGATGCAAACAAAGCTAGCATTAGTGTGAGGATACCTGTGTTTGGTTACAGGGAGTGATTTAGTCTGGAAGGTGGAGAGAGAAGGTCAGGACGTTAATGAGGAATGAAATGAAAAACGTTAAAGTTAGCATGGTTTTTGTTTTGAGATGAATGACGGAAGGATGGATTACCACAATACATCTTTTGTGCTGAAAAGTGAATACTTACACTCGATGTAGTTACGAGCGACGAACTTCAGCACCTCATCCAGGCCGATGACGGGGAGAGAGAGCTTCAGGACCATCAACCACTGCTCAACGCTCAAGTGGGTGAGCTTGAAGATCATCTGTGGACCAGAGGGAGGAGTGGTCAGAGAGGAGACAGAGAGGAGACAGGGAGGAGAGAGAGAGGAGACAGGGAGGAGAGAGAGAGGAGACAGGGAGGAGAGAGAGAGGAGAGACAGGGAGGAGAGACAGGGAGGAGAGGGAAAGAAAAGAGAGAGGAGACAGAGGAGAGAGAGCAGGCAGAGAGAAGAGATAGAGGAGACAGAGAGGACAGTCATAAAGGAGACAGAGAGGAGAGAGAGGGGAGAGAAAGAGAGGAGAGAGAGAGGAGAGACAGAGAGGAGAGAGAGAGGAGAGAGAAGGGAGAGACAGAGAGGAGAGAGAGAAGAGACAGAGAGGAGAAAGGAGACTGAGAAGAGACAGAGGAGAGAGAGAGGAGACAGAGAGGAGAGAGAGCAGGCAGAGAGAAGAGAGAGAGGAGACAGAGAGGACAGTCATAAAGGAGACAGAGAGGAGAGAGAGGGGAGAGAAAGAGAGGAGAGAGAGAAGAGACAGAGAGGAGAGAGAGAGGAGAGACAGAGAGGACAGTAGTAAAGGAGACAGAGAGGAGAGAGAGGGGAGAGAAAGAGAGGAGAGAGAGAGGAGACAGAGAGGAGAGACAGAGAGGAGAGAGAGGGGAGAGAAAGAGAGGAGGGAGAGGAGACAGAGAAGAGACAGAGAGGAGAGAGAGAAGAGACAGAGAGGAGAGGGAGAGGAGACAGAGAAGAGACAGAGAGGAGAGAGAGGGGAGAGAAAGAGAGGAGAGAGAGAGGAGACAGAGAGGAGAGACAGAGAGGAGAGAGAGGGGAGAGAAAGAGAGGAGAGAGAGAGGAGACAGAGAGGAGAGGGAGAGGAGACAGAGAAGAGACAGAGAGGAGAGAGAGAAGAGACAGAGAGGAGAGAGAGAGGAGAGAAAGGAGACAGAAAGAAGGGAGGAGACAGAGAGGAGGGAGCAGGACGGCGACAGGGGGGACTTACGGGCATGGGGTCAACATAGATGATCATGAAGTGGAGAGACATGGACAGGGACATGGCGGACAGCAGCCAGAAGTTGCTCCATGGAGGCATACGCAGCAGAGACTGGTTCTCAGACAAGCTGGAGACAAGGACAGAGGGAGTCACTTTAAACTTTAAACTTCTTTCGCGAACAAAGGAGCACCACCGTAGTACTGGAGCTCACCTGTTGAGGGCGTTGCACATCTCGATGGTGACCAGCACGGACAGGGCCATGGTCATGGGTGGGAAAGCCTCAAAGACCTCACAGTCAACTCCCTCAAACTCCTCATTGTCAGGGCTGCACTGCATGAAGTGAGACTGGGGAAGACGAACGGAAGAATGAAAGTGAATTGGCAGAAAGTGGTGAGGATCCAGGACCCTCCACATTTACGGACATTGGACATCTGCCCCCTATGTGTTTTTGCGTTAGAACTGCTTGATTCTCTGATCTGTATTGGCGAATCAACAAATCCTCTGAGATAACTACTGTTGTTATTTAGGGCTGTGAACTTTCAAGATGGATTTTATTACACGGGTTCCTTGTTTTCTTAAGAATATTGTGTGTGTGTGTAAGTGAGTGAACCAGTAAAACATTCCACTCTAACGGCTTTGTAAAGTCCCTCGAGATAACTACTGTTGTGATTTAGGGCAGAACTAGAATAAATTGAATTGAATTGAAATGAAAAAGATGTCTCTGTGCATTAGCTCTACAGAGATGGCCGGTATCATGGAACACTGTGGTCTACAATGAGCCTAATGGAAAAACTTAACTAAACTGCCCTAGTGTATGGTTCTAACAGTGTGGAGATGTCTGAGATCATACCAGCTGGTAGTAGGTGATCGTGGGGCCAGTGGTGTCGTACAGGAACCACCAGGCAGCACCACCAACGGTTGCAGCACCGACGTATCCTGGGGCAGAGCGTGGCAACACATCAATGCAGATAACACTCCACGCTTTGAAACAATCGAGGATCAAAGAGACTTTTCACACTTACCGCCAATAGCCATGTATCTGAAGAAGAGCCATCCAGAGATCAGGGGCTCTTTGGGGGAGCGGGGAGGCTTGCCCATGATGTCCAGGTCGGGGGGGTTGAAGCCCAGGGCGGTGGCGGGCAGACCGTCAGTGACCAGGTTCACCCACAGGAGCTGCACGGGGATCAGAGCCTCGGGAAGACCCAGGGCAGCGGTCAGGAAGATACTGAGGGAACAACACAAGCATCTGTTGAAGGACTCAGGAGGACTGTGATCCAGGAGGACTCGGAGCCAGGAGGACTCTGACCCAGAAAGACTCTGACCCAGAAAGACCCTGACGGCCTCTGCCTCTCACCCCGGGGCTCACTCACCAGACGACCTCACCCACGTTGGAGGAGATGAGGTAACGGATGAACTGCTTCATGTTGTTGTAGATGGCTCTGCCCTCCTCCACAGCAGCCACAATCGAAGAGAAGTTGTCGTCAGCCAGGACCATCTCAGAGGCAGACTTGGCAACGGCAGTGCCAGAGCCCATGGCGATGCCAATCTCAGCCTTCTTCAGGGCTGGGGCATCGTTCACACCATCACCAGTCTGCACAGAGGAGCCGTTCACATGTTTAAATACCACTACTGTACATACAATCACACACAACTACATACAACTACATACAACTATAAACAACTACATACAACTACATATAACTACATACAACTACATATAACTACATGTTCCAAGTTATGTTATTTTGTTTTTCATTAACTGTGAGTTTTTAATGGTGATTTGAAGTCAGATTTTTTTTAAACTTAATTCATACTTCTTGTTATAGATTATAGTCTGCTTCCTTATGCTAAAGATAGAGATTAATTTTGTTATATCATTATTATCATGTTTACCTTGTGCTGTGTGCTCTTTCCTTCTGTTCTGTAACTGATGCAACACTGAACTTTCCCCACTGTGTGACAAATAAAGGACCTCTTCATCTTCATGTGGAGTTTGTTTTTTGTGATGATTTGTGCCATGTCTTATGTGGATTGACAATGATGTTTTGCCCTGTGTAGGTAAAGGCGCTCTACAAAAACAGGTTGATGGATGCATTTCTCAGACTTGGACCCACCATGGCAGTGATGTCATCGTGACCCTGCAGGAACTCCACGATCTTGGACTTGTGGGCGGGCTCCACACGGGCGAAGCAGCAGGCTCTGCGCACGGCCTCGGACTGCTCGTGGAGGGGCAGGTCGTCAAACTCGCGTCCGGTGTAGGCCTTTCCTTCAACGTCCTCATCCTCGGTGAAGATGCCAATACGACGGCAGATGGCAATAGCAGTTCCCTTGTTGTCGCCTGCAGAGACAAGGCAGCTTTTTAAATCTTTGTTGGAAGCATCAAAATACATAATACAGAAACAATGCAGATCATGCAGATAAGGAAGTAGGTATGGAGGGGGATTCTGATCGGATTGAATGAAATTTGGGGTGTAGTGTGAGTGTATGTGTGTCTGTGTGTGTGTGTGTAGGTCACTGTTATTTCTAGATATTACCACAGATTAGGAAATGTTGTTATTGTATTGTTTGTAACAGTCATAACAGTGTGAGGACAGTGTGTGTGTGTGTGTGTGTGTGTGTGTGCGTGCGTCATGGGGCTTTCAAAGGGAGTGTTGGCTTCCCCTGAGCGGGCCTGGGTGTGTGTCTTTCTGGTCAGCTGTTCGTTGCGGTACATAAAAAAGAGCAGAGCGTGACCTTCTTCTTCCTGGAGCTGGTCGGTTCCAGGAAGTATCTGTTTTTCGGTGTGAACGGGACTCACCGGTGATCATGATGACACGGATACCAGCTTCTTTGCACAGTTGAATGGAGCCAGAGACCTCCTTACGAGGGGGATCCAGCATGCCCACGCAGCCAACGAAGGTCAGGTCATTCTGAGGAGACACAAAAGAGACGGTAAACACCAACGCAGAGCCAGAACACATCCCATAATCATCAGTTATACCTGCTACAAGAACTAGGCAGGATACGGATTAGTCTGATCAACACAGCAGCTCAGTGAGATGTGGTTTTGGCCTGATGTTGTTCCTCTGATCGTAAGAGACTAAAAGGAGATATAGCTAGCCCCATCATCTACATATTGCATTTTACTGTCCCACATTGTCTTTGTCTTTCTAGATTTTCAAAGTCTCACATCACAAATAAAAAGTACATTTAGTAAAAAAACAAATACGTGTCTCTAGCCTAGTGCGTTTTGATAAATTAGAATTGTATTGAGCCTACACCTTTATACCTGTTTTTTACTAATCAAAACTTGTTTGCGTCATGAGCCAAAGCACATTTCTAGACTTCCTGTTACTTACAATCACACTAAAATAAATGTTGATTCTAACCCTAACCCTAACGTTAATGTTTTTTCACCTCGTAGTTGACGAACTTGGTGGAGTCCTCCAGGTTCATCTCCTCTGGCTTCATGGGGGTGTCACGGGTGGCCAGGGCCAGACAACGGAGGGTGTCGCGGCCGGTTCCCCAGTCTCTGATGATGGACATGATCTTCTCCTTGATGGCGTCGGTCAGAGGCACACGGGTGGTTCCAACGCGGACGTATATGCACCTGTCAATCACACCCTCTGGGGCTCCCTGCAGCGAAGAGGAGAGAGAAGAGAGATTCATTCACCGCTACTTGAAAAGGAGAGGGATTCAACACTATTTTTCTCTTTTTGATCAATTTTTGAGCCTCTATATCGACCTGAAGCTTGGAACTGAAATATCCCTCATTGTTGCATCTCTATCACTTCGTTTTAGGCACTTCTACCATCAAACTGCTTCTCAACCATTTTGTAGAGGCCTATACTTAAAAAACAAGGGATTCAAAAAACAAAAAAACAATAAAAACTGATTATTGTTGTTGTTAGTGTTCTTACATCTTAGAAAAATATAAATGTCTTTCAAGGAGTGAAGACTAAAGGATTCATTAATTTCTAGTTCACTTTTTTCTGCACACTTTCTTTCAAAACCCATTTTTATACTACTTTTTTTCTATATATTTACAAATGCTAGTAACACAAAAGATCAAACAAACTTGTTTTCCATAATTTTTATATATTGTTCAAAAATCCTGTCTATGAATATGTTTTTGAAAAGTAGAAAGATAATAATAGATGAAGTAATAATGACCTTCACAAACATCTTGGCGCCACCGTCTCCCTTGACGGGGGTGCAGTAAGCAGACATGGACTTCCTGTCGCGGGAGAACTCCAGGGTGAAGTTCTTCTTCATGAGCTGCTTGATCACCTGTAACAACATGGACACAGCTGCTTCAGGGACAGCAGAAGAAGAAGAGACAGAGACAGAGACGGAGACAGCAGTAGAAGAAGAGACAGAGACAACAGCAGTAGAAGAGACAGAGACAGAGACAGTAGGAGAAGAAGAAGAAGAGACAGAGACGGAGACGGAGACGGAGACAGCAGTAGAAGTAGAGACAGATGAGATTGTTGAGGAGCGGGTGACGTACAGTGCAGCAGGCGTTGGCTCTCTCGATCTTGGACAGGTTCTTCACGTTGGAGTTGAAGACGTTCATCTTCTCCACCAGGCAGCACAGAGCGGTCTCAGTGGCCTCTCCGACCTTCTCATAGATCTTCTTGGACTGAGGACGCATTCATCAAACAGTTAAAAGCTGACTGCCAGATTTAAGAAACTACTAGAACTCCCAGAGCTGCCATTTTGACTGCTCCCATTCAAACCAATTTCCCAGGAGGCTTATTTCCTTTTAACCATAACTCACTTTTACTAAGAGCTAAAACTGGTGAAAATAACAGCTTGTTGAAAGGCTACCAAATGCTCACTGCTAGCATGTAAACATAGTGTTGCTAGGGTAACTATGGTAACTAACTGAACAGAGTGTTGCTAGGGTAACTATGGTAACTAACTGAACAGAGTGTTGCTCGGGTAACTATGGTAACTAACTGAACAGAGTGTTGCTATTGTAACTCTGGTAACTAACTGAACAGAGTGCTGCTAGGGTAACTATGGTAACTAACTGAACAGAGCGTTGCTATGGTAACTATGGTAACTAACTGAACAGAGTGTTGCTCGGGTAACTATGGTAACTAACTGAACAGAGTGTTGCTATTGTAACTCTGGTAACTAACTGAACAGAGTGCTGCTAGTGTAACTATGGTAACTAACTGAACAGAGTGTTTCTAGGGTAACTATGGTAACTAACTGAACAGAGTGTTGCTAGGGTAACTATGGTAACTAACTGAACAGAGTGTTGCTAGGGTAACTATGGTAACTAACTGAACAGAGTGTTGCTAGGGTAACTATGGTAACTAACTGAACAGAGTGTTGCTAGGGTAAATAACTGCTTATGTTTCAAAAATAAAACATAACATTTCATGAAAATAATGACATAGAAATAAAGCACACAGATAGAAACAGACCAAACATGTACATATGCTAACTCATTACACTTCCAAACTAAAAGCCATCAAATTGACTGCTGTGGGAGTTCTCACACAAATAAGTGATTTTAGAACAGGAGTATTGTGTTCTCACCTCGTTGTAATCCAGAGAGGAGTCGTTGCACAGAGCGCAGATGGTGGCCAGCTCCACAAGGCCGTCGTAGGAGCTGCAGTTGGTCTTGCTGCCTCCCTGGGACCTGTTCACATGATGAATTAATATTGTTCTAAAAGTGTAAATGTGACATCGCTTGTGTTTATGTGACAGTCAAGGATGATGGTCAAAAATATGTGGCAAATATTATTTTGAGGCAGTCAGAACGTGCTCAAAATAAGATACATTTAGTGACATTTGAGCCATTTTTTACTTATTTTTCATCACTTTTTGCTCATTTATGCTTAATGTATTTCATTGCTTTTTAATAAATTTGTTATTGTTTTTACTTTGTGCACAAAGTTTTACATCCACTATAGAGAAATGTAAATATGTAACTTACACCTCTCCCTCGGGGGTGTACTTGGAGCCAGAGATGTCGAAGGCGTCGAGGTTAACGTTGTCGCCGTCCACGTTCTTCACGACGAACATCTTGGTCACACACATCTGGTTGGTGGTCAGAGTGCCGGTCTTGTCGGAGCAGATGACGGAGGTGCAGCCCAGGGTCTCCACGGAGGGCAGGCTTCTGACAATGGCGTTCTTCTTGGCCATACGGCGGGTACCGAGAGCCAGGCAGGTGGTGATGACGGCGGGCAGACCTGCGGGACAGAGGTGGGATCGGGATCAGGATCGGAATCAGAATTTGTTGTATTGTCGTTGTAAGTAATAGGAAATCACAACCTAAGGATTTGCTTTGACTCGTGATGCAAACATAGCACAGGGACTGGCCTCCTGCTGCTGCCCAGAGTCAGAACTAAACATGAGGAGGCTGCATTTCAGATTCATGCTGCTGAAATCTGAAACAGTCTTCCTGAAAACGGGAGACAGGCCTCCTCTCCTCTAAATTGAGGTTAAAAACAGTTCTCTTTTACTGTTCATACAACTGAGGGATTTTATTGTTCTTGTTTTTATGCACTGTGATTATTCATGATTTCAATGCCGCCATGTGCGATTGTTTTGTTAACCTGTTAGTGATTTCCTCTATTCGGTGGATCACTTTTTCAGTCACCATCTACTTGAAGCTTAGAGCAGAGGTATAAGTCTTTGGGGCATCTCTATTTTTTATCATCAAACTGCATCTCAACTATTTAGTATACATAAAAAGTCAACTTAAAAACGAATTATTCATGTTTTCAGTTCTCCTACATATTAGGAAATTAAAAAAATAAACTCGATACAGGACCAGAGGTAAGAGATTATAGAGACAGTGTTGTGAAGTGAGGATTTAACACTTATGGACATTGCTCGTCTGCCCCTTATGGACCAATACCAATGTGTTTTCTGATCTATTTGAACTGTGTGATTCTCTGATCAGTGAAGTCCTCCGAGATAACTACTGTGGTGATCAAGGGCAATACAAGAATACATTGAATTGAATTGAAACATAAAGTGCCAAGATCTAGTGATGAGTTACAAAGTGCTCAGAGGGGAAGATCACAGACAGAGGGAGCGTGGCGTTCTGCTCACCCTCAGGGATGGCGGCCACAGCCAGAGCTACAGCGATCTTGAAGTAGTAGACAGCGCCGCGGATCCAGGAGCCGCCGTGCACGGGGTCGTTGAAGTGTCCGATGTTGATGGCCCACACAGCCACGCAGATCAGAGAGATCACCTTGGACAGCTGCTCGCCGAAGTCGTCCAACAGCTGCTGCAGAGGGGTCTTCTCCTGCTCAGTGGCCGCCATCTGGTCACGGATCTTACCGATCTCAGTGGAGACTCCGGTGGCGACGGCAACACCAATGGCTTTGCCAGCGGCGATGTTGGTGCCCTGGAACAGACACAAGTGAAACGTCAGAAAACAGTAACGTATAATACACACATGTATGTAAACAATATGCATCTATATTTATTGGTAATGTTTGTACTGTATCGTCCGTACATAACATTAGCATATACTGCGGCTTCTGTGGATGTCAAGCAGAATTCCTCAAACTTGTATTGCTAATTCCAGCCTGGTCTTACCACACCACCGTACAAATTTCATTTCACACATGTTTGGAAATAATAATTGACCGGAATTTATGGATGGCTAAGACCAGGCTAAGCTAATACTGACACATTTACAGAATTGTTGATGAATGTGTACTGTGCCAATCCAAATAAACTAATAATAAATGTTTTTAAAGCAATGGATTATTCTAGCACTAATAAGGAACGTGAGCTGGGATTAGACCGTCCTGAGACAGGTTCATTTTACCCTAAAGACGATGAGTTGCAATAGTAATCCTGGGAGTGATGGGAGTGCAGACAGCTTAAAATGATTGTGCATGTGTTCTCTGCTCTGTATCCACTGTCATTTCTGTATAACAACAACAATAACACAATAAATATTTGATGCGTTGGTGTCTGAGGCTTGGTACTGACAGAGAAAAGCATGTTCTTCTTGTCCTGGTTCACAGCTCTGAGGTCGGGGACAACCTCGGTGTGTTTGATCACACTGACGGATTCACCTGGAAGCAGCACAAGAGCAAAGTGAGTCCAAGTTCAACAGATTCCACAGACACAAGAGGAGTCAGGAGAGAGAGAGAGAGTCACCGGTCAGGATGGACTGGTCGACACGCAGGGTGGTGGACTTGATGGAAACCAGTCTGATGTCAGCGGGGACTTTGTCACCGACTGCAAACAGGAAGAACAGTTTAGATCAGAGGTGTTAAACTCATTTTGATCAGAGGCCGAGCAAAGGAAAGGGAAGGGTATTGGGAAGGTATGAGCAGGTCAGGGCCAAAAGAATACATTGTTGTTTACATTATGAAGGTATTTTGATATATTTATTTGTCATGAAATGTGTTTATTATTTGTATTCAACCAAAACTGGATAAAATATAAAGTTAAATCTATTGTTTTATATACTTCTAATGATGTGGTGACAATCTAGGACACTCAATAGACAACAACATTTACGAACATTTATCAACATCTGCCCCTTATGGACCAATGGCTCTATGTGTTTTTTTAAGTAAGTAAGTTAAGTAAGTTTTTATTTATATACCGCCTTTTCACTGCAGATCTGAGTCTCAAAGCGGTTTACAATTGTTAATTTTGGGCATTTGTCTCTCACTCCACACAGAGATGGGAGCGGGGCCAGTACAGGAGGCGCATGCTAGAACTATTGGACATATTTTTAGTGGTAGGGGAAACCGGAGTACCCGGAGGAAACCTACGCAGACATGGGGAGAACATGCAAACTCCACTCAGAAAGGCCCTGGTCCGGCCGGGATTTGAACCCAGGACCTTCTTGCTGAGAGGCGAGAGTGCTATCCACTCAGCCACCGTGCCGCCCTTTAAATCATTGTATTTCTTGTGATTCTCTGATCTGTGTTGGCATAATCAACAGTTTTGTAAAGTCCTCTGCAATTACTGCTGTTGTGATTTGGGGCTATACAAGAATACACTGAATTGAATTGAAATGTTAGAATATATCAAATGTGGTTGTTTAAGATGCCATGATAGTCCAATACCATCAATGCTGCAAGTTAATAATTAAAAATCAAGTTAGGGGCCACTTAAAATAGTCTAGCGGGCCAGATTTGGTCCTCAGGCCAGAGTTGGACATGCCTGGTTTAGATTGTGTCTGTTTTAGATTAGCCGCAAATGTTTTTAGGCAGTAGCCATCACCGGACAATGAATGGATTTGATAATACACTGTAAACTAGTGACACATAACAGCTTCAAGTGCTCGCGGAGGTCAGATGTACTACAGCAAATGACCACCAGGGGGCAGTAACAGTGAGGGACGGGAGGCGCAGCAGGTGCTTTTGTCGCTGGGTATTTATACTTCTGGCTCCGTTTCCCTCCAGTCAGCAGGATTTCACAGCTATGCCCCTCTCCCCTCCCCTCTGTGATAGTAAGTCAGACACTACTACTGTCTAATGTGATATAAAAGTGTCGCATAAGAAGGGTTGGTCTGTTTTTTTCCCCCTTAAAGCATCCAGATGTGCCCTGTTAATACCGGAAAATGGCGACGTGGCATGAGCGCTGGTGTGAACTACACTGGGGAAGTCTTGCACAGTTTTTCTAATGTGGTTTTACTGCAAATGGCAAATAAATGCTTGTGTCTTGTATCTTACCGGACACCTCCACGATGTCTCCAGGCACGATCTCTCTGGCCTTGATCATCTGCACACTCTTCCTGTCAGCGCGGTAGACTTTGCCCATCTCAGGCTCATACTCCTTCAGAGCCTCAATGGCGCTCTCAGCGTTACGCTCCTGAGCAACAGAGGAACTCACGTCAGTCCATTATTCAAGTATCTATCAGCCCCAGAGGTTCTTTCATAAGTAGTAATGTCTCCAGTCCTTTGAACGTTGATATGTGTGTGCTCACTTTTAATCGGGAATACTACAATTTCAACGTCAGATCCAGAATTAATCATGGTAGAAGAGCTCGTTTTGAGTTTTCTTGAGTAATCTTTGTACTGTCTGAAATATTAGTGCAAGTTCTAGTTGTAATCTATATGTTCTTGCAGATACAGGAGGGTCTAAGGACAGTGGCAATGATCCCGGACACTCGATATTCAAAGATATTTATGGACTTCATCAAGATTTATGGACATTGGTCATCTGCCCCTTGTGGACCAATGTGTTTTTTTATTTAATCATTGCATTTCTTGTGTTTGAACTGTTTGATTTTCAAAGTCCTCCGAGATGACTACTGTTGTGATTTAGGGCTATACAAGAATGAAGTGAGTCTGTGACTGTAGCAAAACTGACCTGCCACACTCCAACAATGGCGTTGGCGATGAGGATAAGAAGGATGACAAGGGGTTCAACAAAAGCGGTGACGGTCTCCTCGCCCTCCTCAAACCAGGCAAGAACCTGCGACGATGACAGTAATCATGTGGTTTAGCACTAGAAAAACTCTCCATTCTCACCCTTGTAAGACAGTAATAAATAGTTACATATGACTGAACATATGCTCTAGAGGTGGAAGCCATGCACGCTCCTTCTAACGCCTGACCTTTCCCGAAGGATTCAGTTTCTCTCCTCGGCCTGGGCCCTTCTTAAAATAAACCCTTACCCCTCAGCCTTCCTGACCCCCATCTCTCACTTGCTCCTCAACGTTCGCCTTCTAAGGCCATCGTGACAGCTGCCCGAACGGGTGAAAGCTGCCTGTTGGAATTAATACACCTCCTACAAGCCTCGGCAATCTGTTTTCTCCTCTCAACTTGTCATCTTCTGAAATACATAGAGGGTGGAGGAGTACAAGCTGTTTGGACAAAGTGACCAAGAGAAGTGACCGTCGGGTTCATGTTTCAAAAAGTTGTTTACAGGGAGGTGTCAAGGTAAAATACTTATGGCTGGTATGTGGCCTATCTTTACCTGCAGTGTCAGAGCCTGGCTATGCTAACCCTGGAGTGATCTTTGATGCAGAGGAAGGGTAGGAAGTACTCACAAAGGTACATGTCAGGGTAAAAAACATGGCTAACCTGATCTGGTATGGAAGGACCTAATACTTTTACTTACAAAGGAGATGCAGGCAGCCAGCAACAGGATTCTGACCAGCAAGTCCTCGAACTGCTCCACGATCAGCTCCCAGATGCTCTTACCTGTTCAAGCAGACACAGACCACGCCGTTAAAACACCAAACAATCAGACGAGGCTACGCACTTGTGAGACGAAAGGCAAAAACCCACCACGGATGATTTCCAATGGAGGTATGAGACGAGACGTATTTGAATTTTGTAAGATTTTTTTAGTTTGTTAGAATGCTATGATGTCTAGCAAACTTAATCTAATTCTCAATAGTATTTTTTGTTTTGTTTTATAGACTATTTATGTCAAACCTGCGCAAAATCAACCCATATCCCCTCATACAGTAAAAAGTACATAATTCAAAAATGTACTTATTATGTCTGTCTGTATTGTTTGTTATGTTGTTTCATATATTGTTTGCTATATTACATTCCCAATCTATGCCTTCTTTACCAATTCAAATAACCAATTATAATGTAAAAATACAAAATAAATAGCGTTTAGTGCAAGAGAAGTCCTTACCCTCCTCAGCGGGCAGCTCTGGAGTTCACAAAGGAGTGGAGAGCATAAAAGAAGAAAGAATGATTGTTTATTCATTCATTCATCCACCTGTTAATGCAGTTCAGTACAATGCAATCTGTTATATATTACACAATCATATATAACAATTATCAGCACTGGATCTCATAACTCATTAAGAGACGGGGGTTTTGCTCTGGCATCATCCATTCCTATTGTTATTGATAAGAACTCATATTACACGCCGTCCTGTAGGCCTCCTCAGGACCCCCCCCCCCCGCTTTAAACCCATCCTAAAATTACCCCCCTCTCCTATTAGCGCCCGCCCCATATATCACCCAGGAAGCTTCTTGAGCCATCACCTGTCTCTCTCGCTCTCCAGCCATCTTCTTTAGCAATCTTTAAATAGCGCCTTCAAAGCCCTCAAAGTCTTTGCTTCTCAATGTCTCTGCATTTTTACCAGCTGTTGCAACTCCTCTTAAAAAAAAACGCATTGCATTTAGAATCCCAGTCCAGTTTCTACTTTAGCTCTGTCAATGTGGTATCTCAGACGTATAGCTGCTGTGATGTTATCCCAAAGTGGAAGTGGATTTCTGTGGGTAAGTGTTAAAACTTGGGATACTTTTTTTGTTTTTGTTGCAAAGCCTCTATCAAACCCCTTGGTCATGTGTGTTCTTACCATTGTGGCCATACTTCTCCAGGTTCTTCTTGAACTGGTCAATGGTCAGACCAGTGGTCTCGCTCACTCCAAAGTAAGCCAAGCATTCAGCCGGCGTCTTGGCGAAAGAGTTCTCCATCCTTGCTGGAGATTTGAGGGATGGTCCGTCTGACGGTGCCTATCCGCGCTCTTCCCACTTCTCGGTTCTTTGCAGTGTTCACCCTTTTTGGTCCACCACCCTCACCTGGAAGTGTGGCACTCTACCGGAGGAGTGCTGGTCTGACAGAAGGAGCGAATAGCCACCCGTACGCTCAGGGTTTTATACCGGCTTTGGCCCCGGGATTGGTGGACGCCCCGCAGACACACGCCTCCAAAATTCCACTATGGGACACATCGCGGGGGGCAAGGGTGGGGTCTTGAGGTGGAGCAATGGGGAGGTGAGACGTTGGGGACAGGAACTAGACGGGTACCAGGCTTGGATTTGGAAACGGGAGGCGACACACACATATGCTGGAGTGAGGGGGCCACTAGGGGAAGGGGAGGGGAGGGGAGGGGGTCTCACCGTGGATGAAAATGAGTGCTGTTTTTGGAACTTGCATGGTCAGTGGAATAAGACGAAGGGAGAAGGTGAGAGAGCGGGACACAAGAACATCCAGGGTGGGGGGGGGGGGGGGGGGGGGGGGGGGTGGGCATGAGTGACGGCTCAACTGGCCACCACTGAAGAACACAAGCAAAGTGAAGGGTGACATTATTTCAGATGCAAAAAAAGAAAGTATGCGACATCACGATTGCACTTATTGACGTGTGTATGTTTATGTGTGTGTGTTTGAGCACTGATTATCAAAACTATGGCCGACGTGTTTCTATGATGTTTGTAAATCTGTGAGAAAGTGTGTAACAAACACTGAGTAAACAGTGCAATTGATATGTGATCAAGTATTACAGAAAACTATGAAAGTACTTTAAAGCGGCCGCAGCAGAGGGCCGGGAATGCCGCAGACATTTTCAGCAGTCATCCTATCTGAGCAGAGGAGCCCCGCCGCAGAGATGACAGATCAGGTTTTATTTCTCTTTTTTTTATGGGTAAGGGAAGAGGGAAGAGCGATGCATGAGCTTAAGCACCAGGACAACAGATGATCCGCCACACGGCCATTCACAGAGACACAATGGCCTCTTGTGGTGGCGGGATCTCAGCCACTTGTAGCTTATTGTATTTTAGTTTTAGCCGGAAAACATTTTTGTAGCAAAGTTTCCAACAAAATATTAAATCATGTCCTAATTTATTTTAATTTGAATTGTTTGCAGCTTCTCTAAGCTTGAAAGCTTTTGTATCCAGGGAGTTTCCTCTGCCAACCATAACATTATATAATTACACATATATATATATATATATATATATATATTATTTATATATATGTAAAATAAGTATATTCAAATATGAGCAACAATAGAAGACGTTGACACGATGCAACCTTTGATTTACGACTTGTTTGAAGAGCAGTAAAGCAGTAAGATGCAGTAAATGCTGCAAAGGAATCCAAGTTGTTGAAGCTGATCAATAATCTGACAGGTGGTGCTGAAGCGACAGGGGCCTCAGCTCTCTGACCTGAAGCCTGGAGCTCTGCATGCACCGGGACACTTACAGTTTTCTATTCATGGATCTATTTGTGAGAATGTGGAAAACAATGGAAAAGAAAGAGATTTTTCAGATTTGAACAAAGTGAAGTGAAGGATGTTTGTGTCCAAAGAAAGTGTTAAGTTCAAATAAATATATTTCAGATTTAGATCATAGACGTCAGGTCAGAGCAGCACAGGTTTGTAAAGACTTTAGTAAAGTCATGTGTTTACTTCACTCTCATAGAGTCGGACTCACAGACACAGAATAACAGACATTATTTGAATGACTTTAACAGTTCTGAAATGCTCGGCAGCCGAGGTCGACCCAGAGGGCATTCTGAGCAAAGTAATCTCTGCATTTATGGAATCATACTTTTGTTACTCTCGCACCAGTCACAAAAGTGTTGTATTGAAAATGATTCTAAAGGAGATTTGTAACAATATGGTTTGAGAGTCATGGTGATTGTTTATATGTGCAGCTGCTGTGACAGATGTGAAACTGCAGGAAGCTGCAGGTTGAGCATAAAGCACATGACCTTCTATCTCTGGCTGCGGTCGGCAACACGGAGCAAAAGCACCGTTTCTTCTGGATCTCAGCTGTTGTACTTCAGCGTTGGGCAGTGATAGGGGCAGCCTGTCAGGCTCTCCCTCAGGGCTGAGCACTGACATTTAACCCAATATCCCAGTGGGATAAAGTTACGCCTGTGCCCCATGCATCTTCCGCTTGGTGAAGTTTCAATAGTGTGTGTGTGTGTGACTACTACTACGACTAAAGCACTTGGGACCCCCACCCATCACCTCCAGCCCCAGTGTGGCGCTAACATGCCCCACCCGTGTGTCCGACTCCTTCAGCCTGTGAACCCAATCCCTGTTCCCAGTCCTGCACAAGTGTTTAGGGGCTGCAGCTGCAGCAGCGCCTTATGCAACAGTGTCTGCTGCTGACACGCAGCAGGACAGACCCGTGTCACTGACACTGGACACACTCATTTCATCTGAAAATTGGATCTAAACGCTCACAATGTCATTACCATTAAAGCCTTAGTGCTTCGCTTCAGTGGGAAAGACAGATCCTGCTCAGTATTGAGCAGGTTGTGCCAACTTGTGTGTAAGTTCTGTTGGAACTCTCTTCTTTGCTGTCAATAAATCAATGAAAAACAGATGACAGCACTGACACTGAGGACATAATTATAGTGAGCAATAAGGGAGTGGATAAAGCAGTTCCAGGCTGGTGTTAGCAGAGTACTTGTTACAGTATTAGCTAATAGTAATAATAGAAGTGGCAGCTGAGTCCCTGAATCCAGAATTCCTCCAGGATATAAATAGAGCAGGTGACACTGTGCTGTAGGGTATGGCAACGCGACAGCTTTGCAGCTTTTTAATTTCAGAATGTGTGGGGGTTCAGAGTGTGGTTTTGCTTCAAATCTATTGGCGGCTGCATTTACCAGCATCTGTCATTGGTAAAGGTGTGGACCAATGGGCCCTGGGTTTCCTGGATGTTCACACCATTCTTTACACTTACACATTTAAGCCACAGGGGAGCCTCGCAAAAGGGAGCCGCACGGGTAAAAGCGGTGTTCCCTGAACCTCGGGCACTGCTGCTTTTTAAAGGAGACAGCTCCAGTTCCACTGAACAACGACACCTACAATCCTTCATTGTCTCATCTTATCTTAAATAATTATGATCAATATCATGCACTGAGTGCAATGACAATCAGCAACTTCGGACCTGAGCCATGGAGCTCGGCCGAGGTGACAAACGGTCAGTGCAGCTTCTGCAGTGATGCGGTCACTGTATCAGACTGTTGTGCTGAAGAGGGAGCAGCGTCTGCAGTCAGAGCTGTATCAGACTGTTGTGGTGAAGAGGGAGCAGCGTCTGCAGTCAGAGCTGTATCAGACTGTTGTGGTGAAGAGGGAGCAGCGTCTGCAGTCAGAGCTGTATCAGACTGTTGTGGTGAAGAGGGAGCAGCGTCTGCAGTCAGAGCTGTATCAGACTGTTGTGCTGAAGAGCGAGTCCAAAGTTTCTAATGCCTCCTGGACGCCTCCCTGGGGAGGTGTTCTGGGCACGTCCCACCGGGAGGAGACCAGGGGAAGACCCAGGAGGTGGCAGAGAGGATCTGGGTCTCTGCTGATCCTCTCTGCTGAGTCTCTGACTTCATTTCAAACCTAGTTTTGGAATGGGAAAACATAGTTATAACTGGAGACTTCAATATACATGTGGACGACAGCACTGACAGCTTAAACAAAGCTTTCAGCGCCGTACTAGATGGTGTTGGTTTTACTCAGAATGTCGAGGAACCTACTCACATTCATAATCACACCTTGGACCTTGTCCTGACCTACGGCTGTGATGTCTCCAATGTTGACATCCAGCGTCAAAGCTCGTTGCTGTCTGACCATTTCTTGATCACGTTTGATCTCGCTTTGGAGGACTTTCCTGTCCCGCAAGATAAAACCATAATGAAAAGAACCTTAAATGATAAATCTATCACAAGGTTCAAAGAACTAATACAGCCAATGTTGAATACTGCTGCAGGTGAACCTGTTCACAGCTGCTGCAGTCCCTCAGTCATTGACCAAACGGTGGGCAACACTATGGAGTCTTTAAAATCTGCATTAAATGCAGCAGCTCCTTTAAAACAGAAAACCATTAGGATTAGATCATCGTCGCCCTGGTACAGTGTTCAACTCCACACTTTAAAACAGGACGTCAGAAAATTGGAGAGGCTATATCGCCACTCCCACTCGGAGCCTGTCCACAGGGAGTGGAAAGCAGGTCTCCGAAACTACAAGAAGGCCCTTCGCGGGGCTCGAACTCAATACTATTCAACTTTAATAGAAGCGAATAAAAACAACAGTAGATTTTTGTTTGGCACCGTCGCTAAACTCACAAACTGCCATAGCGCAATCGAGCCTAAAATTCCAAGCTCACTGAGCAGTGTCGACTTTCTCCACTTCTTTAATAATAAAATTACATCCATCCGTGACAAACTGGAGGAGGTTACTCCTGCTGTTGGTAGTGGACAGGCTGAAGCGGCATACGTGACTTCCCACTTAGACTCTTCAGTGGGCCTTGATAAATTCATGGCTGTGAGCCAAGCAGAGGTGATCTCTGTGGTCACATCCTCAAAAGCCTCAACTTGCATGTTAGACGCAGTCCCGACATGGCTCTTCAAAGACATACTTCCTTTGATAATTGAGCCTATCGTAAATATAATAAACGCATCCATACAATGTGGCTATGTCCCACAAGCTTTTAAAACCGCGGTAATCAAACCCCTTCTGAAGAAAACAAACCTGGACCCAGAAATACTTACAAACTACAGACCGATCTCAAACCTCACTTTTATATCTAAAATCCTGGAAAAACTTATAGCTGAGCAGCTCCGCTGCCACCTGCAGGAAAATAATATGTTTGAAGTCTTTCAATCAGGATTCAGAGCTCATCATAGCACTGAAACGGCACTAGTCAAAGTCACAAATGACTTACTACTAGCTGCCGATAATGGACAAGTGTCAGTGCTGGTCCTACTGGACCTTAGTGCTGCATTTGACACAATAGACCACAGCATTCTACTGCAGAGGCTAGAATGTGATATAGGTCTTAGAGGAACAGCCCTTGGCTGGTTTAAATCCTATTTATCAGATCGATATCACTTCGTCAATGTGAATCAGGACTCGTCGCCTCATTCTGGAGTGGAATTCGGTGTGCCGCAGGGTTCGGTACTCGGACCGATTCTTTTTACTCTCTACATGCTGCCACTGGGAAACATTATTAAAAAGCATGGAATTAATTTCCACTGCTATGCAGATGACACACAGCTTTATCTGTCGATGAAGCCTAACCAGACAGATTAGCTAGAAAAGCTCAGTGCCTGCATAAAGGACCTTAAAATGTGGATGACTCTTAACTTCCTACTTCTCAACCCGGAGAAGACAGAAGTGATCCTACTCGGTCCGAAGCGCCTGCGTGACTCCCTCACTAACCAGATGGTTACTCTCGATAATGTCAGTATAATACCCAGTAACACTGTGAGGAATCTTGGAGTCATTTTTGACCAAGAACTCTCCTTCAAGGCTTATATAAGCCAAGCAACTAAAACGGCGTACTTCCACTTACGGAACATCGCTAAAATTAGGCATTTCCTTCCTAAAAGTGACGCGGAAAAACTCATTCGCGCGTTTGTCACCTCAAGGCTCGACTACTGTAACGCTTTACTGGCAGCGTGCCCTAAAGCCTCTTTGAAGAGCTTCCAGCTCGTTCAGAATACAGCAGCTAGGATCTTAACAGGTACCAAAAGGAGGGAGCACATAACTCCGGTGTTAAAATCACTCCACTGGCTCCCTGTGGAGTACAGAATAAAGTTTAAAATCCTACTCTTAACATATAAAGCCATAAATGGCTTGGCTCCTTCTTATCTCCAAGACACGTTAGTGTCGTATCAACCAGGTCGAGCGTTGCGCTCACAAAACGCCAGACGTCTGGTGGTCCCTAAGGTCTCAAAGGTCACTGTTGGTGGCAGAGCATTTAGCTACCAAGCTCCTTTACTGTGGAATCAGCTTCATTTATGTTAAGGAAGCAGATACGGTCTCCACATTCAAGGCCAGGCTTAAAGCACTTTACTTTAATTTAGCATATAACTAGGTCAGTGTCTCCCAAAGTGGGGTCCGCGGCCCCCTGGTGGGCCGCGAGGGTACTGCAGGGGGGCCGCGGGAGGTCATAAAAAAAATTAAAAAAGAATATAATTATTTAATGTTAAATTTATAATGTTTTGTTTGTAATATTCAAATATTTGTGTTCATTATTTGACTTGAATAATCCACTGTAATCATTTTTGTATTACAATGTTTGTAGCAGAGGCTATTTCCCCAAAATAAAATAACCAGAAGAGCCTATTCTTAATGTTGTCTTCTTGGTTATTATTTTGGGGGGCCACGCAGACCCGTCAGATTTTTAAGGGGGCCTCGGTGTTACTGAGTTTGGGAATGGCTGAACTAGGTAATATATAATATGTAGTGTATATATTATATATATATGCTGTATTATGTTATATATTATGTTATATATTATTCAATAATGTATTGTGTTATGTTGTATATTATGTTATATATTATGCTGTATGTTATTCTTTATTCAAGGCTAGGTTTAAAACAGTCCTCTTTAGTTTAGCATATGGCTAGGAAGGTCAGACTCTGAGAAGGTTAAACTCCTCAGAGTGTCAGTCAAGCTGCATAGGGAGTCAGTTTGCTGGAGAAGTATGGTAACTTGAGCACTATCCTCTCCTCCTTCCTACTTTATCTGTTTAGCATTTTTAGGATTCTGACTGTAGTTTGTTCATTGCCATTCACCCGTTGTCCCATTGTCTGTTTCATGGTACGATGACGGGATCTCTGAGCCTGGCCTCTTCCATCTACACCTGCGGACTGCCCCGCCCGGCCCGCCTGGGAGTGCTTCGGTCCTGCACCGGACCTGTCCACGTTCAGCGTCCACTGGTCCACGTTCTGTAGCTAGCTTAGGTCCTAGATCATTAGCCTGTCCGTCCGGAGGAGCGGATCCCTTTCTCATATGGGTCTCCCTCCCTGTGGGTTTCCCTAGTGCTCCCCAAGGTTTCTCACTTTTTCCCACTGGGTTTTTTTAAGAGTTTTTCCTTGTCGATGCAGGAGGGTCTTGTTGGACAGTTAGTGTCCAACAGAAAGGATTGGTGATGATCAGGACACTTTAGCATTCTACAACATGTATGGACATTTTCTTCTGTGTGTGCTTTATATTCTTCATGTGTTTTAACTGTTGATTCTCTGACCTGTGTTGGTGATTTCAATGGTTTTGTTAAGTCTCTGAGATGACTTCTGTTGTGACCTAGGGCTATACAAGAATAAATTGTATTGTAAATTGTATTGTATTGCTGAGCATCTAAGGAAGGCTTGTTGCTGCAGACTGATACAACTAATATTATTAATTAAATGCAGGGTTCAATGAAATGTGGTTCAGAAAGTTAGATCAAATGTTGTGTTTCTCATAATCTGTTCACTATCAATGTTTGCAGATGAATAATATGAATATATCTCAAGTTCCCCTGATTGGGAAACACTGCTCTGACCAATCAGAGCGGGTTTGGCTCTGAGCTGCAGAGAGCGAATGCTTTTGTCACGTGGGTCACATCTGAACCCTGGATCAATGCGCGTCTTCTCTAAAGTTTGCTCTGGAGTAAAAACATCACAAACACAATCTAAACACCTTACCTGTGTGCGCATGCGCACGCAGATGCTCCACGTGCACAATGTAGATTTAGGTAAAGAGCATCAAACCGCGGGATTTCACCGAAGAAACTGGCAACCCACTGGGGTCTACCAGTGGATCTATTATAATAACGGGTCTACCATGGGGTCATGTGACATTTGACAAACACTCATCTCCCGCTGAGTGGATTGTGACTCTAAGATGAATGATTTGTTAGATCCAGAGTCTGATGTATTCGGCTGTAGCCATGTCTCTTTAAAGTGATGCCTAACTATAGTACTGTGCTGTACCCCAAGGTCACTTTGTGTTCTCAAGACGCAGGCAACAGGAAACGTAACTTAATCCTGAAGAAGCTCCATGTAGAGAAGTGACACATAGCGTAATGAGCAGGCTGTTCTGAAGAGGCCTCATATAAAACACAGATGAAATCAAGACATGAGCTGCTGACCTTCAGGCGAGAATTCAGACACATTTCATTATTAACCAAAGTAAAATATGAGTGAGTCTGGACAGAGGTCACGTGTCTAAACAACAGACGCATGTGACGCGGACAAAGACGTTTCCTACATTCAGTGAAACACATTTTACACGCAGATGTTTAAAGTTAAGTCTGGCTTTACCTCTTGATGAGCACTTTACAAACTACAGACAGAAGACTGAAGGATCTACAAGAGGTTCGTAGCGCCTCCCAGTGGTCAGCACAAGGTAGTGTGAGATCCGGTATTATGATAGAGCCGTGACGGTGTCATCTAAGAACCAGTTTATACCAGAGCGTAGAGCGTAGACGGTGCTTTCAGACTGATCCCGGAAATCTGTATTTTCCTTGTTGCAGGCTGTAGAATTGACTCCAGGGCGCCATGGTTCTGGTCATTTCAATTACTTGTTTGCAGATATTGTAGACATTGATTTAAAGTTTTAATTTATGAATAAAATGTAAAAGATATGATTGAAAATATTGTTTTGATAATGTATATGTAAGACCATTAATGTACATTGTTTATTATTTGAGACCTCTGTCTTGAATCCTAAAACCTCAATTCCAGAAAATCCAGAAGACAAACCATCACTTGATTCTCGCTTTATTGGTCAACTTGATGAAAGACTACAAAACGAATTCACAAAAAATCTCTTTCAAGTAATCAAATCTGTACAAACCTAAACTGTATGTTTTTAAACAGCTCTGGCTCATATGAATCTGAAGAGCACGTGTGTGGGGAGGGGACGGGCTCAGACCTGTCCCCTGAGCACACATGCACACTCGTGTTAAAGAGATTTTACAGTACAGAGGACCGGGAAAACAAAAGACTTCCCCTCCTTTTTACACTCACACATTCTGCTGGCAGATTCTCAATCTACTATGTTTCTGCCTTTCAGTCACAATTACTACAGACGCATGTGGTTTCAGCCTTTCCACAGGAAGAGTGGTAAAACAGGGAAAGTATAAATTCTCTAATGCTCCCACACAAAATGTACATGTGCACACATGATTTAAGCAGACCACCGCTGTCTGCACTCACACACTCACATTCAAACCACTTGTAACATTACATGTTTTAAGAAGTACAGATAAAAAAGGAAAAGCCCTGGGTATAGGTTTGATTTCTGGCTGTTTGGTGAAAAAAGGAGAAAGAGGTAGAGAGGACAAGAGGGATGGGTGAAGGTCGAGGGCAAACTACTGGTGTCATTTCTTGGCTTTCCTCGGAGGAGTGACCGGGCGTCCGGAGCCCATTCCTCCTCCACCGCCGTAGAACAGCTTTTTGTCTGCAGGTTTAAGAATCTGCAAAAGGAGGTGCCACACGTGTCAAGGCTGTTTTACAATGTGATGAAACAGCAGGAAAAGAGGAGCCTTACCTGGAATGAGCACATGAGTGTCTCGTCTACACTCATCATGGCCCCTGCGTTGTCGAACTCCCCGCAGTAGTTTGGAGCAGAGAATAGAGTCACCAGCTGTCGCTTTGCAAAGAACTCGTATCCATCTTCAACAACCTACAACAAGTTTACACAATGAATAATACAAAATCACTCATCAAATATGTTTGAGATAGAAGACCATCTTCAAAACAATCCACTGTCACAGGAAAAGTAGAGCTATAGGACAAGACACAGACACAGAGGACAGACTGTTCTGTTTTTAACTCTGCACAGACTGCACTGAGACAGATGAGGCTGAGACATCCTGAGGTGGACGCTGACCGAAACAAAACCCACAACTTCAGAGGGGTAAGAGTCCAGAGCACCATCAATGTGTAAAAGATCTAAACATGGATCAGGTTTTAGTCCGAGAACCCAGAAGTGCTGTTGTGGTTTCTATGGAGTGATTCCATGTTAACAATTTTTGTGAAGTGGTTTTTATTCAAGAAAAAATTAAATGTGAATAGATAAGTGAACCACGAAGCAGTGGATACAAAAGATGTAATCTTCAGTCAGTGACGGTTCAACTGAAGAAAAAAGGCTCAATAACAACAATAAAGCTACTCCTTCACGGGGGAATGACGGAGCTCTTTAAGCAAACAGAGAAACAGTGGATTGTCAGAGGTCTGAGCTTCGTGTGTGAGCAGCAAAAACTATTGATCAGTGAGAATCATAAAACGTGAAGCTTCCACACGTCTGAACGAACCTGATGAGCTCGACAGATGAGGTCCATGTCGTGTTTGTGAAGGAACTTGGTGACCACGTCTGCTCCAAAAGTGAAGGACACGCCGCGGTCGTTCTCGCCCCAGCCCAGAACATCTTTGTCTGGGTCGGCCCAGAGCAGGTCGCACAGGAGGCCCTGGTCAGGCACGTCGGTGGGACGCATGACCCTCCGCACCTGCTCCATCGACTGAAGATCAGGGGACAGGCCTGAAGGCCAGAAATATGGGACATTTTAGCACAGACTTTTAAACACATTTCAACAAATTAAAAACTAAGAAAATCAAAACAGTTAAACATGTCAAAATACTCGACTTTTCTACACATTTGCATGTTGTGTCTTATCACACTGGATTCTATAGGTTAAGATAATATTTTTTTTTTTTTTTAATAAAATTTATAAAATAAAAAATAAAAAAGATTATATCTATATATCATCTTTAATTCAGACAAAGAAAAAGACATACATTTACTAAATTATGCATAGACAGTTCCTCCAATGTCTCCAGAGTTCAGAATTGTGCCCAACACTTAAATCATAACTTGAATGCGTAAATAGGAGGAGCTGAAGTTGGCTGAATCTTATATGAAATCTGCCAATAATGTTTCATAATACTTCAAACAGCAAACCAATAATTGACCCCATGTATAAAATACATAAGTGCAGGTAACTTTCTTTCCCATCAGTGTGAGCACGTCACCATGGTTACCATTCTGCTGCCAATCACCCACAAGATAGTTATCCATATGTTTTTACCGTCAATGATGGATCGAAGATTATTAGCAATTATTCAGTTCAATTATCAAATTAATGACAATTCAATTCTAATTTCATTTATTGGTTTAAAACATTGTTTAATCATCCTTTGGAACTGCTTCCCCTTTTTAATAATAATACAGAGTAACACTTTTAGGCATTTTTGGCTATACACATGTTTACACTGTGTGTGACATAAGGACGCTGTAGTAACAGATCAGAAGGCCAGAGTGAGACATTTACAGATGTATCATGACTGAACAAACCATGCACTTTGTGCAGGTGTTGTCCATGACGCGTTTTGAGTATTTATGCATCTGGAACATCACATCGTTACATCTGGAATATAATTATCGGCCTGTTCACATAGACCCTATTTTGACACCACGTGTGAAACCCTGACCATATCGGCCGAGATATTGCGCATCACTAGATGCGGTGAACTTTGAGCTCTGCCTTCACACATGCAGCCTCTGCACACGTCTCTGTAGTCATAACCCTCTGTACCCGTGTGTCACACCTGCTGCTGCACTGAGTTTGTCATATCTGCAATAATAATGACTGGGTGTTTTGGGCTGAACGGTGCAGAGGGGAGCAGTAACCACATGTTATCTATAGTCATGTCATTTTTCAGATCTCCTACGGGAAAGTAGGACGAGGAATTTGACTTTTGGAACATGAGGGGACTACCCATTTCAGAGCTCCAATGTTACATGATCCGTTACTGTGGACTATAGAGCGTATAAAAAGTCAGCATTTTATAAATTAGAGAGTAGAAGAAAAGTGTATAACAAAGCAGAGGCGTGCTCCGAGCCAGATGAGTCAGTTAATGAAATACCTCCATGGCAACAGAAGATTTTCTCGTCAACAATGGCCGCTACTGGCAAACAGTTGAAGCAGTCGGTGAAGGTCTTCCACAGCTTTATGTTATACCGCCTCTTACCTGTGAGAGAAAAGTTACTTTGTCACCATCTTATCTCAAACACCATAAACACTTTCCATTCCATGGCAAAGGAAGAGTCTGAAAGGGCAACACAGATCTCACTATTGAGCCTGGAGCCAATCGAACAAATATAATGTTAGCCAGTCACATGATGACATTAAGGTTAAAGCAAATTCTGTTAATTCTCAGAGTTGGGGTATTTTAAGGCAATCTTACCCCGAAAAGGAAAACTTACATTCATCATAGAAGCCATATATTCTGTTGATGGATGCACACTCATGGTTTCCTCTGAGCAGGAAAAAGTTTTCAGGGTATTTGATCTTGTAAGCCAACAACAGGCAGATGGTCTCTAGGGACTGCTTTCCTCTGTCTACATAGTCGCCAAGGAACAGATAGTTGCTCTCGGGGGGAAATCCTCCATATTCAAAAAGCCTAAGGAGATCGTAGTACTGTCCGTGAACATCCCCTGTAGAAACAAACAGCAGTGTATACAAGGTGCCAAATGTATGTATGCACACAACAAAAGGAAAGATAGAGATGGAGGCATAACATCAGCTGACAGGATTAAAGAATAGCATGTCTGGTTTTATTCTCACCACAAATCTTCAAAGGAGCCTCAAGTTCAAGCAGGATTGGCTGACTGAGGAAGATTTCTCTGGATTTGAGGCAGAGTCCACGAATTTCATTTTCTGTCAGCTGAACATTTTTTCCAGGTCTTGAGCCTTTAACTGCGTGGACAAAACAAAGACTCGATTCAATAAAACACAACATTATCTTCTTCTCATAATATTACAATTGTAAATCACAAGAGTGCGTGCTGCTTTAGGGGAAAACGAGTTACGAAACTAACATCAGCATTTATTTACTGTGCCACTAAAACATATTGGTCAAATAAAGTAATATTACGAAAGAAATGAGTTTATTCGAGAATAGTCGTTTCACTAACACATGGTAAACGAGAGAACTGTGTGTCTGATTATGATCAATGAAGGTGAAAGGGAATAAACAACTTAATTTTTAATAGCACTCGGTGTTGCCCGATAGTGAAGTTAGCGTTAGCTTAAGTAGCTACATTGGTAAATAACAAGAGCTAAAATGCTTACCTTCCAACAGACGTTGTATAATAGAGTCGATGTTTAGTTTATCAGCTTCTGCCATGCTATTTATGCAATGGTTTTAGTCAAAGTTTACTATGATTCCGTGATGCTGTGGCAACTAGTTAAGCGTTAATCGGCTATCGATAGCCACTAGCTCGCTAACCTTGGGACAAAAATGGCAACCTCAAATCTGAGGCTCGTAGAAGGACTTGCAAATGTTTGATGGCTAACATGTACTTCAAAAATCCGACAACTTCGACTAAGCCAATTTTGAAAGCCTCAACTCTCACTTAAACAAACAATTCCTTGTTCCAAAATGTGTCTCTGCGGCTACTAGCACCACGCCACCGACAAAAAGGAGCTAGCTTCAGCAACGGTTAGCGGCTGCGGTTCACCGCTTCCCATTGGCTGGATGTGTCGGAGGGCGGGCTCTCGGCAATTTTATCTTAATCGCTGATTGGACAGTTTAAGCGCCTGTCAGGATTGGCTCTTCTTAAACACAAACTCAGACTAAATAGCATATGTTCTGTTAATTTGACATGTGTTCTGGCTTATTGTCTCAAATATCATAGAATACTATGATGGCAGCCACATTATTTGTGCTTAAGGCGGTGCTTTGCTTGTGTTTATTGTGTTTGTTGCGCAGTTGAGCGACTCCCCGGAAGTGACCAAACAAAATGAACCATGGACGTCCGTAGAATGACGCAATGTCGGAGCGCCTGGCAGCAGTTTCTTTCAGAAGTTTAGATGTGGCATGGGCCATTTGACATTCTGTTGACAAAAATATGGACCCGATTGGGAATTACTCCGGTCACTCTGGTTCTTCCTAGATGCTGCAACAACATCCGTCATGAAGTTGATTCATAAAGACATAGAAAAAGATAATGCCGGGTGAGCGCCTGTTGTGCCAATGCTAACCGGCTAAACTGCATGCCCCGTGTTGATAACTGTCCATGTGTCCATATGGGCATTTACACGTCATGGATTTAGTCTTTTTAGTGGATTTAGTTTAATACCTTTCCACATACATACCATTACAAACCATCTTAAAAACACACTTATCTGAATATGTATGTACTTCCAGTCAGGTTACACTGGTGCCAGAGGAGACGGAGGATATGTGGCACACTTATAATTTGTTACAAGTTGGCGACAGTTTGAGAGCATCCACAATCCGGTAATTGTCAATCTATTGCTTTTACTAGAAAGATCATCAGAATGATTAATGTAACTGTAAATGTTAAAACTATAGTAATTGGATCCATCACTGACATTGTGTTGTTGTTTTCAGAAAGGTTCAGACTGAATCCACGACTGGGAGCGTGGGCAGTTCCAGAGTGCGGACCACTTTGACTCTATGTGTTGAGACTATTGACTTTGACTCTCATGCCTGTCAACTGAGAGTAAAAGGCACCAACTTAGAGGAAAATCAGTATGTCAAGGTGCAATAGAGGGTCTTCTCATCTAATGTCACACCACTGTTAAACAATGGAAGCTTGATGTGTGTGTTGTGGATGTTCTCCTCTTTTTAGATGGGGGCTTACCACACTATTGAAGTTGAGCTCAACAGGAAGTTCACACTTGCCAAGAAGAACTGGGATAGTATCGACCTGGATCGAATTGGTAAAATGAAACCATATACATGTCAACTTTAATAGTTTTATAGTTCATTACACAACTCTCACTGTCTTTAGACCAGGCTTGTGATGTGGCACAGAAGGCAGATGTGGCAGCTGTGGTGATGCAGGAAGGTCTCGCTAACCTTGTCCTTGTGACGCCGGCTATGACTCTGCTGAGAGCAAAAGTGGAACTCACTATTCCACGCAAAAGGAGAGGAAGCTGCACTCAACACGAGAAGGTGTCCTGCTTTACTGTTTCACTTACTGTTCTAGAATAATAACCAGCTGTCCTCTGTGCAGGCCCTTGAGAGATTTTATGAGGCAGTGATGCAGGCAATTATCCGCCACATCAACTTTGATGGTGAGTTGCTTGTGATCGTTGGCGTCTTCAGATATTATCTAATTCTGATGTTTCTAAATCCACACAGTGATAAAGTGCATCCTTGTGGGTAGTCCTGGCTTTGTCAAAGACCAGTTCATCACATATCTCTTCAAAGAGGCAGTTCGACATGACATTAAGATTCTACTTGAAAACAGACCAAAATTCATGTTAGTCCACTCGTCCTCAGGACACAAGTATTCTCTCAAAGGTATGACCTGCTCTAAGATAAAGTACTTGACTTGTGCTGATTGTTCTACTTTTTCTTAGAAATTCTCTCTGATCCCACTGTAACCAGTCGACTGTCTGACACAAAGGTGAATTCTGTAATGTATTAATTTAAATTTTAAAAAAGTAAATCTCACTATGTTATTGTCTAACAATAGGCTGCTGGAGAAGTGAAGGCTCTGGAAGACTTCTACAAAATGCTTCAACATGAACCCGACAGAGCATTTTATGGGCAAGTGTCATTATTAAATGTGTGTGTTTAAGATAGTAAAATAAAAATGTACTCTTTGAATTCACTGACAGAGTGGCTCATGTGGAGAAAGCAGCTGAAGCACTGGCGATAGATACTCTGCTGATAAGTGACAAGCTCTTCAGGTTTGTAAAGACAAACATGGCTTTAGTTTGTGTCAAAAAGTTCAGTTTGGCACATTTCTCTTTTGTGCAGACATCAGGATATTGCAACAAGGAGCCGTTATGTGCGACTAGTGGACAATGTGAGAGACAATGGTGGAACTGTCAGGTAGGTGGACTGGGGTCAGTATGACGCCCAGATTACAGCTCTTTAGGTTATATTTTAACACTGGTTTGAATTCTTTTCATATAAAAATCTTGTATAACCGTGTTGTGATTCTGCAGAATATTCTCAAGTCTTCATGTTTCTGGTGAACGTAAGTATCTAATGAATTATTTGAATAAACCCTGATGCATTTGTCCTAACTGAAGTTAATTACAGAATTGACTCAGTTGAGTGGAGTGGCGGCCATCTTGCGATTTCCCATCGCAGACCTTTCTGAGCCGGAGGATGACTCTTCTGATGAAGACTAAGGAAGGTCTTCATCAGGTCTCCAGAGAAGATCACTGAAGTTGTCTGCTCTAAAGTATCCCACATTATGTCCACTTCCTTCATGCATCATCCAGTTATTTTTCTCGCAGGTTTTGGTGTTAACATCGACTCAAATCTATAAAAGTGTGAAGCGCAGATGAAACTTATTTCCCATAGAACCCTGTATAAACAAACTGAACCATTTACAACAATTAAATCACAATTAATCCAGGAGTTTGTGTTGTTTCAATCTTGATGGCAGAACAATTAAAAAACCAAGTACAAAAATATATTTTAATAAATATTCTGTATAGTATTAAACATTTGAAATATTTTGGTCATGGTTTTTTACCTGACTCAACTGTATTTAAACTAAAAGTCAAGCATGTTCAGGATTTGATATGTTTCAGGAACGCACCGAAGCAGCTCATTAGTTCTGTTCCACATCTATTCTTTGGCTTGAAGCTTTCTATTCTAACAGATGCCAGTGAAGAGACTTCTAAAATGAAATATCTGCTGAACTGTTCCTGAATTATTGGCAATAAAACAACAGCAGTAGCTGTCAGTACATCCCTAGTTTGAATTCCTTTAGTTCCCTGACACAATACAGCGACTGAAAGCTCTCGTTTCCTTCGTTACATTCATTGATTAAACAGCATTAACCTTTGTTTGGCTTTACTCTGTAGGACACTGGTAGCTCTTAATCCAGGCTAAATCCTCAAGTGTGCCCCAGTGAAGGTAGATGATCGAACATATGACCATGATGTGCATTATCTGGTGGCTGTTGCCCCAGTTATCAAAAAGCCCAGGGCTGAAACGCTCTGGAATCTGAACGATGTTGACCACGCCTCCCAGAACGGCCAAGGAGTCCATGATCACGAAGAGGCGCAGGGAGTTGGGGCTGCCCACGCCGCTGCCGAACACTCGAAACAAGAAGAGACTGAAGCGGAACAGGCCCTGCCACACGAAGGCCCGGAGGCGCAGTACGTTGGTTCGGGCCGTAGTGGCGCAGTAGATCCCGTACGACGACAGGAGGACGTAGACGAGGAGGGCGGCGCGCTGGAGGCCGGGGAAGCACAGGAGCGTGATGTGGATGATGGGGAGGGCACCTGGGGGACAAACACACATTTATGAGAATAAAAAGTGTGACTGAAATGTATTTTTCAGACTATAAGCCGCACCTGTCACACATTCTAAAATTTAAAAATGTAGCTCAAAACGGCTGTTCTTAAGGAGTACATCTACCATTACTCTGTTCACTTTCATGTCTTTACAAAAGAACTTAAAAACTATTGAGATATTTACACAAAGATTGTCATCATGAAATCATAATCATGTAATAACTTTTTCTATACAGATCCTAGTATTATATTTTCATGATAATATATAATAAGTGAGGACTTTTAGGGCGACAGTAGCTCAGCCTTTGAGTCAGAGGGTCGTGGGTTCGAGCCCGTCCTTCACCATCGACTCCCACTGTCTGCTGTTGTTGTGTCCTTGGCAAGACACTTAACCTCTGGGAACATCAGCCACAGTGGTGGCGGCTGCGGCTGTAAAGTGCCAAACTGCTGTTGTGTCCTTAGGCAAGACACTTCACCCCCATTGCCTAGAATGAGTCTGGTGTGTGTGTGAATGGTTGGTGGTGGTCGGAGGGGCCGATGGCACATACAACTTGCCTCGCTTCTGTCAGTGTGCCCCAGGGCAGCTGTGGCTACAGTAGTAGTTTATCACCACCATGTATGGAGTGAAAGAATAATGATGTAAAGCGTCTTTGAGTGTCCAGAAAAGCGCTATATAAAACCGATGCATTATTTTTATTATTATTATTTAAATCTCTCACAGTGTCCATCACCTTTAAATATACGACAGACAAAAAATATATATACATATCGTCCGGAATGTATTTTCATGATACAAAGATTCTTCAGTGCAATAATCACTAAGTGTATTGTAATGATGATTATGAACTAGTACTGTAGCCACACTTGCCTTGGGACAGACTGACAGAAGCAAGATCACCAGTTTGTGACATCAGCAATCACACATAAACAAAACACTTAGGCACTTAACAGCTGCAGCCGCCACACTGTGGACCTTGGTGTTCCCAGAGGTCTCCCATCATAGTACTACCCAGGTCTCCCATCATAGTACTACCCAGGTTCTATCAGCTTAACTTTAGAGGTTTGCCAATGTTGGGCTTTCACATGTAGGGTCACTGCACATCTCTGTCTTTGGCATGGGAATGGATATTCCCATCAGCAGATAGAGGCAGGGCCTGGTTAGTACTGGGATGGGAGACCTCTGCACTGTAAACCTTAACCTCAATCTTATTCAGATATCAAAGTTATTTTAAATTTATTTTTCCCAGTCAATAATACTCGTTGATTGCTAGTTTATTTAAAGCTCGACTCAGGGCCTTCTTTGAATTGAGCTGTGTCTGTTCAAGTAAGCTGCACTTTTGATATTTTGAACCTGTAGAGTCTTCAAGATATCAGATATCTTTGAAGCAGGGAGGCTTGGTGGCTGAGTGGTTAGCATCTTTGCTTCTCAGCAAGAAGGTTCTGAGTTCAAACCCCAGTAGGAACAGGGCCTTTCTGATAAATGTATAAGCTGAAATCACAGTTAAACCTTATTGCAATCAATTGGGTTTTGCAAGAAATCTACACATGGAGTTCACTTGGATGTACTCGAGGAATTCAAGTGAAGTTAATGTGCAATTTCTTTCCAAGGTTTTTTCAAGAACACTTTACTTCAGGGTTTACAGTCTGGGAACACCAGGTGCCACAGTGGGGCGGCAGCAAAGTGCAAAACTGTTGTGTCCTTCGGCAAGACACTTCACCCACAGTAGAATGAAGTCTGGTGTGTGTGGTTGGTGGTTGGAGGGGCTGGTGACACATACTGGTTGCCTCGGTTCTGTCAGTGTGCCTCAGGGCAGCTGTGGCTAAGGCAGGAGTGTATTGAGTGAATGAATGACGACATGTGAAGCGTCCAAGAAATGTTAAAACCAATTTATTATCATCACTTGTGTGGGACGTACCCAGTGTGTTCACCAGACAGACTCCGAACATGTCCAAGGAGAGCAGCGTGTCGTACACATGCTCTCCCCCCACATGGTTCATGAACACATGGTACAGCACGGAGCCCACGGTGGGACTGAGGCACGCCAGGTAGTGAGCCACACACAGCCACGTACTGTCCACCTCCATCCAGGGGATACTGAAGGGCAGCAGCACCAGGAACAGGAAGAACGGGATCCCTGGACAAGTCAGAAACAAGTCAAGAGGCTGGAGCCAAATGGTTAAGATGAAGAGATCCTTTATTCGTCCCACTGCGGGGAAATTTCAGTGTTGCATCACAATTACAGAACAGTAAGAATGAGGAGCACACAGCACAAGATAAATGAACAATCTCTACATTAAAATAAACTATAGCACAGGCCTGTTTAAAGATCGTCTCCTGTAAGTTTAAGGCCCAAAATGATATTCTATAATCACTTGCAGCATTAATGGTTATGGGTTTTCCAAGCCTTCTTATGTCTATTCTCTCATGAAAACAAATTAATTTAATGTAATCTAAAATGTTCACACATTAGAAGTAAAATACTAAACAATGTGTTAAACTTTACATTTCTTCCAGTTTTGGTTAACATTGGGGAAATTGTAATAACCACATTACAAGTGACTATCACAAGTGTTAGACAAAGCAGTTATATTATATATGTTTGGGCGATACTTTACACTTGCCCACAGATATTGCACCCAGGGATCAATGCTGTATGCAGTGACATTTATATTTCAAGAGTCAAGATTGTATTTGCCATGTTCAGTAAAACCACATTGGAAAAACTGTGCAAGACTCTACCCCAGTGTGCACCAGACAGAAGACAGTACACACCAGAGCTCTTTTGTACTTTGTATATACCCCAGGTTTTAAACAACACAGTTCTAGGCCATATGAAAGTTCCTAAACACTTCAATATAAAATGCCAAAAACAGGATGTGCGATAAAATGTCAATGAATGTTGTGTCTAAGCATCTCGGCGCGTTCATGTTTGCATATTGATGAAAAGTGTCTGTAAATCCCGTTAAAGACCGGGTTAAGTGAGGGATATTTAGAGGCCGAGGATTCCCAGGGCAGATTACAGCTAATGCCCCATATCCTCATTATACTGAGGCAGGTACGCTGCTCAGTGGGAGTCCTTTATTTCAGGTTATGATGGAAGTGCCGCGGCAGGAGCTCTGGGGTGTACTGTCTTCTGTCTGGTGCACACTCAGGTAGAGTCTTGCAGTTTTTCCAATGTGGTTTCCAATGTGGTTAAAAATCTTGACTCTTGAAATAGAAAAGTCACTGCATACAGCATTGATCCCTGGGTGCAATATTAGACTGTGGGAAAGTGTAAAGTATTGCCCAAACATACATAATACAGCTGCTTTGTATGATCCAACACCTGTAATAACCACATTAAGTGTTGGACTATCGCAATTTCCCCAATGATCTTTCCCCTTGGAGATTAAGGTTTATTGTAGCCTGTCCCTTTAAATAAACTAAACTAAAAGGCACAAATGAAGGTTCTCATTTTAAACTGTTACAAGTTCCAGTGCAACTATAGTTCATTAGTAGCAGGTATAGCAACACTAAGCATTCTAAAAAGCACACATACCATGGGTGTAAATGTTGCCCAGCTCATTGTGCATGTAGAAGAGGCTCCTGAGGCACTCCTGCGCCGTGGACACCGGTCTGTAACCCGTCAGCACAAACTTGTTGAATTGAAGATGACTCGGAGTTTTGGCCAACTCCAAGAGCCGAGGTCCTTTGTGAAGCATGACTATGACCTTACCCCCTTTTTCCGCCGTCACATTAAAGCTGAGGTCTGTGAGATTACATCCTCCTCAAGGCCCCTCTCTCATGACTGCACGGACAATCATGACTCCTGCAGATGTGTTTTACCTCACACACATCCTTGTATACCTGTAGAAGACGGTATGTGGAGCTGGCCAAGTGGCATGCTGTCACAGGGGCCAATCGGCAAAGGCCTCTTAAGGATTATTCTGTAATCCGTGCAAGCAGCCGCGTGCACAAAGGTGGAGCTGGGACTTCACTCTACCTTCATGGTCAAGTTTTAAGCATCTTCTTAAACAAGCAAGTCCATGTACAGTATATAAAGGCAAGCAGCACATGAATCCATACAACTATTCTGTAAATTTATTGGCAAGAATAACACACTGTACATTATTACACATCTTTTCAGGATTATGAAAATTGACCACAACTAACACATATGTTCCATGTACACTGAAATGTTAAGTGCAAGAATAGAAAAACAACTTACAACACACACTGAAGTCTAACATCAGACAAAACATTCATCAATTGTTCATACATAACAAACACAGGGACAGTTTTGGTTTAACCTGTGGGAAAAAAGTAAAAGCATTGGTTTGAACTGGGATTAAAAAAGGTCAATGTCGTATCTTTATACCTTTCAAGCCACCGTTTCCATTTCCAAAGAAACCATTCAGGTCGAATTTGCCGTCATTTCCTCCTGAAACCAAAACGTCACATGTGTCACTTTGTAGAAATTATTATTGCACAGATTATAAAGTCAGAATGTGAAAGACAGAATTACATGCGTCACTCTGTCCCAGACCCTCATGCTCCTCGTTTCAATCATGAATTCAGAAGAAATTAAAATTGCTTGAATCTTCCATTGCAAAAGAAATGTGTGCCCCTGTCTAAATTCCTTCCGTGTTTTAATTTTAATGTGTCTGTTTTACCAGATATGCCGTAATTATACAATCCAAGTTTATGCACAGTTTCATTTTTTAATGTCATGTCACTTCCAAGAGTCTGATAATAATAAAAAACAATCTGCCAACATGTACAGATGGACACACACCTTTACATTTCTTGCGCTAGAATATACACCATTCTATAATTTGTTATGCCAAAGTCTGAGATTTTGTACTTAACTCTTGCTTCTTCATGCAGTCAGATTCTGAACTTGTTTCTTCATTACGCTAAAGTGAAAGATTTTCTACTTTCTTTTTATGCCCTGTGAGAGAATTCATTTTATTTTTAGTATAGAGTGATAGTATGTCATCTTGTCTGTGTGCTCCTCATTCCATGCTCTGTGACCGATGATGCAACACTGACATTTCCCCACATCTTCATCTACTCCTTTGCCTTCAGGGTTCGCTCAGTCACTCGTGGAGAATACCTTGTGGGTGAAAATGCAGTTTGAGTTGCTGCTGGATCTGAATCTGTTGTGGCATTTGCTGCACGTCGTCCGTCTGCTCCGGTCCCCGAGCGGCGCCCTGGGACTCTGTGACAGGAGCAGAATCAACAGGGCCTTTAGTAGCCGCTCCGTACGTTACAGCGGCGTCTACAGGCAGGTAGGGCGCAGCAGAGGCGTAGAGCACAGGGGACGCAGGGCTAGAAGCAGCGGGTAAGGCCACGGCTACAGGCGCAGGAGAGAGCGGGTCATTGTTAGCTTCAGCGAGAGGCAGCGGCGCTTATGGTTATACAGAGTGTGGACGTTTTACCATCTGGCTGCACTTGTCCACTGATGTAGCCCACGTTATCTGAAAGACAGGGTTCAACACAGGCTTTCAAGAATAAATGGGTCACGCTACGTATGGAGTCAGTTTGCAGGGAGAAGTATGCTAACTTGAGCACTATCCTCTACTCCTTCCTACTGCATTATGACTGACTGTAGTTTGTTCATTGCTATTCACCCGCTGTCCCGTTGTCTGTTTATTGCTATTCACCCCCTGTCCCATTATCTGTTTATGGCGAACCCGGCCTCCTCCATCTGCACTTGCGGACTGCCCCGTCCGTTATTTTTGCACACACAAACCCGTGATAAATCTGCCCCTTATTCTTTATATTGTATTACTCATTCTCTCCACAAATGCAGCCACAGCCCTTCACTGGTGGACTGACAGAAGCAAGGCGTCCCATATGATCACCACCACCACTTTAGTTTATTTTGTTTCTTGCGACTTGCCATTGGTCTCCCACCCCAGTACTAACCAGACCTAGACTTAATTTGCTCTGTGGCTATACATGATTCTATGCACTCTGGTCCCTTCTCAGAAGCTGAGTCTTATGCACCCACCAAATCTGTCCAAAGAAGCCCCTTCCACTGCAGCGGCTGCGGTTGGAACTTCTCCCTTCTCTATAAAGATAAATCCGGGTTAGGAGCTCCTCTCATGTGCAGTAAAAGGTCATTTTACAAACCATAGGATTTGTGACTCGTTGAATCGAAGGAGTCTCGAGGAAGAGCAGCAGATTCTTTATGATGAAAAATAAAAGATTCTTAAATACCGTTTGGACAAACTTCAACATGATCATGTTCGAGTTACCGGGTCTAACAGCAGATGTCTCCAGTGGTTGAGGGTTGTATGCGGTCTGGGCATCTTCAATGGAATTCATACAATTTAGAATAAAACATGCAACAATAATTAAAACATTTTATATAATGGACCATTAAATTAGTACCATATTTCCCTGTGGACTTTGCGGCACCTCCAGCTCCAAAAGCTTGTGGGACATATTGTCCCTGGCCGCCATTTACATCTATAGTCAAAGCTCATGTTAGCAGCGTGTTTGAAAAGTAATGTGTTTATAAAAACCTGAACTTACTGCCGTATTGTCCAGGAGCCTTCCCTCCGTGTCCCATCGCTGCAGGCTCTGGATGAAAGGCTGAGCCTGTAAGACAGTTATTCTGCTCTTCACTTGAGGCTTAATGAAGAGTTAAGACTTTATTATGTATTTATTTACCATATTTGGCATTAGACTTGGCGTTGGGGTTCTGACCAGCAGTTTGGATTTCATAAGGCATTCTGCCATAACCTGTCCAGGAAAATGCATGTTGATAAATGTGATTAAATCCTCCACTTTCCATAATTACCTTGTGTGTTATCAGTGCCGCCCAGAGGCTGCTGTCCGTTGGTGGATCCTTCAGATGAGAATGTTACAGCATCAATAAAACATTCTAAATACAGAGCTTGGAACAAAGAGCATTTACCATATTTAGCTCCAGTGGCAGGTCCGTATGAGCCGCCACCGCCATTACCTGAAAACAGACAATTGTGTCACTTTGTGGTCCCACTTTACAGAATTATCACCAGATTCTAAACTACAGCCATTTGTTTCAATAGTGATGCAGTGTTTTAGTCATTAGTGCAAAGTGCTGAGATTACAGTCAGGAGGATGTTTGAACAACCATGACCCAGAACAAAACCATTTGTCTGCTTTGGAGCTGAAACTATTGATTAGAAAGAAAGTTACAAGTAAGTCTAGTTTAGTCTCGAGTTAACTCAGCATCAGAGCACGGTTCATGTCTGAGGCACAGTTCTGTTTATACAGAGTCTGCCCCAGTGCTGCATCAGAATGGTCTGGAACCAGCAGCAGCGTCCCCTTTCACACGTGAAGGAAGTGTGGGACGTACCATAATTTCCAGCTCCATTGGGTCCTGAATTGGAGTTAACGCCCCCAAACTGCAAACCTCCTATTCCTGATCACAGTTATCACAAATGATCACATATCACTGCAGAAGAATCTGAACTTTTATGGCCAATTCAAACTCACCATATTTAGCATTTTGAGCCCCAAACGGAAAACCTCCCATTCCTAAAACAGAAACGTATTTAATAAATGTGACCAGTCAATTATTTAGTTCTAAGTACGTACCACCGTAAGCACCGGCCATTTTTGGATTTGGTAAATAACCTGCTGCTTGAGGCTGAAACCGGTTCATTCCTGTATGAAACCACCACAAAAGAGCAAAGAGTTAATGTGTCCAAATTAAATATGTAAATGTATTTATATAATGTACCGTCAACTCCTCCAGGGACCTCCCCGGTGTAAGGCCTGGGTTTGGCTCCACCAGACTTCCCCTGGACCGAAGGAACCCCTTGGCCTTGAAGACCTACAATCATGAGTCAAAGTCCATTTATTGACACACATTTTTGGGGTTAGAATATTACAACATACTGGCAAAATCGGGTTGAACTCCAGCCACATTTCCATATCCTGAGAGAATGGAGAGGAAACAAAGTACAAATCTTTACTTGAAGGAAATTGAAAGACGCAAAAACATCCAGTTTCTCAGGCACAGATAAACACAACGAAGTGATAAGAAAATCATCTTTCGAACACCCGTCTATACCAGACACATGGCATATTACTGCCATTTACGTAATACGACGTCATTATCGCTTTTCAATCTTTTCCTGTCCGTCTGTGTCCATTGTCTGATTTACTGTTTTGTCATAAATACAGCGCCACCTAATGGATGAACACTGGCCATTCTTTCTGGCATAGTTTGTCATGGGCTCTACTTTCAATATGTAAATGTTTTTTGGGTGAGTACATTTTGAAATATTTGAACAACACTTTGTGGATGTGTGTGCCATAAAACATTTTGCATCAAAAACACTTTCCCATACCGTGTTGTTGCTCTTTTCTAACATGTAAGATCCTGGACATGTTTGAGGAGATGCTAAAGTTAAACTAAAAAGTGCTTTTCGACTGGAAATCACAGGAGAACGAAACAAGCTAGGAACAAACTTCTTTTTGCTGCTGAAAGTAGACAGTCCAGTCTTTCAGACGCTGGTTTCATATTTTGACAGAACAATTAACTGATTTATGAATGTCAGCTCCTGGTAATGGACTGATCCATTATGTTGTTGTAATATGACAAATGACAAAAATGACAAAAAAAAAAATCAAGAAATACAATTAGATTTACATACCTGACTTTGACTTTCCAACATCGCCTGCTCCTGTCAATGATCAATAAATTATCATCGTCATCATCGTTGGTCCATAAGAGAACAGATTGTAGTAAATGTGACATTACCAGCTCTGGGGAACGCTCCCTGACCATATCCTGAAAAGGCAGTTTAAAGGACAGTTATTTATATTATTAATTGCTATCAAACTAAAGCTAATAAAACGTACCAGGTTTCGCTGCGTAAGGATATCCAAGACCTGCAGAGATGTATGCATGTATCAGTGAGAAAACAGAACTATGTGTGTGTTTGTGAGATGAATCCTACCAGCTCCAAATCCATTGTTCTGTCCATTGTTCTGTCCATTACCAGCAAAGGCCCCGGCGTTCTGGACTATCAAACACAAATATACATCACACCATCGATTCTAATGATTACTTCAAACATGGTCGTCAAACCCCTGGACGTCTGCAGCTGTAGGTTCAAGCTCCGCTGCTTTAGAATCAACCACGGTACGAGCACCTATCGCTCAGTTTTCTGACTTAAAACTATATTTAATGACTTTACAATCTTCAATGTGCGTCACATAAGTCTTTTGTCATAAGAATCAAACTAATGTTTTACAAACTGTATCCAAGTTTAAACTCAATAGTTTCTCTAGTTATTTTCACTTTTCAGAACTCTTAAAAAAAGGAGAGGATTCAGGGATTTTTATTTTACTGAATAAAATACATTTAAGAGTAGAACTCGTGTGTAGTTTCTCTGCTCATGTTCCTTAGTGTGCAACTTTGACTTTTTATGTGTCTTATTTAATAAAATGATCTTTTATTTTAGAAACATAAAGGAGTTTTTCTTTCTGTAACAGTTAAAGCCCTTTTTTCAAGGGTCCTCATCCTGGACTGGTTCTGGACCCGACTGGTTTTAGTTTGGGTTCTACCAGAGAAGAGTGAGCGCTAGTTACCATGGCAACAAACTAATTACTGCTAGCCGTTAGCATGATCTTTAGATTTTCATAAAACAGTTTCTGCTGCATTTCAAGTTGTGGTCTCTCTAAAGATTAAACCCATATAAATGACTTATTAAATCTGGTAAAATCTTTCTTGGCAAATTCCATTGGTTTGAATGAGAGCAGTCAAAATGACGGTTCTGGGAGTTCTAGTAGCGTCATAATTGTGAGAGTCCTATTGTTTGATAAAACAAAACAGATTTTTAACAAAACACTAACTTGGTTTAGCTCCTCCATTTGGATAACCGCCTGCACCGGCTCCAAACCCTGTGAAATAAAACACATGATTTACCAATGGGACGAAGCAAAATAAGAAATGTCTCCTCTTGGAATGAGAAAATAAAACATTTCTTGAAATAAAACTAAATGGATTTGTCCCATTGGAGAATCTTTTTTTGACACAGTCAGAATGCACTGCATTGATTGCCTCATATTTAATCAGTTCTGCAGTGTGAATACCACAGCCGCTTGAACCAGTGACATCGGTGTAAAATGTAATCAGCCTAATGACTACATGTTTTTACCTTTGGTGTGAGGCGAGGCTCCAGCTCCTGCAAAAGCCCCGTATTCTGAGAGCAAAAACATGTTTATGACATTGTTCATATTTGTGCTTATTGAAATTTGTTATAATGCAGTGTTTAGTTTCTACCAGGTCTGGGTATCTTCATCCACTGTCCATTGGGAGCTCCCATGGGTCCACAGTCTGACAAAGAGAGAGACATGAGCTCAGTCTCAGAATCATCACAAACATCAAAGGGTTATTACCAGGTTGTGTTGCTCCTTGTCCCTTTGTTGCCATTCCTCCAGACACTGAAATTAAACCATCAGAAGATATTTGAAGAGATTCTTGAGACCAAAATCAAGTAAGATAAGAGATTTAAAAAAATACATGTTCTCTTAAAAACCAGCCACAGAACCATAGACGTGCATTTCAGTGGACCAAACACTTATCCCACTGCCAGCAGGGGGCAGGGCTCCTGTCCGGGACGTCCAGGACTGTCCCTCAGGACTCCCACTTGCAGAGTCTCAGTGAAAGTATCTTTTGATTTAGAGCTTTGAGACACTGCATCAGAAACTTTCTGTCGCTACAACACTTTCTCATGTCTTCTACTTCCCGTCGTCAAAGCGAGAGGCCACATGTTCAGGCTGTGGTGCATCTGTATCAGGATGATGAACATCTGGGCACTTGCCTTGTGGAAGCGCTGCAGCTGGTTGGGCGACTGCTCCAGCTCCAGATATTTTGGAGTTCTTCCCCCCAGCGTTCATGAATACAGGGCCTGGTGTGGGGAAAGAGTCCGGGTTGTACTGAGGGACCAGAGCAGGCCCAAGTGTGGCCTGAGCCTCCTGGCTGTAGACCTTGCCCTGTGGCTTCTGGTACTGGTCTGGGGACACCATCCCCTGCATGGGAGCCCCCTGAGCAGCGGGCTGGACAGCAGAGAGAAGTCCTCCCTTCAGGCCTTGTCCTCCGAGGGAGCCGGTCGGCTTCGACTTTCCATTCCCCACGCCATAACCTAAACGAAAAAATATTACATTTGCTCAGATCCGAGGATAGGTTAATATTTTCACGTCCCAAATATGCAATAATTTACCTGCATTTCCTGCTCCAGGCGTCTGTCCTGGGACTCCGTAACCTACAACAAAGACATCAAATGTTACATTCTTCAAAAGAGTTGTTTATGATCATAAAATCACCATTCAGTTTGTTTCCATATCCTCCGAGAGCAGCTCCATTTGTCCTTTCACCTGAAAACAGTTTCTGTGACCATCACATTCTGTATTTGGGAGAATCGTGGTTAACTATACCATTGCTTTTGGATCCAGTTTTGGCTCCAGCTCCAGATGATCCATAACCTGAGAGACCTAGAGTTAGTGTCTCCAAGACTTTCACTTCCCCTTAATCTCTGGACTGACCTTTCTGCTGATCTCCATACGCTGGGATCCCTGCTCCGTTAGTGTAGACTAGAGAGCCAACCAGCATCGTTAGGGTTAGCCTCTTTAAAACTGACATAATGAATGAAATACCTGGCTGAGGTTTCATTGGTCGGGCTCCGTTCATGTTGTATCCTGTCAGCACAGATGTAAATGTGGGATTCACTTTTTAAATACATCAGTTACATTAGAAATATATTGTATAAAAACACACCATTATTTGGGTTTGCTCCATATCCATTACCTCCATATCCTGCAAGTGATAGCAAACAATCTTAAACTGAATTGAAATTTTAAAAAGTCTTTCCATTGAACAAGCACCAACCTGGTTTTAGCTTGTTAGCTCCACCCATTCCATATCCATAACCTGAACACAAACCAACAATAACAAACAGGAATGACTAAAATAAAGGCTAAAGATCAAAAGTTACCAACCATTTGACACGGCACCATTCACATTAGGGCCTCTGCTTCCTGTAAATATTACACACAGCTGTAGGATGATGAGAGACACTGATGGATCAAGTGTAAAGTCTAATTATCACCGTGTTTGTTGGCGTGTCCATTGACTCCACCAGCACCTGATTGTAAACATGAAAAGTTTCAAATGTCTTCCTTAATAAAATACAACGCACACATTTGGCATAAAATGGAAAGTTGACCTGGTTTTGGTCCTTTCATTCCATTTCCAAAACGTGATCCCAGACCTGGACCAGTACCAGCGGCCGGACCAGCGTTGGGCCTGTAGCCTTCGGGAAAGTCCAGAGACAAGTTTGAATCTGGTTCTCACATTTCAGTATTAAAGACACTCACCTCCTAAGTTCTTGGCTCCGTATCCATTACCACCGTAGGCTAGTGAGACGACATGTAGTTTTAATGATATTGTAGTATTAGATGAAGTACAGAAAGTGCTTCCCAATACCTGGGCCTTGATATCCTGCCTGTGCTGGTACCCCCATCCCAGGTCCTGAGGTCACAAACAAAATCAGTAAAAATGTAACCTGATATTATGGCTGGTTTATGGATCAGTTTGAGCAACCTGCGCCGTACGGTCGTCCATAGCCTTTCATTGGCTTGGCTCCAGCTTGTCCTGTGGCACATTCATAACAATAAATATCCCCAGAATTAGGACGTTTTAAACACGAGACTGACTGGATTGACTCTTATTATTAAAGTTGTTACCAGTGGGTCCTGCTCCATGAGGGTGCATGTTGGTGGGTCCACGGATGGCTTTCTGTCCTAAAGAAATACAAACCATTGTACTGTCAGCATTTACTTTGTTTACCTAAAAACACAGAGACTTTACCGTTCTGTGCACCGTATCCATTCTGTCCGCCTTGATAAGCGTTACCTAGAAACATTTTCAAATGAGAATCCAATAATTGAATGTTTAGTGCTCATTGCCTTCTTACCCGGTCTGATGCCGGCAAGAGGATTGTAACCTGTGAACATTCAAACATACATTTAAAGACATCTAGTCACTTGCTGAATTCCATCTGCCTTACCTTGTGGCTTTCTTTTTTGTCCATTAGAAGCACCAGCCCCAGCCCCATAACCTGAGGAAAAAAAAGATTATGGAGTTAGGATAAATCTAGCACTTACTAAATAGATGTAAATCACCTTTCATGGGCGCTCCACCTTGAGGAGCAGCCCCACCCCCATAACCTGCCAGCGGAAGGTTTAGTTTAGTATAGAACAGGCCACGTTTGATGCAGAATGTTTTATAGCATTATAAGTTTTATACCATTATAATTCCCACCATTTGTACGTCCTGTGGCAGCTCCATAACCTGATCAAACCGGTCAGTTAAACATCTGTAATGACTTCAACATGTGAGAACGCTGTAAGTACTCACCCTGTGCTTTATTTGGGTAACCTCCATATCCTTGTTGTGCCCCCATCACTTGACCCACTCCTGAAACAGAAGATTCAGAGATGAATTAATTGTGTTCAGAGTTGTCTGAGGCAGAGGCCCAGGCCTCCCTCTGCTGCACACTTCCAACTCTTTCTGTTATTAAATGGTACTAAAGCTGTGTTTGGGGACGTACCCTTGGTTGGCAGCCCTCCTCCATTCTGTGGATATCCTAAAAGAAAAGATGCTCCAGATTCAGTATTTGTGTTAATAAAATGTAAACATTTCAATAAATGATTACCATTATTGACTGGCCCTTGTGTGTTCCCGCCTGACACTGCACCAAAACCTTAAAACAATCATTTTAAATGGTCACATTATTGCCTGTGTTGGGTCAGAGACACTGCAGTCAATGAAGAGTCTGTGCTGTAGTAAAACCTTCAAACTCTCACACGAACACGTTACATTTAGACGACTGCTGCCACTTGGGCTCCGCTGCCTTTGATTTCCACAACTGAGGCCTCAGAAGAAGACAGTCGGAAATATGAGTCTTCACATCTCCACGAGCCAAACGGCTGCACAACCGGAGTGGCTAAGATTTCAGTTTAACATCATCCTTAGAAATTTGTCAGACAAACCCGAGCATCCGAACCTCGCCTTTGGTTTGTCCGGAGACAGAGGCTCCGGAAACCATCAGTTTGTCATGGGTCCATTCAAATGTCTAATCTATACATTTAACTATAAGAGTTTGCCCTTTACCATTTTGGTTTACTTTTCTGCCATTCAATTAGTTTATTGAAAGTAAAACATTTGATCTGTGCAAGTGAAATTATCTGCACACAAGCTGCTCTATAAACATTTTATTCCTTATCGGTAAAAATCTTGAGTAAATAATCACATTGTTTCTGTATAACGTATAATGCGATTTGTCACTTGCTTGATGCTTCCAAACAGAATACCAACCTATTTTAATCAAAATAAGATTTTTATCAATTTTTTTAATGCAAAAATTCATACTTTAAAACGTAAACAAAAATCTTTAGCTTAATAAAGAAACAAATGATAAATTGCTTTAACTAAATGCATTTATGTAAGTTTCCAGAGAACTGTTCAGATCAGCTACATTTGTCAAATACATTTAATTTTAACTTAACCCTTTAGGCGTCGATGCTTTTTGTTTTTGAGAAAAGGATTGTTAAATAAAGACAAAAAGTGACGCCCTGTAACTTTAAACATTGAGGACTACAATAATCAATACTGGAAACACAAAGAAAAAACATGTACAAAAAATGTAGAGAGACGACCGTGGGAAGCAAGGTTGCTGTACAGAAAGTGTTCTGGATTGAGAAGCCTGTGTAGCAATTTGGCTACTTTGGCGCCTAAAGGGTCAATATTCAATGTGGGAGAACTTACCCCTGGAGTGCACCGTCTGGAGCAGCCACAGAACCACCACACTCAGCAGCGCAGGTCTCCACATGGTTCTAAGCAGAAATGTGAAACTGAGGAGACTGATGAGGGGAGTACCTGGAGTTGGACAGAGCCTGTGATGTCGCATCTTTATATAGAGGATGGGACGCCTAAGCCCAACCCCTCTGTTAGTAACGAAGGACACACAGACTATAGAATGGGGCACTTAAAACATTCACACGTTGGAGGAGCAAACACTTCAATTTGGACAGTGACTAATGAACTTTGTCTAGAGTTAAATAACCAGCAATAAATAGTTGGAATTTAATTGTTGCCGTTATTCATTAAAAAAAAGTGCAAGTTGTGTGTGTGTCAAGTCAAAAAGACACTAGTAACTTCTTTATAAAGCAATTGTGATCAAATTCTTGGTCTCTGTCTCAATGGAGGGGGAGGCTCCATGGTCGTGTCCAGCAGTAAACGCCACTTTGAATAAAAGGAAAGAAAATCTCACCTTTTATATAGATTCCTCACTCAAAGTCCAAATCTCTTCTTATGAGGTCGAGGAGGGGTTAACAGCCCAGATCTCACACACGCTTCAGGCCCTGCACCAACCACCACTTCCACTATTTTAATACAGGTCATTTCACTTGGACTTTTAAATGTACTCTAGTCCAGACGGAGCACAAAGTGATACTGAAGTGTGAGGCCCGTTCAGAGCCCGGGTCCAGTGTACACGCAGTAACTACTGTTTGGTTTCATCTCATTGTCGACGGAGAAACAAGCAGAAAGTGCAGTAAAAGAGGCCAAACTGTAAACTCCCAAAGCACCTCTATTCTTAAAGACTTTTATTTATACTGCAAGTGCTCAACAATGGTGCAATTTAAATAATGGTTCCAAAATAAAAAGCTTTACAACTTAACAATTTAAGATTGTTTTCCAAATACATATTTAGTTTTACAACATTTACACAATATTGTTGTACAAAAACCCAAATCTTCACACGCTGTCCTCGTTGAACAAATAGATGCAGCCGTACAATTATTACAACACAATCCTCCATCTGGTCCAAAAACCAAGCTACAGTTTATCAAAAAGTACAACCTTCAAATCGTAATCCAAACCTGTGGCATAAACGTTTTGTTAATTAGGATTGTTCTGCAGCACCACAGAAGTTACTGCCAGTTTTCTCTTTGTCATAATCTTTTACAAATCAAATGTTTTTCATGGAATCACACGTTGGAAGGCGACATACTGGAGACGCAGGAGAGGAAGGTAAAACAAACAAAAGTAAAGTAAAATGGAAACGGGTGATCAAAAAGTGCAGGATTCAGGGGACGGGTGAAACCAAAGTAAGAAAAATACAATAAGAGTTAAGTTAATATGAGTTTCAGAGCACGTTAGCATTAGCATAACAATGCTCTGCTCACTAGTCCAGACCACATCAGGTTCAGCACCTTTCACCTTATGATGGAAGAGCCACACATCCTGTCACAGACCTGAACAAAAGCACAGTCTGTTAGTTCAACGCCTTTGAGATCAGAACCAACCCATTTACTGCATCGTCTTGAGCGATTTCTCTGATAACTTACTCTATGTTGCTCTTGAGTTGGTGCACTGTGCGCTTGTCCAGGTATCGGCAAAAGAGCGTGAGCAAGTTTGAGGGCAGTAGAAGAGGTTCAACCAGCGAGCACTGGGAGAGCTGTCCGGCCACCTGGAATATGGTGTCCGTCCTAGACACAAAACGGAGTCATTCAAATGATTGGATATAGAGCAGGAGACAGGTCCTCAAAAGGGCAGGTGTGGCAGCAGGTTTTAATTGCAACCTGAGCAGGAGCAACACCAGACTCCACCCATTTCCAAGGGTGAGTCTGGTGTTGCTCATGCTCATATTGGAAATAAAACACCACACCTGCCCTTTCTTAAACCGGTTTGATACCCCTGATTATGACGTTTTATAGTGCTCACCAGGCCTCAAAGTCACCAATGCTCGGCTCAAGAGGAACACCTGATGACAGCAGCTTTTCTCCTTGCGACAGCAGCGCGTACAGCAAGGACAGACCAAACTGAAGTGGAGACCAAAGTTATTAGCGTCTAAAAATGTAACTGAATCCTATAAATAAAGCACATGCCTTGTTCTGACAGGCCAGAGCGAGGCACTCGTACGCAGACATGGCCTCTGGCAACGTCAGGTCTCTGAGGACCCCGATCAGCTGGCTGAAGGTCAGACCTCCAATCACATTTCGGAGCGGAGGGTAGAGCACTGGGAGAGACTGACCAAGAAGATATGAGTAATGAGATTTATATATCCTTGCGCAATACTATTGAATTGTGGCCCAAAAATTGCAATACTATCAAGTCACTTTTTTTTGTCAATTCCCACCCCTGATATATCCACAGAGCCAGGGAAAGTTTACACATTAAAAAGGAAATGGAGAAAAGGGAAATTGATCAGAATGTTCCCTGTTAAATATAAATAACAGATTTATATAATTTTTGTATTCATCTAAATCTATCCACACCTGCTTGTGCATGCATTAACACTAGAGAAATTCAAATCATTTTTTGTTGGAGCAGAAAACCCGCCCTTTACCTCATCAGTGTCTCTGTTTATGAGAGTCGGCAGGTTGCGAACCACAATCTTCAGGATTTTTAATGAAGATTCGTGCTTCAGAAACGATAAGAGGCGAGCAATTAGCTTCTTGCCTTTTGAAACAATCAGGAAAGGTAGAAATTCTCCTGTAGAATTTCTAGGAAGAGGAGACAAAGAAGGTTACAATTAATTAACAGCAAACAAGACAAAAGCTCCTCGCCCCCGTCACTCACAGCGGGTCATGGTTCTGGATCTGAAAGTAAATGTGGTCCACTTTGCGCTGAGTCTTCTCCATTATTCTTCTCTCTTCTGTGTCGGAGAGGACAGTGGTCTTTGTCCTCTCAGTCTCCTCCACCTCCAGCAAAACTATGAATAACTGCACACACAAAGCATAAGAAACAGACCTTTTCACAGTAACAGTTTCTGTAATACCTTTTCTATTTTACTAAGAAGTTCCAGCCGTTGTTGTCTGGTGTCTTTGTGTTCCTGCAGAGATACAATACATACATTTGATAAAATTATTAAGCACAGTACAATAAGCAAGAATTCCTACAAGACCAGGGTCACATGACACAGCATACACCAGGGGTCTCCAACCTTTGTTTGGAGAGACTTTGGCAGAGTCTATAATAACTACAGTCGATCACAGAGAACACACATGAATAATACACCATTAGACCTACAGCATCTCTGCAATTAACAGATTTATAGTTAAAAACTGACGACTTCTTTAATGACTTAAAAGTGAATCATTCAGAATCATTTGTAAAACTCTTGAACACTTTGGGGATGTACCCGACAGGGGGTGCCGGACCACAGGTTGGAGACCTCTGGCATTTACAAATTCAAACGAATACCTCATGTTGGCCATGGCCTTGCACAGCGTGAACTGCACCGATGGCTCGACGAGGAGAGTAACACGTGGAAACAGCCACTTGACCCAAAGAGCCTTCGATGTGCAACACTGGACAAATGCACAGAAGTTCTCAGGTCATCCAAAAGTTTAAGTATTTGAGAAAAACTAATAGAGCTGAATAAATGTTTCTTATTAAAAAAAGGGTAAGAAAACAAATCAAAGTGAATCTTAAAAACCTGGTGAATACACGTCAGTCTTGGTGATGTAAGGAGTGGTGAGTTTGGGAGGTTCCTTTTTGCCCTTTATGCCCAGTTCTTCTTCTGCGAGCTTGGCTTCCAGGCGGCGATAGTACTCCTTAAACCATGGCACACATTAGCTTCACATTTAAACTTTAGTGGTAAAAAAATAAAGGCTGTACCTGGTAATAGTAATCCTCCTGATAGGGATTCTCACTCTGCAGCTGAATCATCTGTAGTCGAGTAATCCACTCCTTTTCTTTGGCAGTCATGAGATTGCACCAAGGATCCCAGTCCTCTGCTTTTCTGAGAAAATCAAATGATTTTTATTCAAACCGGCAAGAGTAGGAAAAAAGTGAAAGCAAAAATGAAGATATTTTTTTATTTGTTTTATTTTAAAAACAAAACAGTCTTAGCCCAGACTTCTGCTCTGATTACAGTAAAAATGGGTTCCACAAAGTTTGAACTCGTGTATGAATGTAAGCCCCGCTTCAGTTTTAGAGGTTTCTTAATATAAAACTAAGCAGCGGAAATGTCCAAGGCACTGACTGGACAAAAAACAACAACACATTTACACGGTTGAAGGGACGTTACATTAAAATCAACCATTATTTGGCTTTCACATGTGTATGTGAAAGAAAATAGACCAACCTTTGGAACATGCGCTGCTTTTGAACGAGCAGTCTCTTATGCTGAGGATGGAGCTGAGTCACAGGATCAGGGTACCTTTACACACAAGCAACAATATCATCTTCTGAACTCTTCTGTCAGACTAAAGTATGACCACAGACGTCACTGCCACTACCTGAAGCGCTGCACTGGGTCAGAAGGAGGACTGTAAAACTGCGAGGGTCTCGGAGAGTTTGCTCCGAAGCAAAGTTGCATCATCTTTGGAGTGGAGGGACAGGAGCGGTTCGAAGAAAAACGATTGGACTGAGTAAAAAAACAGGTTAACATTTGCAGCCGTCTTAAATCGAGACAGTACTGGAGAGTTCTACACCTGTTGCCTGGGGGTCAGAGGCTGGCGTTGGAACATAGGGGATCCTGGTACAAGGGGTGGAGGAATCTTTGAAAGGGAGAAGAACATAAGTAAAATTTGTGGTTGTCCCAATAGAAAACACATCAGCCACAAAGTCCACCTGAGAGGCTGCTCTTTGACTAAACTGTCTCCTTGCATAGGACCCTCTGGGCTCTCCCCGCCGGCCCCTGAAGGATGGGACCCGAGGAGGCAAGTCCAAGAAGCTGGAGTTCAGATCTTGATTCCTTCCGTGGCCATCAATCACACACACTATTGCACTGTCCTGGAGAAAGCAGGTGTTGAGAAAAATAGTAAAAGAATGAATGATATAAAATTACACAATTCAATACGGAAAAAACCTCCAGTATTGATTGAGCCGTTTTCGGAGTTTTCTTGTATGTTGGACCAAGCCACTGAAAAAGATTATTTAAACATTAGTTGTTAGGATCAAATTGAATATTTAGATCTCTAAAATGTAAGCTTACATTTTCTCCATAGGGTTTCCGGTACAGGGTACTTCCACAGTCCACTATTGCACTGTCCAGATTCTTCCAAAGAAAGCCCAAGACAAACAATGCATAAAGCTTTAGTGCCCCATTTACTACAGACATAGTTTAAGTCTTCTAAAAAGGTTAAATGTTGTGGTATTAATGGTATCAGTTTTAAACAACACTTTTTTGGACACTAAAATACGCTTCACTTCATATACGATGGTGATAAACTGTTAGCCACAGCTGCCCGAAAGCACATTGAACCAGTATATGCCACGAGCCCCTCCGACCAGCACGAACCGTCACACACACCAGACTCATTCTAATGTGTCTTGCCTAAGGACAACAGTTTGGCACTTTACAGACACCCTTAATGTATGCCCAAGTTTTAACATCACCAAATGGGTAGAGTCTACTTCCTAGTATCAAAAAATATATTTTGTGACGTTGATTTTGATTTAAATAAGTACATTCAAAAAAACGTGTCATTTTGTTACGTTAAAAAATAATATCTCTATAATAACATTTATCGAGTTATCTTATTGTCTGTACTCCATACTTACAGACCAAGAAACCAGTTTGATAATACATATATTGGTTGTGAATTGAAAGTTCCCCAGAAAGTCCCCCACGAAAACATTAAAAACAACAGTTCCAAAGTCACCTTGATACTGGGCCGTCCCTCCACCATCCTCATCACTGCAGGGTCTTCAAACATCTCTGTGCCCATCCCACTCTGGACCCCCCGCTCTCGGCTGCGTTGCGGTGCAGGGGCCCGGGACCCCACTCTTCTTGGTGGGGATGGAGCGCAGGGCAGAGGGGCAGGTTTGTCAGCTGGAGGGGGCGGAGGAGGTGGTGGTGGTGTAGGAGGAGGTGGTGTTGGCAGAACTGGGGCAAACGGCAGCAGACTGGCCCCTCCGCTCGTCTCTACAGGCGTGTCCATGTCTACACACGGAGAGCGGATAGTGACACTAGAATTACAGTCAATTTGACAGGTTTTTATTTTCTAATTTGTTTATATAGATGTCTAAATGTATTGGCATTTAGTTACGGGAAAGTCAAAGTTATCACAAATGTACCAGAAATACCAACTCCTGCAATGAAACTGTGTTGCTATGGAAACTATAACTTGCCCTGAGCTGAGATTGTTCTCTGCCAGTCTATGATCGAGTTTTTTTAAATTTAACATAATTACATTGAAAGAAAAAAAAAAAAAGCATTTTGTTTTTTTTTATTGTAATTATGTTGAAAATGACATTAACTTGATCCTGGTCCTAGACACGTTCAGAGAAATCTCAGCTTGGAGCAAGTGCTAGTTACCATGGCAACATACCGTTTCATTGCAGCAGTATTTAGTTTTGTTGCATTTCCGTTATATTCATTAAAAGAATTGAGTAAAAGGTAAAAACCCTTGTAAACCAATTCACTTTTTGGGGAATATTCCAGAATTCCATTGGTCAGAATGTTTCAATAGATTCAGAATCCTAGTCCTATTGTTCACACGGCACCATCACAGCCCCACCAGTGATACAGACCCATCCCAAACGTCTCCTCGTTGCGGATGTTGATCTCCTCGTCCTCCTCCGCCATGACCTGGAGCTGGCAGTCTTCCTCCGTGTCGCTCCACTCTTCCCCACGTTCAGGCCACTCTGTCTGAATGGGCCTGTCAGGACCCTGTCAAAACGGGATTGTTAAAATGATTTATAACCTCGAAATGGGAGATTTGTTGTACTTGCAGACATTCTAACTTACTTGTAGTTGTTCTACATCACTCATTGTACAATATTGCGTTCAGACACATGTGTCCGGATGACTTTCTGTCTCTGATATTAATCATCAGCTTTAATTGATTTCAGCTGTGACCACGGAGGCACGCGCGTATGAGGCGCCATATTGTTTTACGGCAATTAAAACTAACAGAAATAAACTAAACGTGTTTACATTAATGTATGTATCACATTCATTGTTTATTAAAGGATTTATATTCAATGCGAACACTAATGGGCTTTGTTCTTGCTGTGGTCCCTAACTTTTATTTTTTCATAAATAATAATTGTTGTTTGTCTAAGCAGAAAGAGTCTTGTAGAAGTGAAATGCTGTAAACCGAAAAGACCACCACATGCCGTCTGTGTCTTTTTCTCTTACAAGTTGAAGCTTTGGAGCTGATTGGAGTGAGGGCGGTCCTCTTAAGATGTGAACGAGACCAGAAATACATGCAAACTAGTGATAGAAATAAATATTGTCCTGACAGACAAAGACTAAGATGGATATACATCACATATTTCCATTTGTGTTGTGAGTACACGCACACACGCATATGAACGTACACACTATGAGCACTCTACACCCACACACACACACACATTATATACGTTCACGCACATATATACGCGTGCACATACAGACACACGTACACGCGCACTCACACGTATACACGCGCACACAAGTCAGTAAACAGTGCCCTCTAGCGGCTGTTACATTGTGCTTGACTCCTAGTACCATGGTTAGACTGGCCACTAGTCGCTATTTTCGCTTAGTCTTGGGGTGAAAAGTGGTAATATTTCAGAATTCTAGTATAAAATGATCAAATTCAGTTGTCTATCAGCTACCTTGGTTGAAGTAATAGATTACAGTTACATTACTGATTCATTTCAAAGGGAGTACAGCATACTTTTGTAATGAGCTGTGAGTTGTAATGAGTTACCTCCACGTCTTCTACACTATATGTGGTTCACAATAACTTCATAATCCAGGCAGGATTACAGACGTCTTTGACCAGGACAACATGTGTTTATGTCTTTTATTTGACGTTATTTTTTGGTAAATTTCCACATGACGTGAATGAATAAAACAATCTTGTTTGCTCTTACATATAAAACATCAACAGCAATAATACAATGTACAAAAGCAAATGTGACAGAATACATTTTTGCAGAATAAAGCTCATATATCTAAAGGACAATTACAATAGAAAATGATGGAATGCTCCCCTGATGTCCGTTGCCTTTGGTAAAAATAACATTTAATAATAACATATGAATGTTGTTGAACTAATTACATTCCTGATGGTGATTATCTTTAGACTTTCAGAAGCAGTGAAAATGCAGTCCTTTTACGCATATATTAACAGATCATATTGATGAAGACTCTCCTCTTCATCCAAAGAGTTTGATGAAGCAGGGGTGGCAGTAGGGCTTGCTCTCCTGCTCTTTGAAGCAGCCTTTACTCAGAGGTTTTAGGCAGAAGTGGCAGACGAGGTGATGTGGGTGAAACTTGGCCCCCATGGCAGTGACACAGCGCCCCAGGATGGGCTGCTGACAGGCCTGACACATACTGCCACGAGACTGGTGATAGTGGGCTTCACACAGAGGCTTCCCCTCGTGCTCGAAGAAGCTCCCGTTCACAAAGGGACGGTAACACTCCTGAAGCAGATCAGAAAAGACAAAGCATGAGACGATTCTTTTTTTAAAACCTCCTTCACACACTGAGAAGAACACTTACTCTACAGACGAAACACTGCGGGTGCCACAGCGAGTTGAGGGCTGAGATGTAGTTTTCCAGGATGGGTTCGCTGCATCCTTGACAGCGCGACGCAAACAGAGCCAGGAAACACTGCTGACAGTACTGCTGGCCCTCGCGGTCGTGGAAACCTGAGAGATCACTCTGTTAACATGAGCTTAAAACTATACACAAAGATAAAGTCATGTACAACGAGAGGCTTCAGAGATCTTGGAATACTTTAAAAGTTTACACAAATTTGCATATAGTGCATAAGAAGAAGCAGCGGCTCTACTCTGAGCTCCTCCCGTGTGACACAGCTCCTCACCATATCCCTAAGGGAGCCCATGCCTCAAAACAGTGAACAGAACCGGTGACAAAGGGCAGCCCTGGCAGAGGCTAACGCCGGGAACAGGTCTGACTTACTGCCAGTGATGCAAACACAGCTCTCACTCCACTCACAGGGACCAGACGGCCCTCAGGATCCGGACCCCATTCTCCCAAAGAACCCCCAAAGGAACCCAGGGGAACACGCCTTCTCCAGATCCACAAAGCACACATGGACAGGGTGGGCAAACTCCCATGATCCCTTTAGTATTTGTTATGCATTTTTGTTGTAGTTTAGAGAAAATTTGTTTTTTGTAACATCCAGAAAAAACCTTATCATTGCATACTGAAGTGTATTCCCTACATTTTTGTACAAAATTCAGAAAACGACAAAAAGAAAAAGAAAAAGGACTGAATATGCCATATTCTGTTACATGTCTTCTGTTGCTGATTGGATAATGTATGTTTGATAAACTCACCTTCTTCCCCAAAAGCTCGAGAGCACTTGACACAGCAGAAACACTCTGGATGCCAGTTCTTATCGAGGGCAGTGACCATTTTCTGAGAAAGTACAGAGACACGATTATTACCACGAGGTGAGAGACTCAGGGTGCACACTGACACTGACAGCTGCTCCTACATTTAAGATTGGCTGGTTGCACTGCGCACAATGAGGCGAGAAGAGCGTGAAGTAATCGGACTCGCAATATGGCCGACCGTCCTTCTCAAAAAAGTTGCGGCTGCCGAGTTCCGTCTCACATTCAGTGCAAACAAAGTGCTCCGGGTGCCACACTTTCCCGAGCGCCGTCACCACCTGCAGAAACACACACAGCATTAAACAAACATCATAAATACAGAATAATCAGACTGACAGGTGAGAGCAGGGCTTACTTGTCCCACTACAGGTTTCTGACAAGCCGTGCACGTCCCTTTGGAGGAGGTCTGGACTCCTTGTCTGGTCAGGTCTGACTGCAGGAGGCCGAGCATGCTGTCCAGAGACCCCCCAGAGGCTGCCTGAGGGGGGGCCGAGGCGGGCGGAGGGGAGGGGGGGGACACAGGCGCAACGGGAGCAACAGGCTGAAGAAAAACACACACTAGGCTTATTCTGTCAGGTGGCGAAAAGACAAGAACTCGAAACGCAAAATTGCTAAAAATTACGGATTTAATAAAATGTAACACTATCATCATCATCATCATCAAAAAAACACAAAAAATAACCAAGCGGGGCTGATGACAAGAACTAAAACAGAGACGACAATGACAGAACCGGGAGTGAAGGAATACACATGGTTAAAATACTGTATATGAGACCAACAAGACACAAGTGCACTGCAAAAAAGGACAAATTATAATAATAGTTAATACTTTCTTCAATTGAGTGTTTTTTTTTATCTTAATTTGAGCACATTCTGACTGTTTTAAAACAAGATTTATCAATGGGAAAAATCCATTTAGTCTTAATTCACAAACTGTATTTTCTCATTCAAAGGGAGACATTTCTTTCCTTTTAAAATAAGATGATTTTGCTCATTGTCCCGTTGGCAAATCTAGTTTTAAGGCAGTCAAAATGTGCTAAAATTGTGATTTTTTGACATATCTTTCATCACTTTTTGCAGTGTGATACAAATGAGGGCAGGGCAGATAATCAGACGACCAGAAGTGCTAATAAAGAAAACACATGGGTCGACAAATTAAACAAAACAGGAAATTAAACCTAAACCGTGACATATTCATTCTATTCTAATGTGAACTTTGATGATGGATGATTCACCTCCAGCTAATCTCTGCGTGAACGTTGACACTTTGTATGTTCCACTGATTGGATGTTTTTTTTTTTGTGAGGAATCTTTGAGAAATGAAAACATCTTTGAACAAAAGCGCAGATAAGAGGGAGACGGCTTACTGTGCTCTGGACTCTGAAGTCCGACAGCGACGCCATGAGTTTGTCGAGTTCCAGAGTGGCCGATGTGGCGGAGGGTTTGGCAGAGCTGAAAAACACGGAGCATAACTTTATTTTTAACACTTTTACTTTTTCACAAAGTTAACACCATGCAGTTCATTTTACATTCAGCAGATGCTATAGCTAACCCTGTGGACCAATGGCTCCTGTGTGCCTGTTCTATTATTGCATTTCCTGTGTTTGTAAGAAGAATGTAGTAAGAATTAAAAAATATATATGATTATTTGAACTGTGACAATACACCGATGGATTTATAGATGTGCATTCAGGATGGACTGCAAATCTTGTAATAGTAAGTAAGTAAGTAGTGTTTATTTATGTAGCACATTTTACAGACCAAGGTACAGACCCAAAGCACTTCACAATGTTCAGAGTCAGATACTGTTCCAATCATTCCACACACGGGGATGACAGAAGCGAGTCCAGAACACACTGGACCATCAGCTCCAATCAACACTCTCTCATTTACATTCATACCTATTGTGCATGTTTTTAGTGGTAGGGGAAACCGGAGCACCCGGAGGAAACCTACCCAGACACGGGGAGAACCTGCAAACTCCACTCAGAAAAGCCCTGTTCCGACCGGGATTGGAACCCAGGACCTTCTTGCTGAGAAGCGAGAGTGCTATCCACTCAGCCACCGTGCCGCCCATAATGACTATTATCTCTAGGCGGCCACAGCAGGATACCGGCCTCTTGTCAGTTTAATCTAATTTGGAAAACATCCATCTACAGTCACTAAATGAATGAATGTGATGAATAAGATATTTAGAGAAGAAGGAGAGTGAAACATGAAGAGAACCAGTGTTTTCTTTGTGTCTGTGGAAAAATTGTTAATCTTTTGCATTTGTGGCTAGAATTACACTGCAAAAAGTGATAAAAAATGAGTCATTAATGGCTCAAATTTGGCAAACTGTATCTTGATCTTGAGAACATTATGACGACCATGAAACTTTATTTTCCAATGGGACAAACAAAATGATCTTGTTTTAAAAATATACAAAAACTGCCTCTCTTGAAAGAGAAAATAAGGCAACAGTTCTAGAAATAAGACAATAAGACATTGTTTTAAGACATTCAGAATGAACTCAAATTAAGGTAAAAACTACTCATTTCAAGCATTTATCACCTCATATTGTATCATTTCTTTGCATTGTTGCTTTAAAATGAAGTAAAACATGCCATGGTCGCACATATTACATGGTCTGAGCCACAGAATATCTGTAACTAGTTCCTGTCTCTCAAAACTGGTTCTATCAATAGTTTTCACATTCATATATTTTTTCCCTGTCTCACTCAACTCATCTTTCTTAAGCTAGTAAACAAAGAAGGATTACATGTGTCTAATAAGATTGATTTATTAAAACTATTTGATGTTTACAAGCCTCTTTGTTTGACTCTGTGATACAAACAGAATGTATTATTTATGAACCAAAAAGGTTAGGGACCCCAGCTTTATTCAAACACAGACACCACTTTTACCTGAGAGTTCTGTCTTTCGGTTTATCATCTTTCTTCGGAGACGGGAACTGGGCCAGGATCTCATCTGGAGACAACCAAACGGCGTTAAAGGGACCACTCCAACCCAACGAGATACGGCAAATGGGTTTGTACACAGACCGGTGATGTTAAACTGTGTGGCATTTAGCTCCTGCAGCAGATGATCCAGTTCGCTCAGGCCCCCTCCCAACAGCGAGGAGGAGGAGAACGCTGGAGGGGGGTCCGCAGCACGAGGAGAGCGAGGCTTGTTCACGGTGCTGCAGGAAACAGGACAGACCATAATGGCTGCGATTATTGCATTATGTACAGAATGACGTGCACTGCGGCCTCCATAGTGTCTCCTTTTACAAACGTTTGACTAAGATTGGCTTTTGTCAGCATAAGGAAATGTGTTTAGGGAGAGCAGGAAGGAACGGCCAGAGTTGAAATCGATATTATCTGTGTTTTTAAATGATTTAGTTTTTGAGTTTTGCCTTTAGAATTCCATTGGTCGAAATTTCATAATTCAAAAACATAACAAGGCAACGACGATAATGCAAAGGACAAGATAACAGTAAGAAAATAAGACAAATTAATGTAAGGAAAATAAAAATATTGAAAAAATACATAGTAGTAAAATAATAGAATAAAAAAATCTAGAGCTGGGGCACCTACAGCTTTTGTTTTGTACCAATAGAAAGAGTTTTATCAAAGTAAAATGTTGTGTTTTGAACATGTTATCTTTTGCGCACTTGTAAGAATGAAGAATGATTAACCACTTTGGGCTCAGAGCTGAATGGCTCTGAACCCTGGCTTTAAATATGATCTAAGTAACATAATTTAAATTATAGTTTTTCTAAATAATGCATATTTTTGTCTTCCTGTCCCTCTACTATGAAATCATATATGTATTATGTATATAAGGTAAAGGTGCACTTTATTGATCCCTGTAGGGCAATTCAATCCTCTGCATTTGACCCATCCTGATGCTGTGAAGGCTTACGTCAGGAGTGGTCGCCGTAGTAACAGCGCCCGGGAACCCATCTCCAGATGTTGCTCGGATTGGTCAGGACCGGAGCAGGAGGATTTAACCATGTGAGCATGTTTTTAGTGGTAGGGGAAACCGGAGTACCTGCAGGAGACCTACACAAGCACGGGGAGAACATGCAAACTCCACTCAGAAAGACCCAATTTCAACTGGGATTCGACTCAGCCACCGTGCCGCTGTATATGTCATGTACAGTATATTTCAAGCCTTCCTGAGGTTTAACCCCTCTTTCCTACTGGGTTTTTTGAGTCGTTCCTAGCTGATGCAGAAGGCTCTAAGGACGGTGAAGATCTGAGACATTTAAGGACATTTATAAACATTTCTGGACAGTGGTCATCCCGCCCCCGATGGACCAATGTCTCCTATGTGTTTGTTATTATTACATTTCCTATGGTTGATTCTCTGATCTCTTGTTAGCGAATCGACAGCTTTGTTAAGCCCTCCGAGACGACTGCAGTTGTTATTTAGGGCTGCACAAAGATAAATGGAAGTGAATTATAGTTCTGTGAGATTTGCTGGAGGAGACTCCCAAACCTATGGGGAGGGGGCTTGTGAGTACATTAGGTTTATGTATTTATCTCGTCCAATCAGGAAGCAGAGAGATGAGTCCTGATGCCTGCATTGCAACATTCTCTGTCTTTAGTATAAAAAGGTGCATCTTTCTCACTGTTACCTGTAAAGTTTATCGGGGTTCGAATTTTGTGATGACTTCATTGCAGCGGAAACCGTCTATAAACAAAAAAATAAAGATTAATATGACTGTACATTAGACTTATGTGTGTTTGTGTGTTGTCCATGTGTGAGTACCTGCTGGGGGGTGTAGGCGGGAGGCGGGGGCCGCACCTGGGGGGTGTCCTGGGACGACGGGTCATCGTTGAGAGGAGGCTCAGACGTCAACAGCACCGGACACTGAGCCAGAGGGGAGCTGCTGTTCTCCAGGTCAGCCAGAAGAGCATCTGAGCAATGTGTGGAGAAGAGGCTTTGTTTATACAAACACCTCAGCACTAAACTCCCAGAAGTCTGACACTACAGGACTCCCAGACCAGTCATTTTGACGGCTCTCGTTCAAATCAATGGATCAATTTCAGCTTCCACTATTCATATTTAAAGTACGCTATTTAGAAGTTGTTTTTACTTTAATTGAATCTAAAATGATGAAAGGATTATTACTTAAAATACAGCAAAAACAGTTTGTTGCTAGACTAATGCTAATTACTGCATGTGAGTGAGTTGCTATGGTAACTAGCAGTGGCTCTAGTCTGGTGGACCCCAAACAGACTCAGGACCAGTCTTAAGTTTAACTGCCATAGAATGTAACAGTCAAAGTGACGGCTCTGGTTAAAAAGTTGAACTCCTCACATTTCAAAATGTAATTCATAATAATATGGCAGAAATAAACTACATGTAGAAAAAGTCACAAAATTATGAAGACAACAAACGTACGTATGTTTTGTGCACTTCCAAAACTAAAAGCTGTCAACTTGACTGCTCTGGGAGTTCTAGTGTAAATATTACAAAAGTGATTTTGTTTTGATTTTTAGATATTAAAGTGTCAAATCATTTTTTTGTCCGAACATTAAATGATGTATTTATCTAGGGTTTGTTTATGTGAAAGTGGTTAGCATTCATTAGCATTGGAGTTAACATATTTATAAATGTTTACTTTACCTAAAGGAAATACTTAGTAACAACAGTCATTTAATAGATTAGTTACAATAGAAATCATAAAAATAGTTCATTGTTATCAGCCTCAACAGGGCCGCAGCCTTCAGGAGACCCTTATCTCCTCTGCTCTCTGCTTCTACAATCCGTCACATGTTTTAGATTAGATTTTACCATTTCTGTCTGTCTATTGTTTGTGTTGTTTGTTTGGACAACTGACGGCGACTTGAAGTATTTATCTAACAATCTAAACACATTCCAAAGCTGGGGAACCTAGCATAAATATTAGTTGATTTGATCCAACAGAAATCAGCCTGAAACAGTCGGCTGGGTTTATCTGGTTAGAAAACATCTCAGACTGATCCCTGTGAGTCGCTGTTGAACTGAGAGCTGATTGGCTGAGTGAGGGTGGTCCTCTCTTTTTCACTTTTCTGTCTGAAAAAGCTGCTCTAACGATGAGACAGAGGCATGAAATACTTGCATGTGAAAACTAGAGATAGAACCAAACTATTTTGAGAGCGAGGAACAAGATACAAAGAATTATTCTATAGGTTTGAAAGTTAGAGGAGGTTGTCTCTAGGTTTGGTCGAGTCATTTGGAAGTGCAGCCAATTGGAGAGGGGTAGGTTTGGTTTCAACTTTTGTGAAGACATTGACCAATAAACCATATTTGAAGTAGTTTTTTATTAATTATGTACTATTTTTTGTTTATCTATAAGGAGAGGCAGTTTAGGAATTTTGTATTTAATCTCTGCACACTACAAAAAGTGATAAAAAATGAGGTAATAAATTAAATCAAGTGTGTCTTAATCTGAGTTCATTCTGACTATCTGTAAACAAGATTTGCCGATAGGACTAAGCCATTTAGTTTTATTCTTTCCAAGTGTAAGTACAACAATAATACATTCCATGAAAAAAGAACAGAAGAAGGAGGAAGAAAAATAATCTTATAAACTCCTACCCCATTCCTGTGTAAAGAAATGCTCAAATTAGACGGCCTAATCTGCACCAAAAATATGGTTTTTGTAAGTTTAAGAAAAAAAAAAAAACCTCTCATTCTTGATAAAAACTATTCAAAAAGGTAAAAAGATAATTGAAAATATGGTTTATTTGTCAATTCTCTAACTTTAAAACGTATAGAATAGTTTGGTTCTGTCACACAGGCCTCTGTCTCATCTTTTCCTTTTCAGACAGAAAACTGGACAAGAGAGGACTCAGCCAATCAGCTCTCAATGCTGACTGTTATTAGCGTTTATACCCAATGCTCACATGTTATTATAGACTACTGCTACTACTACTACTGCTACTGCTTCTGCTGCTGCTACTGCTGCTGCTGCTGAGGAGAAAAACGTATAAGGAGAGATCTGAATGGCAGATGAAAGGAGACAAAAACATGTAGAAACGCATGCACAACCGTTACGTACCAAACACAACTATACGAGGACTGAGAGGGTAGTTAGGCTCAGGCTCCCCTACAGAGAGACACACCAATACAGCAGCAGAAGGTCAACACACTAACAAGACAGAATTATCTCAAGTTAGAAAAGGCAGCAGAGCATGGGTCAGCATCGGTCAAGTCAAGATTACAGACAAAACATGGGTGCACCGTGACATGCCGGAGAGAGGACAGGAAACAGAGGAACAAGAGTGTTTTGTAAATGATATGTAATCCTCCCACGCACTCAATCCAAGCTCAAATGGAAGTTGTTCAGTGCCTGGTCTTTGCCACAGCACGACCTCGTTCAGATCTGACCACATATAACACGGTGGCATAACATTTACAACAAAGACAGAGCTGTTTCGGAGGTACTTTTTCCAGAATGGATGATTTAAAGTTCAAGTAACCAACGTTTTTCCATTCTTTGTGTTGTGAAAGTGACATTTAATGAATATTTACAATCAGAACTATCTGTATTTACCTCAATAGAAAACGTATTGTGAGAGCCATAATGTGTGGGGTTGCGTCAGGAGAAGTGTGTGAGTCTCGTGACCTCGGGGGAATTTGCCCGGTGACTTTAATTATGGCAGACACCGGCGTTCAGGTGAGAAGTCGAAGGGATCTGGGAAGCAGTATTTCTTTGTTGACCATTTGTTTTGTGAAGTTTTGTACATCTACACATATGGCCAATGTGTGATGTGTCTATCTGTAAGCTGATGAGTAAATGCCACGCAGTTACACGTCAGCGTTCTTCCTCCACATAAGCAGCGCATCATGAAGGTTCAGCACCTGTTCTCCTCGTATTCTCCAGCCACATAGGGCCACAGCCGCTACACTTATCTGTGGCATCATTTTAAGATAGATCCCTGCAGTACATCACAGTTTGACGTTCTAGGCTGAGAGGTGATTGGTTGAGTGAGGGAGGCTTTCTCTTTTTCACTTTTCTGTCTCAAAAAGCTGAAAAAGGCAGAAAAAAAACATGTATGTGAACTATACAGACGGGTCTAAGGACAGTTTGGATCCAAGACACTCGACATTCAACGACATTTATGGACTTTATCAACATTTATGCACATTAGTCTCTGCCCCTTATGGACCAATGGCTCTAAGTGGTTTTCTATCTTTGCACTGTCTGTGTCTGAACTGTTTGATTCTCTGATCTGTATCGGCGAATTGACAGCTTTGTATAGTCCTCTGATAAAGCTACTGTTGTGATTTAGGGCTATACAAAAATAAATATCAAATTGAATCGAGGATCACCATCTCTATACAGGGAGGATTCATTTATTCATGTATTTGTTATTAACAGTATCAGTATTAGAATTCACTTGTGTGTGTTACCTCTCAAATGAGCCATCATAACACAACATCAGACCCAAGATGTCCACACAATAAGCGTTTCCATTTGGGTATCATAATTCGAGAAGGAACAGGCGAAATTAGGTGATCTCTAAAGAGTTAAATCATATGTTTTTTGTTGAGAACATTGTGACAAGATTCGCCAATGAGACAAAGCCATGTAGTCATTCAAAGTGAGACATTTCTTGTATCTTTTCAAAACAAGATCATTTTCCTTGTCCCATTGGCAAATCTTGTTTAAATACAGTCAAAATGTGCTCAAGTTAAGATACATTTTGCCAAATTTTATCCAGTTTTGACTTATTTCCCACCACTTCTTGCAGTGCGCTCTTGTGTTTCGGGGGCCGTTTGGCAGTGGAATTGCCTGTACAAAGCTTGTGGTGTGAGTGTGTTTAACCAGTGGCTGTCTCTATGGTTTCTGTTTTGATGTCTTTTTCTTGCTGGTAAAGTTTGTGGATGCCCTCAAACCGCATTTCATTCCCCTGAGCCCTGCTTTCTCTGGGTGATTCAGAGTCTAGGTATATACGCCATGTGGTGCAAACTCCATTTTGCACACTCTACTACACTAACCAGGCCAGATTGCTCATATAAGGAGCTGAAAGTCTCTCAATGGGAAGTCTGACCATATTTAGGGCGGCTTGTCCACTTGTTTGTCTTGGCCACAATTTCTCTCTCTACAAGTGGTTTCTTTCCGAGCAAAGCCGAGCCAGATCCAAGACATGAATTTACAGCATACTTTAGAGCAGCAACACAAACTGTATGGTCCCAAACATGGCTTGTCTGGCCCTCACAGAGCCAACCCTGTAACTTTCACACAATCCTTTCCAGATGTGTGCTGGCAACATCTCACCATTCTTCACAAAAGCTAAAGCCGTGTGTTCCCTCGCTCCGTACTGGACTTGGTGGAAGAAGAAAATCCCACAAAAGCAAATGGACAGTTTTGAGAGAGAGACAGAGGGGGGGGGAAGAAGCGAAACATCCCATTTTCATTGAACTCTGTGGCTTTTTTAAATAGCTGAGCGGTCTGGGCTATTTCAGGGCTTTCTCTCTCTTTCTCTCAACAATACTTTTTTCTCCCATGGTTCTCCTGTTTTGAAAGTATTTTTTTTAAATGAGACATAAGAAGTGAGGGCAATCAGATTTGTTGGTGCTGCATGAAGACAATAACAACGAGAATTAAGAAGTGATTATTTATGGATGAGAGCTCAGCCACTGTGGATATGGACTTTAATCTAATTGTCAAAGAATGTCTTGTATTTGCAGAGCATGCATGACACAGACCAGCCAGAGACGGGTCAGACGCTGCAGTTGTGATCATTGCTTTGTGTGTGTGTGTGTGTGTGTGTATTTTGTAGTTTAATTTAGTTCAACGTGCTGCTCCATGTGCGTGTTACAATGCAGCCACATGCATGCATATAGTTTACAATACACACTGGAAAAAGTGATCGATTATGAGGTAATAATTGCCTAGAATAAAGCAATTTGAGTACATTCTGACAGTATTAAAACAAGATTTGCCAAAGGGACAAAACCATTTAGCCTTTTTTCAAGAAGTGTTGCTTTATTTTCTCATTCAAAGGCAGACATTTTTTGTATCTTTTCAAAACAATATCATCTGTGTAAATCTTGTTTTAAGGCAGTCAAAATGGGATCAAATGAAGAGACATTTTGCCAAATTTGAGCAATTACTGACTCATTTTTCATCACTTTTTGCAGCTCACCAGGCAAAATGAATCAAGTTTGTTAATTCATAAACTGCAGTGGGGCATGCTCTTAGCTTGTCTTGTAATCTGATGATCACCAAAGACTAATGCTGTATTTCCTCTGTTTAGGCACACCACCCCTCCACAGAGATCCAGCCACAGAGATAAACATATGTATATATATGGTCTACAACCTGGTTGCGTTATGTGGAATTTCTTACCCAAATCCTCCATCGTGCGCTATCACAGCCTCCTTTTGCCGCACACCATTTATTAAGAAGTATTTCTGACGCCACACGGAGTCCTGGCACCGGGGCTATTGTCCGCGGCGGATCTACGAATAACTTCTGCCCCGTTATCCAGAGGGAGGAGGAGGAGTGAGAGGCGAAGGGCGTCCCATGGCTTTTTCTTTTTTTCCTACATCCCTCTTCCTGTTCTTCCTGTGTGCGTAAATGTGTAATGTGTGTAATGCCCAAGAGGGCTGGACGGGACCGGGGAAAGCGTAGTTAAATAAATGTGATGACAAACACACACTGGCCGCCGTGACGTCATGCCTGACATTCCTCGTCCATATTTGGGACGAAAGGAGACGGGGAGGTGTCGCCGCGCGCGCTCTGCAGAGGAGCAGCGAGGGAGGAGTGAGGAGTGAGGGAGGCTGAGGGCCCGTGTGTCTAGATGTAAACATGATCCTCCTGCGTGAGGGCATTGTCGCCTTGAATTGTCAAGTCTTTTCTTTGAACCATGCTTTCCTTGTCATTTACATAAAAGCCAATTCAACATTACTTTCTGTTTTCCCCCTCGTACGTTTTTGAAATAGTTTAAATCATTTTTGTGGGACCGATATCCAAATCAAACTGAAGCTGAGCCTCTGCAAGTATAATCAGATTATTAAGTAGCTATAAATGTAATTACTGTAGAAATATTTAGTGTTACCAAATAAAATTCAATTTAGATGGACTTTATTTACAAAAAGGACAGATAAAAATACTAAAACTAATCAAACAAAGACAGTTAAGTGACACATGGAGGTGCAGTGGAGACACAAACAATGGTGAAATATTTTATTACTTAATGGAAATCTAACGACTGAAAACTCCTAAAGGCTTTATGCAACAGATATCACAACCTCTGTTGTCCAAGAGGTACCTGCCTTTGGTCTCAGTGCATAAAATACCACAAATAACATAGAAATAAACCAAACAATGATAAAAGCTTGGCTGTGATGCTAACAAGACATTAGGCCTAATGTGACAGAACAGTACGATAACAGCCAGATCATTAAAGTAAACAGCAAAACTGTGTTGGACAAAAGTATGTTCATGCCGCTTGCTGACACTGGAGTCTTACCCATGCACATTAGATCAGAGCATTTTGACACTACCACCTTCACCTTTTCAAAAATATTAATAATAATAATTATAATAAACTCACGCACACATTCACTCTGCAATCTCAGAAAAAAAAAAGTATGACGTCGACAGGTTTACAGGCCGATGCCAAAGCTCAAAACGCAAATGTGGAAACCATAATGGGATTTTGTTAAAGCAAATCTGAGGCTTTTTGATGCATTTTGATAGAAAGGACTCTGGGGCCGAAACGAAAAGGTAACAGTGACAGACATAGTTACCCTTCGTTACCATAGCAACTCAATTACAATTTCCATGTCGTAACCTGTCCACTGGCGCACACACAAACAAAGCCCCTTCATGTGTCCCGTGGCGTCACTGCACCGCCTGCTCGTTGGCCGTGCTGCCGGAGTCCTGAGGCTTCATCACATCCGGGAGTTCAGGAGGAGAAGAGAAGGCCTCCACGTGCAGCGGCTCGAACATCTCGTCTGGGACACAGCACAGGCACAGACTTTAACATCATTTCTACTTGTTTTGAGAAAAAACATGGTGTGAACATTTACGTACTATTGACACGGAAGGCCAAACCCACGGTCCCTGGAGCCTGGGGTCTCGCTGTCTGGTTGGTAAAACCACAGTCTCCCAAGGTTTTACTGTCTTCTAACAACTGCTCATCCTGTAAAACAAAAACACATCAAACCTGGCTTCTACTGGAGTCATTATTGGTTTAAATGATCGTCATCAATACTGCACATTTCAGCGGACTCCGTGGAAGATTCAGTTTTTGGAATAAATATTTAAAAGGAACATAGCCATAAAAAATGAATTTGTTTCCAATTGGCTCAACAAAGTTCTTATATAAATAAATGGCACCACATTCTGAAGTTTTTGTGGAGAGATAATTTCATCTTTATTTACTTTAACAGAACAGTGATTACAGACTTATGAGCAATAAACCTGACACAAAGCACAACAGTACTTGCTCTATATTAAAATTCTAGAATCTTGTATTATTGCCACAGTCACAACTTTCCATTTTAGGAATCCAGAAATTGAATATATAACGTTCAATGCTTTTTCTTTTCTTTACACACAACGCTCAATTCTAAGTTCATACAATGCACATGTTGTGTTTAAAAATAATAATAATGCATCGGATTTATGTAGCGCTTTTTTGGGCACTCACATGTCATTATTCTTTCACTCCAAACACGATGGTGATAAACTACTACTGTAGCCACAGCTGCCCTGGGGCACACTGACAGAAGCGAGGCAACCAGTCTGTGCCATCGGCCCCTCTGACCACCACCAACCATTCACACACACACCACACTCATTCTAGGCAATGGGGGTGAAGTGTCTTGCCTAAGGACACAACAACAGTTTGGGACTTTACAGCCGCAGCCGCCCCACTGTGGCATCAGGTGTTCCCAGAGGTTAAGTGTCTTGCCAAGGACACAACAACAGCAGACAGTGGGAGTCGATGGTGAAAGTCTTTTCCACCACCTTCTGGCTCAAAGGCCAATGCTCGACCAACTGAGCTACTGTCGCCTGCATTTAGAGTTAGAAAAACAGGTTTAGTCAGGTTAAATGTATGTAATTTTTTTGCCATTAAGGGGAAATTTCAAGGCCAGGATTGCAAATAAATAAAGGTTTACAAATGCCATTTGTCCAACTCTAAACTTGTTGTTGACTCTACAAATACTAAAATCCAAATTTCTCCTCCACGGCCGGAGAAAATGCAAACCCTTGTTAATGAAAGTTATCCCCTTCGTGCGCTCCGCCGTGCTCTCAGCGCTCAGCTCCGACAAAAATATATAGCTCCTCTATTTTCTGTTGGGGAGGGTTGAGCCTGGGTCGACCCCCACTGGTCAGATTCCTCCAAAGAGTAAGAGACGAATATAGAAGAATATACTCATTTACAAAGTGAAATCAATCTGCGAGGCTTTATGTGGATCAGAATGTTTAGCTCCATTGTGTGGTTATAGTCACTGTCATATTCAGGACTGTTAACTTCACATCTCAAACAAGAAGAGCATTTTCCACACAGAATACTGGGACTGACAAAACTGACATGGTTAGAGGAGAGGCATTAAGACAGGGTTAATCTCCATACACAGGGTTTTTGGCCTTAAATGAGGATCTCTCTCTCTCTCTCTGCTTGAAAAGACAGTTTTTCAAATCCACTGCACATCTTTCAGTGAGTATGTCACACTCAGAACGGTGTAAACAAGCATGTGCTCAGTGTGCCACAGTTTCAGATACAATAATTAAATTAACTGATTAATCTAGGATATTAAAATGGAATCAAAGCTAATAAGATTCAATTATTCATGTCAGCCCTCGTCTACAGAACCCATCTATATACTACATATACTATATACCTACCTATATATACTATTATAGGTGCAGCAATACATTTTCATCGACCCACTGTATGCATCTAATAATGTATTAGTATTAATTAATCATGTTATTTATCCGAATAGTAAGAAGTGACTCCAGAATGCAGGCAATGTGGTGTACAACATTTACTGCCATTGTGTTCACTTTTGTTAAATCTAAAGCTTTTACAAGGTTACATTTGACAACATCAAAAATACATACCTTCAACAAAAAACAAAAAAAAACATAGGACTACCACGTCCATCATGTTTAGATCCAAGTGCACCAGAGTGAAGAATTACGAATGAACTCACTTTGTAGAGCTGTTGGTCTTCAGGGGATCTTTTAAGTATTCCCTCAACGATGCGTTTAAGGTCGTATACTGTTGTGGATTCCTTTGCGTCTGTGAAGATTGTTGTCTTGTGACGTCGGATCATTAAAAAAACATCCTATTAGAAAAAAAAGTGTTAAGAACGGCAGATGTATCCTACTAGTTTCCTAACATGAAAACAAACATACATTTCAGATACTTATATTTCAGTCTCTATAGGCGAACAAACTAATGATGTGTCTTACATTATAACCTAATACAAATAGAAAAGCTTGAGGTGGTTTTCACTATCCCAAACATCTAGAAGCAGTAATCTTGAAAATCAGAATAAATACAGCTTAAGTTAAAGAACAATGTGGTGAATACTGACAATAGTGCTCACCCTACATCACAACAATATGTTAGCCAAGATTAGCAACAGCGGCGCTTTGGTTACTGTTAGCCACATTAGCTATATTAGCATGAGCTAGCTAACTAAGAAAAGCTGAAAGGCATTCTCTGCTTTTCTGTGAGACATTACAACTATTGTATAACTTTCGGATGTTGTAACGAATGTATTTATGCATCAGATAAAGACAACACATAAAAGAAAACAGAATCGTTACCATTTCAAGTGATCTGCTAGCTACCCGGTTACGCCGGCCTTGTTGGGTTGCACCACAACCAGCGGAAATTACGCAAGGGTTGGAGTATCGCCATATTCACGAAACTAGATGCGTAACTTTACGTAATTTCCCAGAATTTGGCGGCAGCTGCACGGTTCGTGTCTAAAGTGCTTTGCAGCCAGGTTTGTTTTGGTTTTCTTAACAGCACTTTTCGACAGTTAAATGTTCTGTCACTTTACATGGAGACAGGTCTTTGTGGTGCTATAAGGAGTTTTTCTTGTGCTAACAGCTCAGTTAACACCATAGACTGTTAACACTTTGACGTTAGTGTTTAGCTCTGACGTGTGTTTCAGCTTCACACTCCCAGCGTTTGTTTTCCTTTGAGGATTTTCTAAACAGATAATTCTGCTGCTTATTATTGTACACCATAATTTGTTTAATATTTTTCGTCTAGTTAACTTCCAGTGCCAGATTTACCCTGAAGACAAGACATCGTGCTTGAAAGTGTACACACCCAGCAATATTGTGGAAACCCCGTATCTGTTGTGGTTGTGTGAAACCATATATTGTTAAATAAGTTTCTATTTTTACATTATAACATAATTGAGTCAGTCTGTGGAGATCAATGCAGTTCATGCTAGGCAACCCAGGAATTTACACGAACTGGGGAACTTTTTGCCTAGAATAATGACATTTATAATATCCAAAATTATGAATACATTAGTGTAGCGTATACAGGTTTATACATTTTATGGCTTTATATATTATATATATTATATATTATCTATAATCAAAAGTAGTAGTCGTTTACAATAGTTTTAGATTTTTGTTTTACAGTATAGAGTTTTACTATACTTAATATTCATTTATCTTGTGTTGTGTGCTCCTCGTTTCTATTGTTCTATTACTTGTGATGCAACACTGACATTTCCCCTCTGTGGGACGAATAACCTAAGTCTTAATCCAAACTATTGCTTAAGAAATCTTCCTGGGACTGTAACCGTACAACCAGATGCTGTATTTGATCTGCATTTGCATTGGCTTTGTATACATTGTTATATTTGATTTCTAACAATACTCTTCTTTCTGCAGTAAACCTTCACAAGGAGACGGGCCCTTGGAGGATGTCAGTTGCCGTGGAGGCTGCTGCGGCCAGATTGCCTCTCCCGTCTCACTTGTCTCTCGCTGAACCGTCCTTCTCCATCAAGAAACGGCGCTCTCCTTTCTCCTCCTCCACATCTAACTCAAGCCACTCCTCACCGTCTAGGCTGTCGCGGTCTATGCCCCCCCTACCGCCATGTAAAGGATGCCCCCCGTTAAGCAGGGTCTTTCCACATCAGCCATCTCCATTCACACCATTATCACAATCTCTGAATAAATCCCCCGCTCCCAGTTCTGTTTACAACCCTAATAAACAGCAGACCTATTTTAATCAATGCTTTACTAATTTGGGGTTGCTTGGAAGAGGCTCCTTTGGGGAAGTTTTCAAGGTGAGCACATACTTACTGCTGTTTTTTCACTTCTATTTGGGTATAATGACAGTTTGACTCGTGAATTGTTTTTGTATTGTAGGTGCAAAGTAACCAAGATGGCCACCGGTATGCAGTCAAACGTTCAGCTCATCGCTTCAGAGGCAACACTGACCGTGGCCGAAGTCTAAAAGAAGCGAGGAATCACGAAAACCTGTGTCCACATCCGCACATCCTCAACTTCGTAGCAGCCTGGGAGGAGTGTGGTCGGCTTTACATCCAGACAGAGCTGTGCAGCACCAGCTTGTTGCTCCATGCTGAGAACCAGCCCCCTGGCCCAGGTCAGAGAGGATCCCGAATGAAGAGCATGATGCATTATCCATTTTAAATCAAATTATCTTAGTATATTATGAAACTTCCGGGACTATAAGGCATACCTGTATACACCACCTAAATTCAATTTTTTTGTTTTAACATAACTTAATGACAAGGTGTTAATGGCGTGGTTTTGTAAAGTCCTCAGAGAAAACTACTGTGATTTAGGGCGATACAAGAATGAATAAAATTGACTTGAATAGCTTAACTTCTAATCCAGGACTCATTTACTTTTGTCTATTTTGACAATAAACTAAAACGTAATGGAGTCAAAATAATAAATCCATAAACTCTGCTCCTCCAAATCTACCACAATAAAAAACACATATTAGTCGCTGTACAAGCCGCAGGAGTCAAAGAAATGGAATCGCCTTATAGTCCGGAAATGGCCGTAAATGCTTGTCTTTTAATTAATGATGTTTTTCTCAGATGAAGCAGCAGCCTGGAACTACCTCTGTGACCTCCTGTCTGCACTGGAACACGTGCACTCTCTGGGATTTGTGCACTTGGACCTGAAGCCGGCGAACGTCCTCATCACCGAGTCTGGGCGTCTGAAGCTGGCCGACTTTGGACTCCTGTTTCAGTTCGATCAGAAGGATGGAGGAGAAACGTTTAAGGAAGATATTCAAGAAGGAGATCCCAGATACATGGCTCCAGAGCTGCTCCGAGGGGTGTATGGGCCGGCAGCAGATGTTTTCAGGTGCAGAATAGTGCCGCTTTTTTGTTAAAATGACACAGTGTGGATGATAACATTTTGTTTTCCTTTTAGTTTGGGTGTGACCATTCTGGAGCTGGCCTGCAACATCGAGGTTCCTAATGGAGGAGACAGTTGGCAACAGCTCAGAAAAGGCTGCCTTCCCACAGAATTTACCAACGGTATTTTTTCTCTTAACCCTTTAGTGGTTTTGGTAGATCACCTTTGAGTCCATATATTTATTAATATTATCGGCATGATTCAAATTGAAATATACCTCTTGGTTTTAGGCACTTTTACCATCAAACTGCATCTCAACCATTTGGTTAAAAAAAAATAGAGGTTAAAAAAAAGTGAAAACTAATTATTTGTGTTATTAGTGTGCAAGAGTTCATCTTGTCTGCTGAGTAGATTATTATGTGGTTCTTCTATAGCAGACCAGGTTAGCACTCGTTACTCAGCAAGAAGGTCCTGGGTTTGAATTCGGTCAGAACAGGGCTATTTTTCTGCTTAGGTTTCCTCCTGGTCCTCTACTACTAGAAACATGTACAATAGGTAATATTCTTCCAGCTCTGGTCTAGACCCAAGCCAAGCAACAAGATGTGACGTAAAAGTACTGAGAGAACCAAACTGCTTTGATAGCGAGGAACGAGTTTGATGGATTTTCTTGATGGATTGGATTGAAAGTTAGGCGCCCCAGCTTTAAATGAAACTATGCCATCATACATGTTTGTGTTTTCAGGTCTTTCTCCTGAGTTTCAGAGAGTCCTGCAGACGATGCTGGAACCTGACCCATCCAAGCGACCCACAGTCTCAGAACTCCTCTCGCTCCCATGTGTCAAAAAACAAATATGGAAAAGGCAAATCTACCTCACAGTCACAGAGGCCATTCTCGCACTTGCTTCCTTCTTTCAGGTATATCACATCGGTCATTCATATGTAAATGTAAATGATTATAGTACATTCTGTTTGTCCTTTGTCTCATAGAAGGCCACATGCTTTGGCTGGAGAGTCCTATTTTCTCTCCCATGGTCATTTGTTCCACAGTGGCCTCAGTCAGCTCCCTGCACTCCCCCAAAAAACAGCTGGGACAAAGACTTGACCCTCCCGCTCAGTGCCATGATGGCTGAGTCTGGAACACCTGAGGAGGGGGAGGAGTCTGTGTTTTTAGTGGATCAAACCGACCTAGATCTCTCCCCAACTTTCTCCCACAGGTCTGTCTTTTCAAAGTCATTGCACAGTCCTACAGTAAACGTCTGTGGTAATCTCACACGCATCTTGCATTCCCAGGTTAAAGTCGAGATTGTCTTTGGAGAGCACATCGACTCCTATCCACAACCAGCGAAACTCCACTCACACCCCCAACAGTTCTGTCGCGAGGGAATGGCCGTCGTGCAGCTTACCCCTGACTCCGAGCAGTATTAATTCACACGACTCCCGCCACGTCCTGACACCAAACGGCAGTCCTTTCCACGCGTCTGCCCTCAGCCGCCATTCCTCCGCCAGGTCCTCCGCCCGGTCCTCCAAACGAAGTGGCCGCGACTGGATCCTGGCCGACGAACCTGCCCCGAGACCAAACTTTGAGCCCAAGAACTTGCTGAGTCTGTTTGAGGAGACGGCCTCAGATGTGCTGCCTTAAGTCTGTGCCGCCTTAAGTCTGTGTGGTCGCGACTGGTGGTGAGTGGGGAAAATCTGTGTGATTGTTTACTATGGGCTGGAATGTTGGAATGTTTTGCCATGTGGTCGTTGACTTGAACTGAAGCTTTGAATTTTATTTGGGAAGTTCTTAATGAAAAAGGGAGAAATCTGTATGCACTTTTATGTTTGTGCAAATGCATCTATTGCTGGAATGACAAGTCATAATGTATTTTTCCAAGGGGGAGTTGTAGGTTATGGGTTTTTGTGAAAGACTAAATAATTTCAGCCGTCTTATTGTAAACTATTCTACAACATTTGCTTGATAGTTTTGCAAAATAACATTAAAGGCTGCCATAACTGTATTGTTATGAAATTGTGTGGTCGTCTGAATAAGGTCAGTGCAATTCATGTTCTCTGACAAAAGGTGGTGCCAGAGGATTTACGAACAGACTGGGTTAGAAAAATAACTGAAGAAATCATTTCCTGTTTTGATTGAGACTAGGAACTTTTTTTTTTTTTTTAAATGCAGAACTCATTAACATTATTTATTTTAGCTTACCGACATTTCAGGATCGGCTTTTCAAGGTCCTTGCCCTGGAGCCTATTGTATTTGGTATTATGGAGAACTGGAGCATCCGGAGGAAACCAGTTCTCCCTTGGCAAAAGTAATTGTTGCTGGGAGGGAAGAGTGTTCATACTATACTTGTTCCACCTGACAAATATTTCAAAGCCTGTGAACATAATCAACACAAAATAAAAGAAATACAAGAATTTAAGGATAACCTCAAACTTTACAACAATGGTTTAAAAAAAAAAAAAAAAAAAAAAAAAACTGACCCAACATATATTTATTTAAGTAATTTTAACTTATGTCTGGGCTCAAATCCTGATGTCTCTGCCTTAATATAGATAAAGGCAGATAATAATAATAAAATGATAACAAATATTGCACTTTGACTGATTATGTAATAAACCCAACACTGAGTACCCAAATAACTGATGAACAATAGACTGTACTGAAGACACAATTATTGACTTGAAACATGTTGTGTGTAAAACTCATCCCATTCTTCTTACAGTGTTTGTAACTCAAGATGAAGCATTGTGACATCATCATTGTGTTGCTCAACCATGAAATCTTTTGAATTGCGTTTTTCCTGTTCCCTCCCAGCGAGGGGTGATCAGACTTGTCGGCTCATTCATTCATTTGTGGCATTTGCAGCCCTTCAGGGTAAGCCTTTGTTATGTGTGTATATTTAATGTATGGTGTAGTGAATATAGTATAGCCAACACATCTGCCTGTATCTATATGTGTTTGTGTGTTTTATTGGTTTCAGATTTCTGGAGTTTTACGATGGAACGTGCCAAGTGTGTGTTTGTTGGAGACAGTGGGGTTGGAAAGTCGTGTTTACTTTCCACTTATGTAAGAAAGTCTTTTCCTGGAGAGTACCATCCAGACTTTTACAGCACTTACACTGTGGAAGTGAAGACTTGTGACCAGGCTGTTCAGTTCAATGTTTGTGACACGGCTGGTTCTGGAGATTATGAGCAATTTCGTCTTTTAATTTATCCTGAAACCAATGTTGTCGTGATTTGTTTCTCCATTTCTGACCCGTTATCTTACTGCAGTGTGACACAAACGTGGATTCCAGATGTTGACATGAACTGCCCAAAAGCTCCTGTTCTTTTGGTGGGAACTAAGTCTGACCTACGAGATGACAAGGATGTTTTACAGCAGCTCAAAGAGAAAGGTCTTTCCCCAATAACCCAACAACAAGGAAGTGCTTTGGCAAAACAGATCAGGGCTTGTGGATATTTTGAATGTGCCTCAAAACATCAAGAAGGATTAGAGGAGATTTTTCAACAGGCTGCGCTTGTATTTCTTCAAAGAAAAAAGAGAAAACCTTCAAAGAAACACTGTATTATTTTATAGCCTGTAAGAATGTGGTTAAAGCTTTGTATTGATTGTCTGAAGTGACAGAGATAAGTGTGTCCTTTCGACAATTTATTTGTTTTCAATTCTGGATCTTCTGAATGTCCCATGTTTGATGAATATGTGTTGCCCTTATCCCTTGTGTTTTTCAAGAAAAGGTTCTCCTGGTTGGCCACTTTCACCTACTCACTGCCAATGGGTTCTGTCATTTATATATATTTAGAGTTAACCACATTCATGGGGATTATTAGGGCAAAGGAAGGTTTATAGATCATTAGATTTGAATTGTTGTCTTTTAAAGTTTTTGTTATGGTTCTGGCCAAAATAAATATATTTTGTATCTTTAAAGCAGATACATGGCCTCACACCAAAGTACATCCGTAACATGTTAGTGTCATATGAACAAACTGGGAATTTGAGCAGCAGAGGGACTGGCCTCCTGCTGGTACCCAGAGTCAGGTCTAAACATGTGGGCAGTGTTTCAGATGAATGCTCCTAAAATCTGGAACAGTCTTCCTGAAAATGGCTTCTACTCTGACAATGTTCAAATCCAGCTTAAAAACAGTTCTGTTTTGTTCTATTCTAATGTGCTGTGATTTTTTTTTAAGTTTTAAATGCTTTGTGTGATTTCAATGTTTCTTTTACTGTTTTCTTTTACTGTTTTGTTAACACTTCTGTATGAGCTGTGCTATACAAATAAACCTACCTTGCCTATTATTGTTGTTGCCGGAAGTGTGCCCGGTGCCATTTCCGGGTTGCTAGTATCACGAGCAAAAACAAGTCCTTCGTTCATACGTTTCTAGAGGGAAGTTGGCATTAGGGAAGTTTTAATCACGGTGTGGTGTTTGGGGAAGACTGGGATGTGCCTCTGGGTCAACACCATTAGCTCTGTATGCTAACGCCTCGCGAGCGTCCAATGTCACAGGTAAACAGCGTTAGCTAGGTTAGCACTGCTGCTACATATGCTGTGGTTTAGGACACAAACGCGGTGTCATGGCCTTTTATTTCATATAGTAATATCTAATTGTGTGTTTCTGTTGTTTTGTATAACATTTTGAAACGTGTGACATGAATTAAAGCCTGTTGTGTATGTACTTTTGATCATTGTGGTGTCTGTGCTAACCGTGCAGGATGTCTAAACTGCAGCATCTGAATGACCGTGTGGCCAAGCTGCTCACACAAGCGGTCTATGAAGTTCTGGAGGCCGTGAAAGACACTGTATCCGAGTATCAAGAAAAAACTGCGAGAACCCAAAGGGAAAATGAGAGCCTCAAGCGGAGACTGCATGAGCTCAAGGAGGAGATTGCACAAGAGAGATGTGAGTATTATTAAGCTGTGATTCATTTTCCTGTCTCCTCTTGTGGTGAATGTGAAATGTCTGATTTATTTATTTTTATGTATTTTGTTTTACCCAGTGGGACTGACAACATCACACAGCATCGACCTCCCACAAAACAATATAGATAAGGTATGCGCTGTTACGACAATAAGCCAATGGGAGGCTCACAATATTGAGGCTGGAGAAGGATCAAATGGCCTCTGCGATTTTCCATCTCAATCTCCCGCAGAGGACTCTGGGTCGGGAGATAATGATGAGACCTCTATTGTTAAGGAAGAAGATATTAGTCACATACTTTCTGTGAACCAGGGAAATGCAAACCAAAGAGAACCTTCCCCTGTGGTTAAAATGAACACGCAGCCTGAGACTGAAGGACCAGTCACTCTCTCTATTGTCAAACAGGAGCCAGAATTTTATCAGCCTAAAGACCTTTCCTCTTGTGCGAATTCAACGTATAATTTTATTCAAGCATCTTCTGATCCATCTAGAGCAGAGGTTGTTTCTGAAATGCCTCGACCTGCCTTACCTTCCTATTCCAGTATTGCACTAACTAACGGGAACACACATGCAAAAAGAATCTCTTTTGATGTAGCCAAAGGCAGACAGGATTTTTTCCAATCCGATGAAATTCACCTGTGTATTGTTTGCGGGAAGACGTTTAGCCGCATGGGAAACTTGAGGATCCACCAGCGCTGTCACACCGGAGAAAAGCCGTATGGGTGTGTACAGTGTGGCCGTCGTTTCACTCAAGCGGGAGACTTGAAAAAACACAAGCGAGTTCACACGGGCGAGAAACCGTACTTCTGCACTCACTGCGGCAAATGTTTCAGTCGACGGGAAAACTTAAAACGACACCAGAGGATCCACATCGGAGAGACGCTAAGATTACAGCAAGTATGGCGGGCGCAATCCATGTAATCAAGTACTATAAGGAGGAGACTTTTACATTATTATTCTATGTATATTTTCCCTCATTGTATCAACCCAAACTCGACAATATTATATAACGCATTCTTGTGTGTGAATTTTAACCTACCTTAAAATAATCTATCCATATTTCAAACGCTACTATTTCAGCTTTTTACCAGTGATATTTATAACTGAGGTACATCACTGCCTCTTGTTTTCTTCTGCTTCTTGTCCCTCCATTATGAGGACAACTGCCCCCCACACAACGCCCATTTGTGCACATATTGTATAGAAATGAGCATTGAATTATAATGTTGTTAAACTTATAGGAACTGTATGGAAGAATGTTGGCCTATTTTAAATAGTTTACCTATTTATCTTTTATCTGGGTCTTGAGTTGTGGTCTTTTCTGATCAATGTTTTGATTGAGAAATTGTTTGTTTCTTAGGTTGACAATCTCAATAAGAAAACCGAACGGTTGCCAGTTTCAATAGGTAAATGTAATTTGCTCTGGAGGTCTGTGATTGTGTCTCAGCCAAGACAAGTTTTATTTTATGAATCACAGCAAAAAGCCACACGACCAGAGCTTTCACTGAGTTTTATGTCTAAATACAAAAGCTCCCCACAGCAGCTGCCTGTTAAGTTTGCTTCGTCCCTTGTGCTACCCATGGGTCAAATTGAACTATCACAGATGATTCAAAGTAGAATAAAAATACCCTAAATTAATAATGCATTTGTTTTATATTGCGCCTTTTTGGACACTCAAAGACACTTCACATGTCATTATTCATTCACTCCATACACGGTGGTGATAAAGTACTACTGTAGCCACAGCTGCCCTGGGGCACACTGACAGAAGCGAGACAACCAGTCTGTGCCATCAGCCCCTCCGACCACCACCACCAACCATTCACACACACACGCACACACCAGACTCATTCTAGGCAATGGGGGTGAATTGTCTTGCCTAAGGACACAACGGCAGTTTGGCACTTTACTGCCGTAGCCGCTTTACTGGGGTACCTGCTGTTCCCAGAGGTTAAGTGTCTTGCTCAAAGGCCAATGCTCTACCAACTGAGCTACTGCCGCCCTGAAAAATAAATCAACATATAATAGGCTCTAAATGATCCAGGGCTGGTCAAGTTATAAGTCATCAAAATTCAGCTTGAAAAATAGCATTTAGGGTATTTATTAATCACTGTGGTGGGTCAATTTAACCCAAGGGTAGCACAAAACAGCAAGTGTAAGAGAAGTGGTAATGACAGGCTAAGTTTTAACATCAATGCGCAAAACGTCTTATCCATATGGTGGAATCCAGTGAGTTTGATCACTGCCTTTAGGGAAAATGATGCGTCAATACCCAGACAGCAGCACCAGCAGTAGGATTGTATTTGCAGACACTGGTGACACATGACTGTATTTTTAGGCTTTTTCAGAATCAGAATAAACTTCATACGGCCTCTTTAACTGTACAAGTTAAGTTTTTTCATCTTGGTGATTAGGTGCCAACATATCTGGTAAAGAATGTGCTAAAGCTTATTTTTCTTTGTACTGCTTTATTTATAAGTGTTGTAATTTAAATTCATTCAAATTGAGCTATATTAAAAAACATGAGTGAGTATATGTTGATTTATTATTGTTTGCATATAATGTGAATAAACTGTCTGCACTGCTCTGAGATGAGACCAACCTCATTTCCACATCTGCTGTTAATCGATTTGAATTGATTGGTAGGTAATGTTAGGTAAGGCAAGTTTATTTGTATAGGACAGTTTATGCACAAGGGATTAAAATCATGAATAATCACAGTATTAGAAAATAGTAAAAATACAATTGTAGATTGTCAGAGAAGAAGCCTGTCTCACATTTTCAAGAAGAGAGTTCCAGATTTTTGCAGCATAATTGTGAAATGCTCCCAATGATAAGTTCTGACTCTGGGCACCATCAGGAGGCCAGTCCCTGTGCTCTTCAGAGTCCCAGCAGGAGATCAGTCCCTGTGCTCCTCCGAGTCCCAGCAGGAAACCAGTCCCTGTGCTCCTCAGAGTCCCAGTCGGTTCATACAGCACCAATATGTCACAGATGTACTTTGGTGTGAGGCCAGTTATTATTACAGATCCATGGAGGCCATAGAGAGACACGAGCAGAACTCCTTTAAAGTTTGTTAAAAAAATAAATAAAAAAAATCAGAAATACACACAATCAAAAGCGGCACATTTAAATGGAAAAGTAAATGATACACTTGTTATAAAAGCATAAATAATTAGCTTTAGCAGACAGCTCAGGAGCTACGTGCAGCCCTCACCTCAAACCAGGAAGTGTTTCTGCACGCGCACTGTCCACACACGACGCTGACAACAAGGTGAGTTATCTGCTCAACCCATGGCGTAACTACATCCTCAAACTATCTTCCCCATGAAAAAACAAACTGAAAGCTGACATATTAACCAAAACGGGGAACTTTCAGCTCAGTAGCCACGTTTACAGAGTTCTTTCTAAAACATCTGCGTGGACTATGTCGCGCTGAAAACATAGAAAGGAGCGTTTCATTTATGACACGGCTCTTTCTGACGCACTGAGAATCTATGTTGTCAAATCCCAACAAATGCACATGTTTTGTTGATCAATGCTTTGAATAGATCTGTTTTGTTATAGACGCAAAGGAGGAAGTGCGCGAGGTGGAAGTGCGCGGTGTTGAAATGAAGATTGATGAAAAGGTTATATGTTATTATGAATCCAGTGACTCACCAGTGGACAAGGAAGGCTACCTGTACAAGAAGGTATCTCTAAGACAGACTACATCTACTGTCTACAGATTATTGTTTATACTTCATGTTACACCATTAAGACGTCATAACAACCTGCACTGTTATTAAAAACTAAAAATTAAAAACACAACAGTAATACTTACGTAATAATAGTATTCAGAGACACACCTCCAGTCTATGGTCCATACTTGTTCTTCTGTTTCATCTGTTGCCGGATTGTGGAGGCAGTACTCTTTACCCTTGTGCTATCCTCAATCAAATTCGCCTCATTAGAATACTGAATTTTGATCATTTCTCCTAACTTGACCAGCCCTGGATAATTTAGATCCTTTTAGGCGATTTTTCTTCTACTTTCATTATCACTCTGGCAGTTCACAATTCCTGAAGATATTACAAGGATTAAAAAGAGACCCAGACGTCCCTCTCCACACACACTTCTTCCAACTCATTTAGAGAATCCTGAGGAGATCCCAGGCCAGCTGAGAGATGTGTCTTCATCATTAGCCTGATCAGTTTGATTCAATTCAATTTATTTGTGTATAGCCTTAAAGTTGTCTCAGAGGACCTTACAGAGTAATCAATTCACCAACAACAGATCAGAGAATCACTTAGTTTGAACACAGGAAATTCTATTATAATAACCCCTGATGCCCATGTTTAGAGAGGGATCTGCTCCCATGAACAAACAAGCTGTAGATCCAGGACTGAGGCTGTAGATCCAGGACTGAGTCGGAGAGGAGTGCTTTCACTATATTTAAAGTAAAGTATTCATTAAAGTATCTCAATATGTAGCTTGACTGAGTAAGTTATATCTATTTTTTTTTCTTATGTTTAATTATCCCTGTACGACTGAGAGCTAACACATACTAATGGTTGTATTTTTAGCGGTTATTTGTATACACCAAAAGTCATTGTTGGTTTCGGCCCATAATATAAAAATTTGGTCTACATTATAACACCACCAATTAGAATCTGTTTATTTACAATTAAAACCACATTTGAGTAATTACCAAAATGCTTTAAAGAACTTTTAACACCAGACATCAATTCAATTCAATTTTGAAAACAACAGTCACTCACTCATTCCAGCCATATTGAACATGATTTAATGGTAGGGCAAACCGGAGTAAACCTATGCAAACGTGCTGCCAAAAGTACATTAAAAGTACTCGAGAAACCACACGCACCCACACCCCTGAAGCAACAGTACTAGCTTCTTCTTTTGCAACACATCAGGCCTAAAATGACTCAACAGGCGACACAACTGTCTCACAGGGAGAAATAAAGACCTCCTATCAGAAGCGCTGGTTTGTCCTGAAGGGAAACCTCCTCTTCTACAAGGACAAGCCGCTGGACCGGGACCTGATCGGGGTCATAGTTCTGGAGGGCTGCACGGTCCAGCTGTGTGAGTCCGACGAGCAGTTTGCCTTCTCTCTGCTGTGGAGTGAACCAGGACTGAGGACCTACAAGCTCGCGGCTGAGGACCAGGAGAGTCTGGAGGACTGGATCAAGGCCCTGCTCTCGGCCAATCACTGCTACCTGGCCATTGTGCTCAGCGACATGGAGAGAGCCTACAGAGGTGAGAGCCAGGGTACACAGGAGAGAGGCGGCTGTGTTCTGTTGCAGGCAGCTGTGGCAGGCATTAGGCCATATCAGCTGTATGTGACATCTCTATACAGGTGCTTACATCTCTGTACAGGTGCTACTTTTGCTATACAGGTGCTGACTCTTGTCAATGGGACTTTCCTGGATAGATAAAGGTAAAACACAAACATAAAATACAGATGCTAACATTGCTATACAGATGCTAATATTGCTATACAGGTGCTAACACTCATTGCATGGTTTCTACTGGTGCTGTTCTCTGGTTTATACTGTTGCTGTGGAGAGGAAACAGATGGAAGACAATGACCTGCTGTAGTTTATTAACTGAACACAAATACAGTAGTTAGTTTTACAACATTATGAAACTGAAGCAGTTGTTTCCATTATCATAATGTACTTTGTCCAAACTCTTTTCAAATGGTAACCTGCTGTTTGTCTTTTGTCGTTGATAAATAAATAATGACGTTTGCTAATTAATGATACTGTTTCTTCCCGACTGTTGGGAGAATAAAGATTCTCTTGAACAGACTCCAGTTCTGATTCTGAACAACTCATTTATTAATCAAAAGATTATTTGCAAATGAATCAGTTTAATTAGAATTAAACATTAGTTACCCCACTTTGCCTGAAGTCCCTGCTGAAAGATCAAGGCCATATCTGCATTAAAGAAGCCATCATCCTGTGGACCCACCCCCTGCAGGAGGATCAGCCAGGGACTGGTGCTTTGTGAAGTGGGTGGCAGCTCTGATTGCCACCTCCCTGACCCAGAATGGATCTTAAAGGGATGAAAATGACATGAAATTAGTAAAAGACTCATGATATTCTTGTAATGTGTGAAGTCTTTGAATAAAAGTTATTTTAGTACAATTGACCTGATCATATGTTTGTGTGTGTTTCCCAGAAGCCCTCGGAGCAGCCTCCAGTGAGACCAAGTCCAACCCTTTCATTATGCCACAGTTCCCTGTAGCAGCCAGACAGACTCTGCCCCTGAGCACCTCCACCTTGCACCGACCAGCACCGTCAGCACCAGGACAAAGCTCTGGGTCAATGCTTCAACCGTCTGCAGTCGCTCCAACCAAAGCCACGCTCAGGAAATCACCCAAACTGCGACCCAAGAAAGCGGCCAACACTCTGAGCACGCAGGCGACCGCCACCTTCTTTGCAGACCTGGCTGGACTCACGCTCGAGTCACAGGAGGACTTTAGAAAAATGCACGAGGAATTTGGAAAGGAAATCAAAAAGCTCATTTCACTCTGGGCTAAGAGAAGGCCTGATGGTCAGGAGGACTTGATAGACTTTGACTGATAATGTAGTGGAACAAAAAAAAAACTTCTAAATACTTTACCAAAAGTAAAGGTTAGAATTTCTTTGTATAGTTTATGTAATTACAGTTTGTGACGATGCTGAAGGCCAAGTCTGTGCATCTAAACACATGATACACTTTTTTATTATTAATGTTGTATGTACTTCACACTTGGATGTCTCTATGTATACTTTTATATACATAAATAAATGTACATAGACCTGGATGTTTACATTACTTTCTTGTTGCCATTGAGTGGAAGAGAAAAGCGGAGCAAAGCTATTTCAGTCTTTTCAGCTGTCTTGTTTTTATGGTCTTTAGCACAGTCTTCCTCTTTTCTTTTCAAACTCTCACACTTTTGCATTCTCTTGCTCATGAATGACCATTTGAACACATTACTGACTGTGTCTCTACATATAGTCTTCACACACGGTTCTTCACAGAGAAGAGCGAGACGGGAACGCTCTATACTGCACCTGACACACGTACAGCAGCTTCATGATTGATAGCAGCCCATGGAGCACATATATGGGGGTCAGTGGGTGGGCTTTCAGCTATACTGGGACCTTCAGGAGCAACCAAAATTAGTGCATTCACTGGAAAACTTGCACATTCTGCCTATTGGTATATGTTTCTTTTGGTAACCGATGTGTAAATGATGCATCGGTTATACTAAAACACTAATAATAACATCAGAAATTGACGCTAGGCCTTAGATATAGCCACAAAACATAATCAGAATATCCCGTGTCAGTGCAGTGTATCTTCTGCCCATCTTTTTACACCGTTTATTTAGTGAATCATGTTTGCATATAAAATTAACCGGTGTGGGATGGCAATGTTGTTCTTGATAACCCCCTCACAGGCTGTAGTAAGATTATTAGGGTTCCAAAGTAGTTTCACGTTACTGGACCTGAACCAAATTGGCTCCTTTGGTGGTTTTCGAGTCGCATATTTGTTTATACAGCCCTCTGGCACTACCGCCTTTACTTTCAGAGCGTATCATTAATCAGGTGTTGATCTGAAGAAATGTTAACGGTGTGTATTAATGTCACCTCCGCTTGTAGTAGAATATTAAAATAAAGTATCTGGCACAGTGAAACATAAACACGAGACTGCTTTTAGTCCGTGTGCTCATAAACAGCTGACTTGTGCGTATGGATTTAACTCTTAATGATTGTAGTCATTAAGAATCTGGAGGGACACACTAAATGAGGTCTCTTGGAAGCATTCAGTTGTATGATTCCTTTGCCATATTAGTCCACAGATGACTCCAAAGTCACCCAGTTACTGTTGGCATTGAATTCACCTCATTCCAAGACTTGTGCGGCCTATTTTGGCTCCATGTGAAAGGTGATCTGTACCCGCCACCTCCTCACTCCACCCTCTTTTGACTTGCTTCCCCCAGCTCTTGTTTTCCTGCCAAACCTGATGCTGCAGCTATAGTTAGTCCCCATGGGCTGGTATATAAGGCCCCAAGGGTACCCTTCGCACATGTCAGTCACATCGGCTTGGCGTAGGCTTCTCTTCTTGACCAACAACCCCAGAAACTTGAGAGATGGTGAGTGTGTGTGTGGTGGTGGCCGCAGGCTGTGGATGTGAGAAGTCTCTCTGGAATCAGGAATCAGGACATCCAAGGAACTCATCTTTGGAGGCTTGATGGTGTTTGGACTGGGGGAAGAAAATGAAAAGTATCTGAAACCAAACCATGACATAGAGACAATTCCATCTTGTGGCCTTGGTGTAGTCACCGGTCACAACATTACACTTAAATATGTCAGTCCAAGAATCAATGCTAAAGTCTGTGTGTGTGTGTGTGTATGGTGAGTGTGTGACTGCTGTTTGAACCTGGCCTTTGTCAGGTTGGTTGTTGGTTGTCAGGTGGCCATACTTGTCACACGTCCTTTTAATTGTCATAATATTTGTACTTATTGTGAATGCATAGGTTTCATTTGTGATTTTTTTTCCATTTTGTGTGTTTTTTCAGGCACCCAAGAAGGCAAAGAGGAGGCAGCAGCAGGGTGAGGGTGGATCCTCCAATGTGTTCTCCATGTTTGAGCAGAGCCAGATTCAGGAGTACAAGGAGGTAAAAATGCTTTAGTTTTGACATAGGGTCTAACGTGTCAAAACATGTGTAGATCATATAACTTACACGCTGTAATATCTGATCTAGTGATGGCAAAAATCCCTTTGAGCTAAGTTTGTGCCAGGAGCTTGTCCTGATCTTCTCTTCCTTAGAGACTGTCGCCTTCTCTCAATGGTGACCCGATAGGAATGTTTCCCAACAGCTGGGGTGCTCTTACATCAATCAGAACAGGAAAGACAGTCTTAAAGCACCAGAACAATGACTTCATTTAAATTCATAAGTACAACAGGTGTGAGGTCAAATGAGAAAACACAGATTTATCCTGAACTTCTAAAGGCAGGATTTTGGGTTATGGAAAAATAACAGACTTCAATATTACCGGATGGGAGCCTAGATAATTGCATTAGCCAATTAGAGGTCATTAGAAGAACGTTACTGCCCCCATAAAGCTGCTTCGGTCACATGTCAAGAAAGGGGAAGGGGGTGACAGCTGTAATCGATGCGGTCGCCTTAAATGTCGCACAGGGCTCGTCTCAGATTCCGAGACCATTTTAACACCTTACAAAGACAAGTGAGCGACCAGCTGCCAAGCCCCAAAAGGTTTGCTGTGCCATCTTTAGTTTCGCTGCCAGCTATGTGCAAAGAGGAGGGGAAAAGAGGTTCACATTTACACATCTATCAACTCACCAAAATAATTATCTTAGGAAAGTCCAGCGTGCAAACATCTCAATTAGCAGCAACTTCGAGTCATAGCTCCAGGCGGATTGTCCATTTCTCACTTCTACTTCTCTGTCTTTTGTGCAGGCTTTCACAATCATTGACCAGAACAGAGATGGCATCATCAGCAAGGACGATCTCAGGGACGTGCTGGCCACCATGGGACAGTTGAACGTGAAGAATGAGGAGCTGGAGGCCATGGTGAAGGAGGCTAGCGGCCCCATCAACTTCACCGTCTTCCTGACCATGTTCGGCGAGAAGCTGAAGGGTAAATCCAACACGCCGCAAATGTACAGTTGTTTTTCATTTTCAGTTTGGAACTAAGTGAAATGTTTTGGTCCTCAGGTGCTGATCCCGAGGACGTTATCGTGAGCGCTTTCAAGGTCCTGGACCCTGAGGCCACAGGCTTCATCAAGAAGGAATTGTAAGACTTCTTCATTTTCTTTTTTTTTCAACTTTTTTTTTTTTTTTTTGTACATGAATAGACAAACAGCATTCAGTTATGTAGACCATAGATGAAAACACAATTCAAAAGTAAAATACATAAAAACATATAAAATAGACCCACAGGCACACATCTATCTGCATATTTCATCTACTAACTCCACAACAACAGAAAAAATCATAATCATACACCTTTTCATTGCTGCGTGCCTTAGATTCTTATGAAAGACTGTGTATATGTGCATAAACCTTATACTTAGATTATCAGTGAATAACTTCCCATTTTGATGTATTGATTTATGTGTGTTATTTCTCTCCAGGCTTGATGAGCTCCTGACCACCCAGTGCGACAGGTTCACCCCCGAGGAGGTAAAAGCCCATTCTCCCTGACTTCATATCGTTCAGTTTGTTTGATTGAAAACTTAATCCTTACTTTATGTTCCTGTCCAGATGACCAACCTGTGGGCCGCTTTCCCCCCGGATGTGGCTGGCAACGTGGACTACAAGAACATCTGCTACGTCATCACTCACGGAGAGGAGAAGGAGGAAGAGTAAATACCTCTCTCTGCCTGCGTCCGAACCTACACTGGCCTCTCGATCACCCATCTACCACTACTCTCTCCTCTTCGCTCCAAAGAACGCCGTGGCTGCCTCGCACACTCGCACCTCCGCAGCCCCACTCTTTCCACGTTCCCAGCTCACTACAGAAAGGACTTGTCTGTGCCATGGAGACAGTGAGAGGACTGAGAAAGGCTGGGGGTGGTGTCTGTGTGTGAGTACCAATAGGGGAAAAAAAAACATGGGATTATTTTTTTTAATAAAATAGTCTTGTGGCACTGAAACTCTCTCGCTATCTCTTTCCCTGATTCTTGTCGCTCCTCTTTCTAATTCTGCTCAGGCGGGTAGGGGAGAACAGTGCATGCCACATACCTACAATAGTATTTATATATTTTGTATGCATATCAGTTGGTGTGTGCACAGCGGCCAGACCCTCATGCACAGACGCTCGCTTGAAACAAGTGAGAGGTCTGACTTACACAGTCTGTTAGTCTCAACCTCACCAGCAGGGTGGATATTGGAGTTTTGTTATGTTTTTGTACTGATAGTTGAATATATGATCGTGCGCACAGTAAAAAAGATGGGGTACTGTACTAAAATAGACTTCTACCCCATCTCTTTTAATGTCCACGGATGTCCCTACAGAGGAAGGCAAAAGGAGGAAAACATGATGTGAATTTGTGTACGTGAAAGAGATGGTGAAAGATGGTGAGGAGGAGGAAGGACGTGAGAACGAAGCAAAAGTAAAAGGTCTTTGTTTTGGTTCTCTCCTTCCTCCGCCTGGCCTCAGTTTCTCTCCTGTCGATGTGACTGTCTGTGACTACACTGTAACAATAAAGAACGTAAAAATAAAAAACACTATCTTTTCGTAAAATGCTGTGTCTGCTGGTCTGAGTGGGACTCGGGGAGCTCAGGGCTTGGCTGAGGCTCTGATTTTCTCCTCCTAAAGTATCTATATGTACCACACTCTGACTGGTATATGCATTATGTGGTATCTGGGAAACTGATCAGCTCCATCCATTTCCATCTTTGATTAAATTCACATTATAACAAGGTTGTGATAATGTGATGAATAATAGTACATAGATTATATTAAAGATACCGCCCTTTCACATCAGCACATTCAGCAGATATTGAATGACATAAATGTTGACCTTTAAAGGCCAAAAACAGATCCCCAACTAAAAAGGCAAAGAGCCAAAATAACTCACACCATATAAGGACACGTAATAAAATAGAATTTCAAATATTTCCGGTGTTTAATTATATGTGACATGTCGCACTGACCCAACGTAGGTGCTAATTTAAGTCTATGGTACTAATAGAGAATGGTTAGATCTGTGTTTCCCAAAGTGAGGTTTGATGCACTTCAGAGGGGCCCCCAAATGCTAGCAATTGAGACTGAAATCAATCCTAGAAATAATTGGTTAAAATGACTAAAGATTGAACTCATACCACTTTTTATGAATAAATATATATGCATTTTTTAATATTTTTATTTAAGCTGTAATCAATTAATCACAACTAATCGATTTTTGAAACAGGTGTCAACTAATTTTGCAATGGATTAATTGTTTTTGAAATTTATATATAGTTAAACATGCTGAGAAGAGGTTTTAGGAAATCTTAATTTTAGCATTGTAAAGTTTTATTTTTTAGATATGTTCCAAAACAAGCGACTATCTGTACCAGAAATAAAGCCAGAGATAAAAATATCGAGCTAAAAATTTCAAAATAAGAGCATTGTATTAACCCACACAGAGACATTCTCAGATAATAAAGCCTGTCTTGGTTATGGATCCGCCTGTATTTGGTAATTATTTATTAAATGTATTATAATTCGGTTACTTATTACAAATATATCAACAGCTGCGGTCGTGACAGGAAGTGACGTTTAGTGTGAAACTTGACCCCGATCCGACAGAAAGCAGGCGGTGCTGAACCTGTTTGACCGTCCTGTCCCCGCACTCTCCCCGGGCTTACTGCCTCCTCTGCGGCTGGGGGGTCGTCATGAGTCCCGCTGTGCCTCGCTGAGTTCCGCAGCTGTCCACCGGGACCAGAGACACCGGGAAGACCGCCATGGGCCTCCCGCGTCCCCCCTGCACATCTGTCAGACTGGCCGCCGCTGTGGCTCTGCTGGCGGCGGCTCTGGTCCGTCCTGTGGAGCCCTCTCAGGGGGACAAGGAGCCTGTGTACCGGGACTGTGTCAAGCAGTGTGTCCGCGTCAACTGCACTGGAGTCCGGCTGAAGGGGTTCGAGTCCGCCCAGCCCCCGTACATGGCTCTCACAGGTGGGAGAGTGCTGCTAATGCTAGCTCTGGATCATGTTATTACACTGTTGTAGCTTTCACTGGTGCAAACTTTTAGAGACGAATGTGAGAGAAACAGATTGAACACGGAGAGAACAGGACACAGCAGCTCCAGTGAAAACTGGTCAAACTGGAACTGAATGAATGAATATCATATTATTCCATACCAAACTGGAACATTCCTGACATGACACTGTTACACATGTTCATGAGCCCAGCTGCTGATGGATCAAAGCTCTACTCTGCTTCTTCATCACTTTCATACCAGGCTGTGACTCCATGATAGAGAAACCATAGGTTTGTGATAAGATAACCTTAAACCCATGGTCCTCCACCAGTCAACTCTACATGCATCTGTAACATGCAGTAACAGTAGTTAAAACTACCATAATATCAACTCTGAATCTAACATAGAGGTAACAGTGGCACTGTTTTATTATCCAGTTTTTCAAGTTGCTGTAAGGTGTAGATTCATCTGTGAATCCTCATTCATTGGAACAGGTCATTGGTGATATTATCTTGAAGATAATATCTTCACAAATCCAGTATGTGCTCTTGGTCTCAGGTTGGACATGTCGTGATGACTGTCGCTACCAGTGCATGTGGACCACCGTGGGCCTGTACCAAGCAGGGGGCTACAGGGTTCCTCAGTTCCATGGCAAGGTTGGTGCTCCTGCCTCGTTGGATTCTATAGTTTCTGTTTCATGAAATTACATCACTGTTGTGTTCTCAGTGGCCGTTCGCTCGCTTTTTGTGCTTCGAGGAGCCCGCCTCGGCCCTGGCGTCTCTGCTGAATGGCCTGGCGTGTCTCCTCATGCTCCTGCGCTATCGCAGCAGTGTGCCCCGACACAGCCCCATGTACCACACCATCAACGCCTTCTCTCTGGTGCGCAGGACTAACAAGTGCAATAACCCTGCTGTAAGCTGATAGTAACATCCACATTCTGTCTTCTAGGTTTCTCTTAACGCCTGGTTCTGGTCCACAATATTCCACACGCGGGACACATATCTTACTGAGGTACAGAGGAGGCTAATTAAAATGCATATTGTATTATTATTATTATTATTATTATAAACAATATTATTCATTTATTTTCAGAAAATGGATTATTTTTGTGCCACAGCTGTTATTCTCTACTCAATCTACTTATGCTGTGTCAGGTGACTTATATATATATTATATATGTTTTACTCTTTATAGTATAACTGTTTCTAATAGACTTGTTTTCTGCAGAACACTGGGTCTGAAGAGACCAGGAGTGTCCAGCATGGTGGGCGTCCTGCTCATCCTGGTCTTCACATCACATGTCTCCTACTTGACCTTTGTCAGTTTTGACTATGGCTACAACATGTTGGCCAATGTTACTATTGGTAATAAACTATTTCTGAGGATGTGTGTTGCTTCCTAGTAGCTAACTCGTGTCTGCTCTCTGCAGGAATGGCCAACCTGCTGTGGTGGCTGTGCTGGTGCTGGCAGAACCGCAGGACGCTGCCGTACTGGTGGAAGTGTGGCGCGGTTGTCCTGCTCCTCCATGGGCTGGCGCTGCTGGAGCTGCTGGACTTCCCTCCTCTGCTCTGGGTTTTTGATGCCCACGCAGTCTGGCACCTGAGCACCATTCCTGTCCACGTCCTGTTCTACAGGTTTGTCCTCGGTTCAACATCTGACAAAAAACACTGATGTGATTTTAACTGTGACCTACGATGTATTCTCAGCTTCCTGATCGACGACAGCCTCTTCCTGTTAAACACAGAGAAGTTGGGGGTCAAAGTGGAGTAGAAGGAGTACCCCCCTTCCTCATCACGTCTTAACATCTCTCCACTCTGGGGCGTGGGACAGGCCCAGCGCTCCAGGGGACATGTCTCTGCTCTGTGACTTCCACTGGAGGAGACACTGTTTACATAACCCGCTGATTGACCTCCAACTGATGTGTCTGCCCCTCTTTGAAACCATCATCTTTTCACAACAGTCCACTGAAAAACAAACATTAGCAGTTCACTGTAGCTGACAATAGAGGGCGCCAGATCCACACGGTTCTCACCACCAGCCGGATGGAGGGGGCTGTGATCCTGGCCCCAGCGGAGAGGTGCCCTGCAGGAGAGGGGCCACGGACTGTTCCAGACATCAGGGTTCAATGGTTTATGTTCGGAGGCGTTTCCAGCTGACTACGATGATTCTCTTTTCACTATCGCGCCTTTATTTTTTTGCCTGCGTTGTTTCCACTGCTGCTTTGTTTTGTTTTCCTCGTCATCGTTCTTTTTTTATTTTGTTCAACTTTTATCCATTGCCTTACTTCATTTTTGCACAATTTTTGCTTTGATTACAATCTGATTTCACTTGAAGGTACTGTAAAAGAGTTTATGATTCACCCAGATTGCCTTAGAATCGAAAGAGAGACAAGAGTTTTACATTTTTGCATTTGGAGCCCCATCACAGCACTGCAAAAAATGATCAAACATGAAGAAATAATTGCTTGAATCAAGTGTTTTTATCTTAATGTGAGTTAATTCTGACTGTCGTAAAACAATGGGACAAAGCCATTTGGTCTCATTTCAATAACTTGCTTTATTTTCTAATTTCTTGTATCATTTTGCTTGTTCTATTGGCAAATCTTGTTTTAAGGCAGTCAAAATGTGCTCAAATAAAGATACAATTAGCCAAATTTTAGCATTTTTTACTTATTTTTCATTACTTTTTGCAGTGCGGTGACCTCTTCTGCTCTTTTTCCTCACAAAACTTCCTCCTAAATGATTCCTAAACGCTTCTTCATGGTCTTACACCCTCGACTTTGCCTTTTGATATACATTTATTTTCTTTTTAAGCTTCGTCCTGCATGCTATCACTTTACTCTGGCACCCGCGCACAGATTTGAGCGTGTTGTTTCCTCAGAGGTGGATTCTGAATGTGCACTTTATGTCTGTACGCCTTGTACGTCACGGTGAGGATGTGAACCAGAGTGGTGGTGGTGGTGGTGGTTTTACGCGTGATGTGTTTGTGACAGCTCACAGCAGAGAAGGGTCGGGGGGAGACTGTGGGGGACGAGAAAGTAGCTTCGAGTTTGGGTCAAAAAGATATAATATTGAAAATGATTTAAACTGTCTATACACTGCAAACAATGATAGAATATGAGGTAATAATGGCTCGAAAAGTGAATTGTTGTCATTTCAAGAGAGACATTTCTTGTATATTTTTAAAACAAGATCATTTATCAAATATTAGCGATTTTTGACTTATTTTTCCATCACTTTTTGCAGTGTTGGTTAAGCTCTGGTACCTAACTTCCACATTTCCATAAAGAATCTGTGTTTATTCCAACAGAAATAGTCGACAAAGTAAAAATGTTTTTGACAAATCAGACCACCACATGCTATCTTCATGATGTATGTTATTAGAAAACATGTGAACTTTTGTGTATGTGTAAGAGAGAACCCCATGAGTCACTATTTGACTCTTCAGGCTGATTAGCTGAGTCGGCGTGATCCTCTCTTATTCACTTTTCTGAGCTAAAGATGTGACAGAGGCCAAAAATACATGTATGTGAAAACGAGCCGGTTCTGCTGTACTTGTTTGTATTACCTCAGATACATTGAAAAGTTAGGTACCCGAGCTTTAATAACGACTATTACAACAGTTATGACTCCACCTCGGATGTGCTGCCCCCTGCCTGCTCCCCTGCGCACCTCCCTCACATAAAACCTGACCAAAAACATGAAAAATATCCAAACAATAAACGTGACTTTTGCAGATGACGATGCGACTCTTTACTCTTTCATTTGACACTTTTGAAATAGCAACATTTGGTTTTGATTTTAGACCTTTGTCGACACAACTTTGAGATGTTGTTTTGCCAGCATCATGCAAAGAACAGAACTAATCCTCCAGAAAGACATGCAATGTTTGTGGACGGACGAGAGAAATCACAAATGTAGCTTTTTCTGATTTCTGTTTTAATTAGAGCAATAGACAGATTACAACAGACTACTTTGTATAATGACACACTGCAAAAAATGATCAATTAGGAGGTCAAAAATGCTTGAATCAAGTGTTTTTTAAATCTTAATTTGAGTATGTTCTTGTCCTTAAACAAGATTTGTCATTTATAAAGCCATGCTTTGCTTTGTCCCATTGGAAATTTTTGTTTTAAGGCAGTAACAATGCGCTCAAATTAAGTTACATTTAGACAAATTTGAGCAATTCATTTTCTCATTTTTCATCACTTTTTGGCCAGCCCAGCCAGTTTGTCTTTCTCCTTTGGAAATTCCATCTTTGTGATAGTACGCACAAAAGGTTTTAAGAAATGTTGAGTTTTGAGTATTTTCCTGATAGGAAAGCAGCAGCAGCAGCAGCAGTAGCAGCAGCAGGACCCTGACCCTGGTGCAGTGGGCGGTGAGGGCAGATGAAAGAGGCTATTCTTCCTCCAGCAGCTCCTGACTCTGACGGTGGAGACAGAGATGTTTGAAATGTGATTGAATGATGCTTCTCTTCAACTACAGCCACTTTCACAGCAGCAGAGATTTACTCAGAGCTGTTTAACACGAGGACTCCCAGAAGTCTGAAACTGTTGGAACTCCCAGGGCAGTCATTTTGACGGCTTCCATTCAAATGAATCGCATTCTGAAGAGATCACCAAAAAAAGTATTGGTTTATTACTATTTTCATTCACTATCTTTTCACTTTTTTACCATGTAGCACATTACTGTTCCCTGTCTTTTGCACTCCCCGAGTGATAATATTTATGCCAAATATGACATGTACATTTGTCCATTGTGAGAACAGTAAAGTTTATCTCTAATTTTATATTGGTGAAAATTGGTGAATATAACGGAAATACAACTAAACCACATACAACACACTGCTGTGTTGCTATGGTTACTGTAGCAATTGCTCCAAGTTGAGATAGCTCTGAACCTGTTTAGGACCAGTCCAGGACCAGTCTAGCACCAGTCTATGGGGCCAGTTCAGGACCAGTCTAGGGTTGAGATAAACTCATAAACATAATATATAATAGAAATAAAATATAGGTTGTGAAGACCAAAAACATATATACAGAGTGTAATTACACATCCCAAACAGCTTCATTTCTATTTCAACTAATGATCACAGGAATGAGGGAAGGACACAAAGTGGAGGGAGAAGGAAAAGAAAGAAACAGAAGGAAGAGAGTGAGCAAGTTTGATTAAATTGGCCAAAAAATAATGAGACAAAATGATGCTAATAATAATAATAATACATATATAACATGATACTGGTTAATGGCAACCTCTGGAAATAATGTTGTCATAATGTTTACACTGGCCTCTGTACAAACAGAGGCCAGTGATTTCATATTTATGCTGCTTTAATCTGGAAAAGCAAGACAGGGTTCTACTCCGACAATCTTCAAATCCAGGATAAAAAGTTCTGTGTAGCCGTGCGGACAACTGAAGGATTGTATCTTCACTCTTTTATTTATTTATATTATTTCAACATTCTAACCCTTCATGTACTTTACCATAATCCCTACAGACATACAGACATATGGAACAAAAGCAAAACAAAAACAAAACACACAACAAAACATGAGAATAAAAATTAAGAAAAAAGGATGACATTAATAATTATAAATAATACTTTTTACATCCTATCTTCACTCTTCTTTATGCCTAAACTCGCCTTACAAGAGAGTCTGGGCGGGCAGAGAGCGAGCGCCACTCCCCACTGTTACGTACACACACACACACACACACACACACACTTGCGCACACGCACGCATACACACACACACACAACCACACGGGAGGAATCCAAGAGGAAGTCAGTCCTGTTTGGAAAATCAGCGCTACTCTCTCCCAAACCTGCTCCAAACGCCCCCGGAGCGCCACGTGTTTGGACCAGAGCCTTTGGGGCCTTTGGAGAGAATGGATTAACGCGCCCCGCCAGGTTCCCCGCAGATGGACGCGGTGAGAAGTTTGGCGTTTGTCGGGGCCGTGCTTCTCGGAGTGACGGGAACTTTGGCCAGAGAAGGTGTGTATAGACGACTTCAAAACTCTGAACTAAAAACAGCAGTGTAGTGAGAGTCTGCGGGGACGACGCGGTGCCATGACGCGCGGTTGGAGATACTGGAGATAGATTTCGCTTTGGGCATGAGTTTGGAGCTGTCGCGCTTTAAGGCGTTGGTATTCCCGGCCACATTCCTCGGTGCAGCCTTGTCCCCATTTAGTCACCGCCGCTGTGGGGTTTTGCATTGCTTCAGTGCAGTGACAAGACGCACCTGTCACTGCGCAGCGTCAGAAAAAAAAATGTGCATAACTTGGAAGCTGCTTTTCGTGCGTTCAGTCCAGACCGTTTTGACCCGTGGCACAGATTTTGCATTTTGAAAACAAACACACGACGCACCACCAGCTGAGACTGACGCAACTGTGAAACTCTGCAGGCTTTATTAACACTATAGGACTCCATTAGAAACTTCTAGAACTTTGCCAGAGCCGTCATTTGGACTGCTCCCAATCAAACCGAGGGTATTCTGAGAAATCCCCCCAGAATTTTGTTATTTTTTAAACCAGATTTATTAAATGGATGTTATTGATACGTTTTTTTCTGTACTCACTTTTAATAAGTGCTGCCTAGAACTCCCATAGCAGTCAAATTGACGGGTTTTTGTTTGTGTAATTGATAATAATAATAATACATTTTGTTTATATTGCACATTTACATTATATTTCCAGGAAACATCAAAGTGCCATAATAGATTTCATAACTTTGTGCAGTTTCTATTTTATATCAATGTCATTATGTTTTTATCTGGACCCTAGACTGGTCCTATAGACTGGTCTTGGTATTGACTGGTAATAGAAAGGTCCTACACTGGTCCTAGACTGGTTATAGACTCGTAATAGACAGGTCCTGGGCTGGGGCTAGACTGATACTGTATTGGTCCTGGACTGGTCCTAGACTGGTCCTAGACTGGTCTTGTATTGGTCCTAGACTGGTAATAGAAAGGTCCTACACTGGTCCTAGACTGGTAATAGACAGGTCCTGGGCTGGGGCTAGACTGGTCCTATATTGGTCCTAGACTGGTCCTGGTTCAAAGCAATCTCATCTTGGAGCTATATTTCTAGTTACCATAGCAACACGCTGTTTACTCGCAGCAGTTGGTATTTAGTTTTGCAGTATTTCCTTTATGTAAACCGGTTTTATCATGAGTTAAAGTAAAAAAGAACAACATACATGAACTAGAAACCGTTGCAATGGCTGAAGCCATTGCGATTGACTGCGGAACAGATCTAATGTGGAATTTAGCTGAAAAATCCTTGAAATCCTTGAAACTGTTAAAATACTTTAAACATCTTTGAAACTCCTGAAGTATTTGAAGCTCCTGATATCCTTTAAACTGTTATCCTTTATACTGGTTTTCATGTAAAAACCCCTATTAAGTTCCATTATACTGGTTTACATGTAAAAACCCCTATTAAGTTGCATTATACTGGTTTACATGTAAAAAACCCTATTAAGTTGCATTATACTGGTTTACATGGAAAAATCCCTATTAAGTTGCATTATACTGGTTTACATGTAAAAAACCCTATTAAGTTGCATTATACTGGTTTACATGGAAAAATCCCTATTAAGTTGCATTATACTGGTTTACATGTAAAAATCCCTATTAAGTTGCATTATACTGGTTTACATGTAAAAACCCCTATTAAGTTCCATTATACTGGTTTACATGTAAAAACCCCTATTAAGTTGCATAATACTGGTTTACATGGAAAAATCCCCATTAAGTTGCATTATACTGGTTTACATGGAAAAATCCCTATTAAGTTGCATTATACTGGTTTACATGGAAAAATCCCTATTAAGTTGCATAATACTGGTTTACATGGAAAAATCCCCATTAAGTTGCATTATACTGGTTTACATGGAAAAATCCCCATTAAGTTGCATTATACTGGTTTACATGGAAAAATCCCTATTAAGTTGCATTGTACTGGTTTACATGGAAAAAACCCTATTAAGTTGCATTATACTGGTTTACATGGAAAAAACCCTATTAAGTTGCATTATACTGGTTTACATGTAAAAACCCCTATTAAGTTGCATTATACTGGTTTACATGGAAAAAACCCCTATTAAGTTGCATTATACTGGTTTACATGAAAAAACCCTATTAAGTTGCATTATACTGGTTTACATGGAAAAATCCCTATTAAGTTGCATTATACTGGTTTACATGGAAAAATCCATATTAGGTTGCATGATTACACTGAAGTCCTTGAAACTGCTGAAGTCCTTGAAACTGCTGAAGTCCTTGAAACTGCTGAAGTCCTTGAAACTGTTGAAGTCCTTGAAACTCTTGAAATCTTGAAACTGCTGAAATCCTTGAAACTGTTGAATCCTTGAAACTGTTGAATCATTGAAACTGTAGAAATGTCTGAAAGAGCTGAAGTCCTATTAAAATGCATGGGCCTATTAAAATGCATTGCAGAATTCTCAATGCAGATTTTTGTCCGATTGCGGAAAAACCGGAAATCGCTGAAGTCCCAAAAGTAATAGCAATAATCTCCCAAACATGTGGAACGTTTTGATGTATAACTTGTGGAAATTGTTGAAAATGTGAAAGCTGTGAAACGTGTCAAAAAAAATGACGGAATAAAGAAATACAAAACCAATGGTTGACTGCGGAAGGTTCCGCAGTCAATCAATTAGTCAGAGTCCCTGAGCCGTCATTAGAGAAGATGTAACTGTAACTTGCTCTGGGAGTAAATAGTAAAGAGTTCACTGAAGAGTTCATAGAAATAAATGATTGAGTTGATTAAAATAAAAAAAAGCACGAAAAAAGTCTGTCTAAAAACTTCTCACGATATTTTCACCAATCAGGTGATACTGGCTCATGTCCAAGGGCACACAACATCTCAACACACATACACACACACACACAGAGACGCACGCACACACACACACACACACACACACAGAGAGACACAGACACATACATAGCCATACACACACACAGACACAGACACACAGACACAGACACAGACAGTTGGTAGAGTATTGGCCTTTGAGCCAGAAAGTGGGTTCGAGCCCATCTTAAGACTTTCACCAACTCCCACTGTCTGCTGTCGTTGTGTCCTTGGGCAAGACACTTCACCCCCATTGCCTAGAATGAGTCTGGTGTGTGTGTGAATGGTTGGTGGTGGTCGGAGGGGCCGATAGCACAGACTGGTAGCCTCGCTTCTGTCAGTGTGCCCTAGGGCAGCTGTGGCTACATTAGTAGTTAGTAGACATGTAAAGCGTCTTTGAGTTTCCATATAAGCGCTATATAAAACTGATGCATTATTGTTTTTGATTGAAAACCCCTGATTTAGACCCACGCAAACCACCCAGATCATAGACGCAGACCATGTAGACGCAGACCATGTAGACGCAGACCATGTAGACGCAGACCATGTAGACGCAGACCATGTAGACGCAATCCAAGCGCGCGCTTCTGTGCCGCTTCTGTGCGTAAACAAAAACAAACTGGCGGCAACAGTCCGTGCATTGTGTGCCAAGTATCACGGCGATGTCAATTATTCACTTGTGGCTCCAAACGACTCATTGTTCCCATAGAGGGCCACTTGTCACTCTGGGCTGGACCGGAGTAGGAGCTAAGTGAAAGTGCAAATAAGACTTATAGACACAACGTTACATGCAGAGAATAACTTGTTTTTGTTTGTTTGCAGTCGTGCTGATACATAATTACATCCACTGAACGCTTGTGTTGGTCCGTGTGCACCCAGCTGTGTGTAACTGCAAATGCATTTATGCTGACGGCCAAATATTGACTTTATAATAGCTCTATCATACTTTCGGCTTGTCAAATCTATAGCACCTTTTACTGCTGTGTGAAGCAGCCAGAAACCAAAAATATATATGTGTGTGTGTGTGTGTGTGTGTGTTTGTGTGTATGTCAGTGTGCGCCTATGAAGGACAAGCAGAAAGAATACAGTTTTTTGGTTGAATTAGTTTTTAGCATTTTATTGACAGTATAAAAGACCACACAATAAAACATATCAGATACAAAAGATGCAGCAAAGTCCAGACATGTACTAAAGGGGAGTGTGTGTGTTTGTGTCTGTGTGTGAGTGTGAGTGTGAGTGTGTGTGTGTGTGTGTTTTTGTCTGTGTGTGTTTGTGTGTGTGTGTGTGTGTGTGTGTTTGTGTAGTTATGTGTAAGTATGTGTGCGTGTATTATACGTGTGTGTGTGCAAGTGTAGTTATGTGTAAGTGTGTGTGTATGCTTGTGAGTGTGTGCATGTGTAGTTCTGTGTGTGTGTGTGTGTGTTTGTGTAGTTCTGTGTGTGTGTATGCTTGTGTGTGTGTGCCTGTGTAGTTATGTGTGTGTGAGTGTGTGTACGTGTAGTTGTGTGTGTGTGTTTGTGTAGTTGTGTGTGTCTGTGTGTGTGTGTTTGTGTAGTTGTGTACGTGTGCGTGTTCTCTTTAGGTGGGTTAGGAATGAGTAATAAGCATAGCTGACACAGAGATCAACAATGGTGGTGGGTGTATGGTATGGTATGGTATGGTCTGGTATGGTATGGTATGGTATGGTATGGTATGGTATGGTATGGTATGGTATGGTATGGTATGGTATGGTATGGTATGGTATGGTCTGGTCTGGTCTGGTCTGGTATGGTATGGTATGGTATGGTATGGTATGGTATGGTCTGGTATGGTCTGGTATGGTCTGGTATGGTATGGTATGGTATGGTATGGTATGGTATGGTATGGTATGGTATGGTATGGTATGGTTTTTACTTTTACAGGGACAGTGTACAACATCAGCCGAGAGGACAGATGCATTATTCCAGGTTTAGCAGCACTGCTAATTTTCACCCTTTAATCCCTGGGCAGGTTGTAAAACAGTAAAATGAAAGAAGATGGATACATGACCATACGTTGATAAAGCAGAAATGCAATTTTAATGACAATATGAAAACCACATTTTAACTCTCCATGTTTATTTGATATTTGATGTGCTTT